GGTATCAAGCCATTTGGACCTACCATGAAATGAGAATACAAGAAATGAGAATGGAGTGGGGGTTTTTGGTTTTCTTTCAGAACATGGATGTTTAGTGTTCTTAGTAGCTGTTGGATCAAATAGTCATGGTAGTTCATAGTTAGTAATCCACAGAAGCTGGCAAATTGGGAATCTCAGAGCTGCATGAATGTGCTCAATGATGTCTGGGTTTCTGTGGTTGTAGTTTAGTATTGTTCTTCTAAATTCTATTGTTTTTTGTGGCATATTTGCATATGCAAATCATGTAAATGTCAGAGGAATGACTGCACCTGCAAAGGATCTTGGGATGTTGATCTATATGAAAACAATTGTAATTTAGGGACTGATGAGCAATCTATGTTAGATCTCAAAAATCTAAGAAATGGGGTGTTGGGAATCACAGGCTGTGAGGGAGAGAGAGATATTCCTTTGTGCCAAAAACAACTTGTGGCTGTGAAGCCTCAACAGTTGCCACACTCCGTCAAAGGCCTTCTTCTGTCAACTCTCTCGTCAGGTCTTGCATCCAATTTGCTCGAAAGAAATCTTTAGATCCAATACTCTCCCACCCTTCGCCATTCCCACTCAGGATCCTTCCCTGCCTCTGCTCCCCAAAGGCCCATGTGCCGCCCAGAACCCAAGAGTTGAGCTCGGTGAGACAACTACACAGGTCATTTGCAAGGCTTCAGCTACTGCAGACTTGGATCAGGCTTCAGACCTGACAACTTCACCCTCAGACAGGGACCCTGGAAGCCAGAGCTACCCCCATGGCCAAGCTCACAGCCCAGGGGAGTCTCAGGCTGACCTTGTGCGGAGACAGAGCCTCCTTCTGGTGTGAACCACGAGACCAGGTTCGCTGCAGGATTGGTGGTGGGAAGAGGCCACTTGATAGCCCAGTTGGGATCCATAGGAGTAGCAGCGGCTTCACGTCTCCTGATGCTGGTAGGGTTTGGGCTGTGGGTAAGAAGTCAAAAAGCTTTAAGCCTGATGAGTTTGAGAGTGGGGAGGGTAAAGAGGTGGAGTATGAGGAAGAGGAAGAGGAGAATGAGTTGCAGAGGGATGAGTTGTCATGCTTCAGAGGTTTGGTGTTGGATGTCTCCTACAGGTAATCAATTTCATTTACATTTTGTGTTATCTATCAGTCCAGTGAGATCCTTATTAAGGTTTTCATTGCTTGGGGTAAACAATAATTGGAACTAAGAAGCTGCTATAAATTCTTTAATATTATTGTTGGTTAGGGATCTTTCTCAGTGTTGTTGATGTTCCCCATTTAATGAAGCACCTAAATTTCCTTTGGAACATTGCTGCTGTAGGAAGAAAATATTGCCTTTAGTTTATTTTCAAATGATCTTCTTCTTGACATGTGTTTTGATTGGATCACATCTCAGACAATCTTCAGTAGCATTAGTTTCTTAAGGTCTTTCTTGGCCAACAGCAACTTCTCGTACATTGCTTCAAAACAACAGCATTTGATAGTTGAGCCTGAGCTTTGCAGTATATGATCGTTTGCGCTGCTGTGTGACGCAGATGATCATCAATTGATTTTTACATCCATACTTAGGCTTTCCTGTTGTTTGTTCAATTCATTTCCAAGGATTATCCAAATCATGTAGTTCATAAAATTTTACCGATATTGTTCTATTGCAAAATTGGCCCCTCTTTTATCATACCATTAGTACCATACAATTTTCATATCCTATGGCATGGGAGTTTTTAGATTAGATTCTGCTCATATAATATGAAGATGTCTAGTAATTTTAGTAAAGGCTGAAGGCTGACTTCAAGCAGATACTTATGCAAATAGAAAATAAGGGGGTTCTAATTTAAAGACTCAAGCAAGAACTGAAAAGAATCCTAGAAAGAAAATTGTTCCAAGTACCAACACAACAAATATACGACTTATCCAAGATGGTGCCAATTCAGGGTATTTGGCAATAACGAGGCTAGATAACATACCTAGACATCGTTCTTCAGGACAGTTAAATCTTCTACAAGACCATGATGAATCTCGTAGTGGCTTGATGAACAGGAATCCAGGGACGGCAGAGTTATGAATTGGCATTATCAGACTTTTTATTCAGATTTCTTGATTCATAGCAGCACACAAATAAAGTTGCGTCTCGATGAGTAAAAAAACGCTAAGCAAACTGTTGTATGGTTTGCTTAACACCATCATTTGATATCAAAATTCTTCTTATTTATTTTACTGAATATCAGAGCATATGCCTTCTGCATCGTTCTTGTTGTCTTTTCACAGTGCACAGTTCTATTATCAGAATAACTTGAAAAAAGAAATAGTACAGAGCCTTTAAAATTCTGCATTTTTGCATGTGGATCTAACTTTTATCATGCTCACTAGGCCCGTAAATGTTGTCTGCTGGAAGCGTGCCATCTGTCTGGAATTTATGGAGAAGGTTAGATTGCTTTGTGCAGTCTATGATCATATTGCTGCTTGGGATAAAAAATAGAGATTAACTTTGATCTTTATATCAAGGATATATTTGGTGATCTTCTTTAGACATATTGTCATACAATTTTGTCAAGCATATATGCCATGTTATGTGGAACTATATTACCCATATGCCTGCATGCCTGCCTACGAGCAACGAAGCATAACAATTCTTGATATCGACTGACAGGCTGATGTTCTGGAATACTATGACCAGACGGTGTCTTCGGCGCAAGGATCCTTCTACATACCAGCAGTCTTGCAGGTTTGTTGTACACCTCTTGTAACTTTTGGACAACAACGACATCCTATTTTACTTCTTAACAAGTTATGTTCAATAATGTTCCACTCCTCAGATTCCACATTTGCTGCAAGTTGTCAAGAGGAGAAGGATCAAACAAAACCTTAGTCGCAGAAACATATTTTATAGGGATTCTTTTACTTGTCAGTAAGTGTTCCTTTAAAACAGTATTTGATGGGAATTGGAAACTTCATACTGTTATCTTTGTTAAGTTCATTAGTCCAAAAAATTAATCCTATTTATTATATGTTTAATTTAGCCATATAGCATAATCCAGTCAAGGCTTGCAGCTTATCACTGATGCAACAAGCATATTATGTTCTCTACAGATATTGCTCTTCTCGAGATGACTTGACGGTTGACCATGTGGTACCAATTTCACGAGGTGGTGAATGGATGTGGGAAAATCTGGTATGTAACACTTATAGTGCATACCATATCATATTTTTTTAATTTCATCTTACTTGAAAACTCAATTCTGAGTGCTATATCTCTTGTTTACTGGGAATAACATGTTTCGTTTCGAGCCAATGTATGTCTTGTTTTTGTCTGGACCATTATGTACATGTTGAAGTACTTGAATTTTGAACGATGTTGTCATAGCTGTTTAAATGAAGTGGTGTATAACAGGATTGTAATTTTGAACCGTTTGGTCATACATTTTGAATGTTTGATAAAATGAAAGCAAAAGTGAAATTTTCTTTTAAGTGAATTATGTAGTCTTAACAGTGTAGCCACTAAGAAGAAATTATCTAATCGTTTCTAGTATTTGTAGTTCTTAATCATTCAGTTCACCGTCAAATTTATCCCAAATAGCGTATACTCACTTCATCATAATATGAAACCTCAAACAATAGTCACACATGATCCTTTTCCATCTGATAATAATGAAGGCACAGTGTTCCTAGCATATAATAACGAGTACCGACAAGATTTTAAATTTACCTGAAGCTAATAGCTGAAGGCACTCAGGAAACACTGATTTATGGTGCAACAGAAACTGCAGTGCGAACAGTTTCTGATTTAAAAGTTGAATTATCACGGCACGGTATTATGATAAATGGCCTCAGATGCCTATCACGCGATCTTATTTTCCATGCTAGCAATGATTTTGGTTCGCGTTGTGAGGTTCATTTCATAAATCCGCATCATAGAACTGTTAATCTGAGTTTGAACCAGAGCACTAACAGGTTATGTTGCATAGTTCTAATGCATTGATTGAACCTTTCCTCCTCTCATGCTTCCTATCCTATTTGCAGGTCACCGCATGTGCAAGATGTAACTCCAGGAAGGGACAGAAGACCTTAGAAGAAGCAAACATGAAACTGATTAAAATTCCCAAGGTTTCTGGCAACTATTTCTGATCAATTTTCTCAGCCACTCTCATGGATTTTCCACACCAATGTGTCCTTCAATTCCCATTGCAGGTTCCTAAAGACTATGACATACTTGCCATTCCCTTGACATCAGCTGCTGTCAAGATGCTGAAGATGAGGAAAGGGGTGCCTGAAGAGTGGCTTCAGTACCTCTCCAAGCCAAGTCCATAGTCATGCTTGCCATCAGTGACCCACACAGCCTCATTGGCTTCCTTCAAGTCCTCTGCACAGAATCCCAGCTCGACATGTATTATTATTATGAGCACAAAATTGGCAACTCATGTACATAACAATACCACAGATATATATAACAATCTCTTCTTCACTCATTGCTCAATCATTGATGGCAGCGTGTATAATGGGTATGTGTAGGGGCAGAAATCATAAAGCTTCTGGGTGTTGAAGTCCATGCAAACAATGCTGAACAATAACTTCCTGATACAGTACCAGCAACTTCTTTGCTGCTTAATCTGTAGTCCAAGTTATCATGGTGCAGATGATGAAGATGAAGTGACAACAAAATAGGACTCTCCAAGGAGGGGAAGGTCAACAAGGAAGCCAACAGCTTGTCCCTTGTTTCCTAGCTAAGATGAGTTTGAAAGAGGGAGCAAAGACAGCTGTGCTCAAGTGGAAGTAATGGAGTTCCTCCAAATGTAGAGCCTCCAAAGTAAAACAAGCTTCAAGAAATACCAAAACCCCTTCTTCCTTCCTCATTCAAACTCAGTGTCAGCTACTCCAGGAGAGTTGAGCTTAAATAGAATCCGATGGCCAAGACCCTGAGATGGCTTGTCATGGTGGTTGGACCTCAGCATCTCAACACCCCATCCACCCCATTTACTGCTGCATGAAAGGGTTGTGGATATGGACTCGAGGACCCACAGAAAGAAGAGGGAGGAGAGATATCATCACTTGCATCATGGATTCAAAATTTAAAAGGGTAGAGAGAGATGTGTGTGTGTGTGTAGTATACTCATACATATTGGAGGGAGAAATGTATGTGTGTGTGTGTGTCCATCCGTGTGGAAGACGATGTAGTCTGTAGTCTGGTTGTATTCCTCTACCGACAAAAGAACGCGGAGATAAAGGCCAGAGAAAAGAGGGAGGCAGCTGTTGCCTGCCCCTCTTATTTAGGCCTCCTTAACCCACAACAAACATAGAATTCACCACCTCACTTGCTCTCCCCTCTTCTTCTTCTTCATCATCATCATCATCTTCTTCTTCTTTTGTTCTTTGTCTCTGGCTTGTTGTGCAGCTTAAAATGGACACCTGCAACAAATCCTCCTCTGCTGGCAGTTCTTTGTTGGAGGAGTTCATCCCTGGAGATAACATGGTCATTCTTTTCAGCCATTTTCTTCTCCCTGTGATCGGTGGATTTTCCATTAGAGTGCTGAAATTTATTCCTTGGATGATATGTTCTTGGTTGTGGTTGCTTGGTGCAACGATCACCAATCTCTTTTGAGGGACTACAATTTTGAGTTTGTTCTCAGTCTTCTTTCTTCTTTTCCTTTCGTGACTCTGAAAACTGCTCTCATATGTTTGAATTCTTGATTTTCTTGTGAACACTTGTGATCTATCTTTAGAGTCAAGAAAAGAATCTTTCGACTCTGATGGTTGCCAGCTTTTGATTTGTGGATTTCTGCCCTCATTTTGCTGTCAGATCTTCTTTCTTGGTTTGGTTGCATTCATTAAAGTCAAAAAAAGACATTTGAATTGCTCTCACTGTTCTTGCATGCAGGTAGAAGGAGAGGATGAGAGCCTGGAATGGCTGTCCATATATGTGGAGGACTGCCTCTCTGGTGCCACATCCTACACCACCACCACCACCACCACCACCATTTCCAAGCCCCTCCCACCGACAGCAAGACTCCCACAAAACCCAGACCCCAAACCTTCATGCAGAAGTCTTGCAGTCCCAGCAAAGGCCAGAACCAAGAGAAGAAGAATCACCCCAAGAAACCCTTCTCCTGATGCCTTCTCAACCTTCCATCTCACCTCTTCAGACCCACCTCTCCTCCAGCAGACCTACTGGCTTGCAGAGAGTGAGCTGATCCTCCCCATAAAGGAGGAAGGGGGCAAGACAGCAGCCGCGGGTGGAGGAAGAGTAGGGGAGGAGGAGAAGGTGGTGGTGCAGCCAAGGAGGTGCAGCCATTGCCTGTCACAGAAGACTCCACAGTGGAGGGCAGGGCCTTTGGGGCCCAAGACCCTCTGCAATGCATGTGGTGTGAGGTTCAAGTCAGGGAGGCTGCTCCCTGAGTACAGGCCAGCAAAGAGCCCCACTTTTGTGAGCTACAAGCACTCCAACTCACACAAGAAGGTGATGGAGATGAGGATGGCTTTACTGTCCTCCAATTCCACTTAAGATGATGCTTAGTAGTCAGTCATATGCAACATATAAAAGTACATCTTTCATATTTTGCTTTCTTTTTCTTTCTCCTTTTGTTGAGCCTATATGATGCTTAAAATCTGGTTGAACTAAACTACCTTTTATGAGCATTGTTGACTGTTGCATGCTCTTCAGTGCACCAGTTTGACTTCTTTATCATATTGCAAGGGAAAAATATAAGAAAGATCAATGGAAATAAGCTCTTCAACTTTAAATGGGGGAAGCATGACAACAATCTGACTATTCCCCTTTCAAATGGATAAAAAAATATAAACAAATCATTTATTTTTTTATTATACATATATTTGGTATAATACATATAATATTATATTGCCATGAATGTCATCAATCTATCACATCAAAACAATGGATAAGGATTCAAAACCCTGTTTTTGGTTCACTTTCCAAGCTCCAAGGAAAGATAATTTTGGGACCAGCCATGTTCAAACATCACTGTTAAGCTGGTTGTGTGTAAACCAGTCCATGTGTTATCAACCTGTGCTACCTTCAATGAATACTCTGTGGAAACCAACCATGCCATCCAAGATAAGTGGCATGGGCAAGGTTCAATGTATCCTTTGACTTGAATGCTTTGGGTTGGTTCCACACTCCTCAAGCTTATTAATTTGAAGGCGAAATTATATATACATTATGATTTTTATTTATACATATCTCCCTAATTGATAGAAAAAAATGTTCATCCTCAATTAGGAGTTACATTAACATAGCAAAAAACGATAAAGGTAATATCAACATAACAATAAAAGATAAAAGCGATAGATCAAATCCACCACATCAACAAGAATCGAAAATACACAAATCTATTTTGAAATTTCATAACTCAGATGTCGGAGTGACCTTATCGAGAGATGCACTCGATAAAAGTCTTATTGTCGGAGTGTAGTTTATTCTACGCCACCACGACACCATGAATTAACACTAATTATTAGGTTAAATATATGCATTCATGCGAAACCTAACAATTTTTTGTGTCTAGTCAATGGAATGTGTGCAAGAATGTGCCTCCACCAGATACCTGCTTTGCAAAGAAAACAAGTAATGCATGACATGGAAATTTTGCTACCAGAGGATGGCCAAGAAGTGAAGTCTTCCAAGTTGGAAAGCAACCTATCAGATGGAATCTTGGAAGAAAAGCACATAAGAAATTTCTGAAAGGACACTTGTGCCAAGAATGGTTTGGATAGCAGATCATGAAGCATGTCAAGCTGAACTGACCTGGTGGAGTTGCATCAAACAAAATGTTCAGCCATGAAGAAAGATTGGTTTCAAGAATGCTGTCCTTGTGTTATGTGAGTCACAAGAAGAGCCATCAGTTTGCCTCTAATTAATTGTGGGCAATTGAATTGCATGACATAAATATGTGACATTGCCCATGGCAAACTTTCAAGACTGACAGGAAATTGGCCAACTACCTTGTTCCAATTGTTTTCTTCATCACTGAATTTTCACAACAACATAAAATCAGCAAAAGCAAGTTTCACAAATTCTCTTGCCAAAGAAGTCTTGCATAAAATCAGATCAATACTAATGATTTGGTTTTAGAAAAAGAAGATCATCAAAATCAAAGTGATTGATGACCATCAAGCATACCCAACCTCACAGTACCTCACATCAAAGTCAAATCAGGTGAAGTTTTTGTTGATGACAGGGCCCAAATTGTTCTCTAAATGACAATTAGGGAACTATTATTTTGTCGCAATATGGAAAAAGGGGGAATCAGGCCACTAAGCTTCCCATCCTCGGAGAACGGTTGCTCGTGCAACTCGGTTGACTCCAAGTGTGAAAGCACCCATGCGGAGGTCACAGTTGTGCGTCTTGCACATCTCCTTCATATCTTTGAAGCCTCGAGTCATATATGTTTTCAGCTCCGCATTAACCTTCTTTTCATCCCACATGAATCCTTGAATATTCTGAATGCAAAGAGAAAAATAACACTTTTGAACTTTGATACAAGCAAACTACACAAGAACAGGATAACTGTTGAGAGTACGCACCTCCCACTAGTATTTCTGATATAAGTAGTCATGCAGCTCATAAAATAAGTTTTTACTTGTTCATATGTGGTTCATGAGCCCATATTGTGGGGAACTAAATGTGAGGACATATAGTTCAACTAATGAATTGCCATATTAACAACCATGTGGAGAGGTGATATGAAAGCTAAGTGATTTCAACATCTTAAATTTATTTTCTACCGAAAAAGAATCCGCTGTGTTGTGTGGTTTCTATGGTGACTTTACTGGTCTAGAAGGGTTGTTCTAGAGGACAAATGCTTTGCTCTAAGAGAAACTGATGTTTAATCAAACAACAATGACATTTGTCACAGTTAACTGCAGAAAGCTTAAACTCCTCCTGGAAGATCGCTCAAAACCCATCAGAACAAGCTGATATTTTCATCTCTTGTACACAGATGTTGCATTAATATGTTGATGTCCGGTTGCACTCATCATTCTTAACAGCACTATCATAAGATATTCTTATGCAGAATAAAATAAGGAAACAAGACGATAAGCAAGATCCTCGGTACTCTGTGGAACTCAGTATAGGTCTATCAAAAATTAGTGATTGAAGCTTCTTTATTGATGCATCACTGGTTAGATCGTTGCTAATTACTGAGTCATGAGTGCTTTAATGTTATCAATGATCTACTCCACTTTCTTACATAAAATAAAGAAATGTCAGATTTAGACGTTGAAATTGAACGTACATAGTCAGAAGTTCATTGATGAAATAAGAGTTTCAACAAAATAATATGAACAGGACGGAAATTAAACACTAACCTGAACCCACTCAAAATAACTCACAGTAACACCGCCAGAATTTGCATATATGTCTGGAAGAATGATAACACCTTTCTTTGATAAGATCTGAAATAGAAGAAAAAGTTCCGAGAATAGCTTCCCATTGTGCTGACAGTTATCATATTCTTAGTCTATAGAGCAGTTAGAAAGTTGTATCACCTCATCAGCCTCAGGGTCAGTTGGATGATTTGCTGCCTCAATGATGAATTTGGCCCTTATGTCATTAGCATTTTCCCTTCAAAGTGGCAGAAGAGGCCAATAATAAAAAGTTGATATCAGATTAATGAGTAAATTTAGAAGATCAGCTAGCAACGAAAAGAAACAACTTATTTCATTTATTCTAGCCAGTTACATGTCAAATTTTCTCAAGAACCACTGTTAGTAGCCTATAGAATTTTAATAATTTGTATTTTTTCTGGAATCAACTAAGAATCGTAAGAGAAATAACCTGTTTATTACACCTCCAAGTGCTGCTGGAATAAGAACATCACAGTCTTCAGTAAGCAAGGAACTTGGATCAATTGATTCTCCACCACTGAAACCTTTGATTCCACGATTCTCCGCGCTGTGCTTAAGTAGTTTTTCGATGTCAAGACCATTAGTGTTCTTGACAGCCCCTGTTACATCGCTTATAGCAATCACCTTACCACCAGCTTCACTGATAAGTTGGGCAGCCCAAGAACCAACATTACCAAAGCCCTGATTATTGAAAGATATGAGGAGTTGAGACCCTTACGAACCTCAAAAGTCTCTGATTTTGTAATTTCATTCAGTTTAATAGACTGAATCATCATGTAATGTAATCTGAATTAACAAACTAAGATTTTGAGCAACTACCGTGCATGCATGGCATAAAGATAAGATTACTCAAGTACAATAAGTTATAAGGGGCCACTGATTTTGGAGCAAAAAACTTCAGTTCAGGTATTAGGAATGCGAGAGTCGGGCAGGCAGCTGACATTTTGCAGTAGATCTGCACTTGTATACCACCACATATCTGTGTACCAGGGGTCAACAAGATAAACATTCGCAAGCCAAAGAATATAATTCTGCTCTATAAAACAACTTAAGAAATCTCTAATTTTTGCTATATTTGTTTAGTGGAAAATTGAAGTCATATACCACTTGAAAGCCATATAACTAATTCCACAAAACTATTGATGCATAATACCAGTGAAGTTTCTGCCAGCATGCCTCATTTCATAAAAGTGATTTTGTCATAACATTAGATGGACTAGTAATCTTGATCACCGATGATATGAATCACCGTATGAATGCTAGTAGCTAAAGATGATTCGAGAAAGTAAGAATTAGTTAAGTTTGGCATGATAGAGGTGTGTGCTTTCCCAATAGTAGCAGTTATTGTATTTAAATTAATTCTGTAAGTCCTAGCATCCACAGTGATGAAAAAAGAAGCATCCAGGGCACAAAAGAGAGAGCATCAAAAAAGTGCTTTCTTTAAATATTGTAAATGTTAAAGACTTGTCTATTCCTTATAACAATATGCAAATAGCTCTCCCTTCAATGAATATCATCCCCTCTTTATACATAGTAAAGAAATTCTTATTTTAACATTCCAACTCCCCTGTATATTAGAGACCTCAAAGGTTCTCTTTGTGAGTAATCATATTAGTGTTACTTTTGTGAAAAGGAATCACACGATTGTTTGTTTGGCTAATACTCCTAGATTTATGGTTCAAATTGTTGTGATGACTTTTCTTAATTCCCATTTGCAATTGGTCTGTTCATATATGATCAACAACTACTGAAGAACCATAGCTTTACCTGTATTATGAAGCGCTGATCTTTAATGCTCTTTCCATATTCTGCAAGTACGGCTTCTGTTGCAAACAGGACCCCCCTTCCAGTAGCTGCCTCTCTACCCAGAGATCCACCAAGATCCTTTAAAGGAAATCAGCATTAGGTATCCTAAAGGAACAATTAATTACAAAGTATTCAAGAATTTTAAAATATTCTCTCTCAGTGAAGCATAAAATGAAGGAATTACCTTAGCCTTATTTGCTAGTCTAAGATGGAGAATTTATTGCATAGAATGACATCAAGGAACAACCAGATACATTCCATGGTAAGCATGGAACACAGAAGACCATATTCTGGTCCTTTAAATAGAGAGAACACTGTATCAACCATCTTATCATGATTGACGAAGTTGTTCATCAGCTATTCTAGGCTAGATGAATGCCAGAAATTAGATACCATTAATAAACAGAAAATCATAAAGAAAAAGATAAGCAATATTAAAGGAAGATCCATTTGTAACTTTCACTCAACCTGCAATTAAAACCAAAAAAGCTTGACTTAACAATTATTTGTTTCTAATCAACTGCATATATCCTGCTTAAATTAAATATTAATTTAGCATGCTCTTAGTGGTGTTTGTGACAAAATATCTTGCATGACTTTCCAGAAACTGGGTTTAACCACAAGCAAGATCATAAACAACCTTTGTATAGTGAAATGAAGTTTCTACATATAGGAAGACTTCTATCACAGAAATGTGGTCATCATAAATCTCATATTCGCAGTCCAAAAAGTATTTTGTGATGGCTACGTGAGCATTTTCTGGTCATAACATTATTCTCCAAGGTCAAATTCAATAGAGCCTCATGGCATAACTAAAAATGTGAATCTGTATGGTGTGACAAAAGTTTTTATAATTCAGAACGATTTTCTGAGCAATTGAATTTTATGATATTCTCCATCCTTTTATGTGAACTATCTCAATCTTCCTTTCAAGTACCAGTACTTCGTGTTACATACTTAGTTTGGAATAACCTGCAGCTCTGAAGTGCAAACTTTAACCTAAGATGGATACCTTATTATTCTCCATCCTGCTGCAAAACTAAACATTTTCTTTATATGAAGAACTTTAAATGTCAGGTAAACAAGTAATCACCAATAGTCACATTTTTGAATTGTAAACTATAGTGACAGCAGATCTGCAGGGCCGTATAAGCCTTCAAATTATCTGTAGTAACAAATGTAGTTGTTCCAAATCATAGTGTACTTACAATAGGTTTTCCAGTCACAACTGCTGGTGAGTGGCCATGAAATTTTGAGTACTCATCAAGTATCCAAGCCATTGTCTGTTGCATTTACAGTAAAAACAATTAAATCTGTATTTTAAGCATACATAATATATATAACTTCTCTAAACATCATAAAAGAAAAGTGAAACCAAAAATGAATAACCTGTGAATTAGTTCCCATATCGGGTGCTGGAACATCAGTGTGAATGCCAATTAGATCATGTATCTTCTGTGTGAAAACTCTGGTAAGCCTCTCAAGTTCAGAACAACTAAGTTTTCCAGGACTGCATCCTATTCCACCTTTAGCACCCCCATATGGTATATTTGCTACAGCTGTTTTCCAAGTCATTAATTGTGCCAAGGCATTCACCTCGTCTGGGTCAACCTAAAGTATATCACATATTAAATTTTTTTTAAAAAAATAAAAATCTGAAATTGTTCGCTTGGTGTCCTCAAGTACTATTGGACTTGCTTTATCAACGTCTTTGATGCTCAAGCATAGACATGAAAAAGAACAACCACATTGTATGATGAATGTGCACTTATGTTCAATAATTTGGATGCAGACAAATTTGGTATGGCATACTGCTAGGAAAACAATATAAATAATGTTTTCTCACCAATATTAATTTTGTACCAGTTGGTGTGGTTCAATATTTGAAACCTTGGCTTGCATGAGTAATTCTTTTATATACCTCAAGTTGAATACAGAAAGTAAAATTACCCCAAGCATATATTTCCTTATTCAACATATAAAGATACGCAGAACACCAATCATCTATTTCCTTCATGTATGCATAAGCTCCCTTTTTCATTTTAGTAGTTCAACAAGGTAAAGAGGGCAATTAGCATTTTGGAGCAGTTTGTGATCCTCATATTTTTTCAATAATAATTATAAACATAATGATGACTACTGGAAACTGGTTCAGAAAACTGTGTAAATCAATAGGATAATGTCTTTACTTTCTATATGGAAAGAAGCAAAGTAGTTTCCCATCATCTATGCTTTATTAAATATAAATATTGTGGATATGACAAGTAGCAAGGAAACACATTTCACACAATGAAACAGCACAAAAGAGAAAATTATTATACATATACAAATAGAATGCACTCAAGTACAATTTGTTTGTAAAATCCATAATCTGTTCTGATAATTGCAGATTTAGTGTGGATGAGGCAAAAACCTTGTCAGATGTTTCATTAGGAAGAAAATCCTGTTTGACAATTTTCCTGAAGACAAGGAGTTACTAGAAGAGAAAATTCAAAAAAAAAAAACTTGACTCTTTCTTAATCAAAGTTACTGGAGCTAGTGATTGACAGAGGCAATTGATCTGAGACCTTACTGAATATACTAGAGGTTATGCATTGTACAATTGCACTGCCTTCACATCTGTGAATACAGTGTCAATCATGCTTTTAATAAACACTTAAAGAAGTGACCGTAGAATACAATGACACAAATACCAAGTGATTTGACAAAAGATCCAACAGGAATAAGAATGGGAACATGATATAGCAACCCACCTCATGATGGTATCTGATTCCTCCCTTCATAGGGCCTCTGGCATTATCATGCTGCACCCTAAACCCCACAAAAGATGCCAAAGTGCCATCATCTTTTGGAATTGTGCACTCAACCTGCAGTACAAAAATGTTGATGCTGCCAATGAAATAGAACAATTTTTGCATAAATATATTGTATCTTCTTTTTTCCCTGAAATATATTATATACTAAACATATAATATAACACTCATCATAGATAAAGCTAGTTCACTGATAAATCATTCGCCAGTATCAGAGAGAACATGCTTCTTTAGTAACAATCAACACTCAAGAGTCAGAACCCATTTCAGTTTAACTGATTCACAAATCAACCATCTTTTACTATCATCTAAAGCCAGAGAGATATGCATCATGATGAGATTGGAGACTTGGGCATCACGATGGAAGGCATACACAGAACAAGAAATATGTAGACACACACAAACAGGCATCTTTGCTCATAAAGATAAAAAAAACTAATATTCGCAAGTGTGTAAAAATGGTTTGAAGTGGAAACATATTTTAAAAAACAGCTAATTGAATCATGCCAAAAGGTTCAGAAGGAAGGTCATCCAAATATGCAGACAATGCTGAATTCTTTACAACTCGTACCAGTGCACCTCTGTTAGAGAAGCTATTGAAGACGTGAGTATTATAGTAGGGTAATCAGGCTGAAAAACTAGAGAAGATGGGCTGGACTCTAGGATACTTCAACATGAAGAGTTAGATAACATAAGCAGGACCAATGGGGGAAGAAAAAAAAAGGTTTGTGCTGCCTTCCTTACCTTAATCTCTCTGAATGGAATTAGCAAACTTTTTTCCAGCTTAGAGTCCAATCCCAGCAGCTTAGCAGCCTGCTTGAAATTTCTACTTGTTGCGACCAGTGCGTTCATTTTCTCCAAATATCAGATACTCTATATAACACAAGAAGGAAGCTAATGATACCAAAAACCCATAAAGAGTAGGAAAGCCTATGGCCATCTCCTTTCTCTGAAGTCATGGCATAGTTCCTTACCAGAAGTTCTGCAAGCCTACCAACTGCTGGAATCTCTCTTCTCTCTGTGATGGCTTTCCGCAGGATCAAACGCAAACCTGCCAATGAGTAGTCAGTGACTAAGCATGGAAGATGGTTAAGAACCTTGGGTATGTATAAGAGAACAGAGATGGAGAAGCAGACAAGACTATGGTAATAGATGCACTGGAGAAGTACAGATCAATGCTGATGACCCATGTGTTGATCCCTGAAAGGCATGCATAACAGAAGATAGGAATACCACCAATTGCTGACTAAAAGCCTTGTCCAGTGTCAAATATTTGAGTTAAACTTATCCAGGAAATGGGTTATCCATCCCAGGTAAGAATTAATGGTATCTAATCTCATGTTGAAAGGGGGATTAAGAAGGGTACGATAAACCAGAATATTTTTTTTATTCAACATAGGAGGCAAAATATGTACATAGTGCATTATTATTTCTCTGAAATAACTTCATGAGATTAGCCTAATGCAACCATAACAAATGATATTAAAGTAGAAGATGAGATGCCATTTAAATAACCATCAAAGTCATCTAAATGTCTCATGTTTGGCACATTTAGTAACCCACAAACCATCTCAAATGGTTCTATGACTTGGAGAGGCTGACATGAAGACATTCTAAATCAACTAGGTGACAGGAACACACACAGACAGTTCTTTCCTCCATGTTTCTAGTTCCAGACAGGAATGGCAAAAGTTGGCCATGCTGATCAACACATATCATGCTGACACACCTCGCATGTAAACATTATCAGCATGTCCTTGTGCCATGAAACAAAAATCATCAAACCCCATAATTTGTATGGGTTCTATAGGTAATTGATGGGTTACACTAGCAAAGGTTTCACAAGTGCTCGATCAATGTAATTCTGCTTAGAAGCCTCAAGATTGCAGAAAAACACATTATGCAAATGCCAAAAGAGTTAAAATATATTAAGACTAACAAAATACAATAACCCTTATATGTTCGTAATGGTGTATCACACTGACCTTTCAGATTTGCCCTTCTTTAGCCATCTTGTCTACTTGTTTGAACAATGGCACAAGAACAGCCCCGCAAGAAGCATCACACTACCAATTCTATTTTAATCTGCCTAACCAAGGAGCTATCTTTAGGTTGGAATCTGAAGGCGGTTCAGTCTCTGCTACCTAATCACAAGAAAATATCTTTTTTTTTCTTTTGGACTTCAGACTATGCCTATGCAACTATTATGTGGGAAAGGATAACATTTTGTGTTCCAAACTTCCCTCGCAAAAATTTTCTCCTCCCATACTGCACCCTCACAATCTTGACAAGTGGATGGGACCTACACACAGAGGAAGATCCCCACCGGCTTCGACGCAGTGGAATAAAGCCACGTTATGTACTCATCATACCTCGAAGGGAATCGGTGGAAACGCCTCCCACAAGCCCCGGATGCGGAGATGCAAACGGAATTCACCTAAAATCCAATAAAGATCGATTCTTTAGCGCAGACTTCGGAGAAAGCCTCCGTAAACGAAGAGGAAACGTAAGGAAGATGAGGGCTTAAGACCTACGGAACCAATGTCTCGCAGGATGGTGAGCTCAGAGCTTCCGGGAACGGGAAGGGGGTATAAAAGGCCGCGGGGAAAGGCGAGGGCATCCGCATCCACATCCGGAGATGAGGAATCCTCGGCGGCCGGTGGGCCAACTGCACTGCCGGTGGAATCAGCTTCCATTAATGGCCTCTCTCTTTCATTTTTGTTTCTTTAGGGAGAGATGGGGGGAACCACGTTGAGCCATTGCGGGAGTCGCGCGAGCCAGTCCCTGGATTCCACCTCCTCTTCCCACCTTGACAATCCCCCATTTGCTTAGAAAGCGAGAGACTCTTGGGTGCTAAAGCTAGGGTTAGGGTTTAGTGCAAGGTGATGATTGCTTGATTTGGGTTTCCATGGAGGATATGTGATCACCCAAAATTGATCAATAAAAATTTATGAGAAATTTAGTTTGGACGAACTCCAAACAAGTCAAAATTTGAACTTTTTTTTGCTAGAGATTTTTTGTTTATAATGTTAATTATTAAAAAAAAAGGGGGGGGGGGGTTAAATTATGCATTAATCTTTTGATTTTTACTCTTAATAACACATCGAACTGATACGCTACGATGGTACACTCCGAATGCGCATTAGTTTATGACATCAGTGATGGTACATGAGATGAACCAAGAAAGGACCGCCATGAAGGTGGTGAGGGAGGAATCACGGCCCACTGACAAGATACAGACTGATGAGGGGGAAGCATCACGATCCACTGACAGGATGATGTGGGATGATGGAATTGTATTCCACTCCCACATGCTTTGGAAGAGTGAGAGCAGCTCTTTCCTGCAGTTCTTGCTGCCGCAGCAGCAGCAGCAGCAGCAGCACCACCACCACCAAGAACGGGAAGGCAGTGGGATTCCAGCACTCCTCACGTTGCTGCCGGTGACAGTGGCATCTCGCGTCCCATTCCTCTCCTTTATGCTGCATGCAACGAGCATCACCGCGACGCACTCGCGTTGAGAAAAAGGAGGAAAAGCTTCTGGATTCCTCATGGAAACTGGCACAAACCTGACATCAAACAATGTTCCCCGGGAATGAATGTAGTGTTGTAGTGGCCAGTGACTCATTACAAATGTGCACTGCAAATATTCTGAGATCTAGAAAGTAAATGTGGATTAGGATGTGAGCGTGTTTGTGGAGGCGCAGAAGGATAATTAGATACTGAGAGAGTGTGGTAAGGAAAAGTAATGGAGGAGGAGGAACGACGGAGAAGAATAGATGGAGGACGAAGAGCTGAAGAAGCCAAGTACGGAGGATTTTGAAGCAAGTGGGTAATTTTGAAATTTAAATAAAATGACACCATTTTCAATAAATTATCGAATAATATAAATTAATTAAATTATCCTCTTATGATGATAGGGTATGATAGTTTTTACACAATGCTTTACCCCCCATTGGGATTTACTGATCACCGACAACCTTAGGGCCCACCACATTACTGCACATATGTGCAACTGAAATCCAGGTATGCAAACCGGGTACTCATGGCAGAGTGAAATTTGTTTTGGTGTATCGTGCGGAGAGATCCTCCTACTTTCCCAAACAACACACGAATGTACCTGCCTTTCGATTCAGGGATATCCAATGGACCACGTGGATCCACAAAATTTCTTCTTGTACATCCAATCAAAACAAAGGTATGGAAGTCGAGTAGTCACACGAGGTGTCGAAAATTTATTTTCCATTGGGTCTCCTCGTATTATACGGAGATCCATCTTCTAATCATACAGAGCAGATTTGTAAAGGATCGCGCCAGTGTTTACACCACATTTATCCGCCTCGTGATTCGGAATGATAAGGAGCCCACAACAATATTGCTGATATTACCAATCAAAAGACAGGTAAACAATGCGTTGGGGTCAAATTTATTTTGGATGGGCTTCCCTGTATCATACGGGAGATCCGCTCCCCTTTCTTGCGCGTACATGTAACAGCCACAACGCCACAGAGAAACGTAAGAGTCTTCCCTTCCCCCAAATCCCTATCGAGTCTATCTTCCTTCCGTCGATCGTCCCGAAGACCCTTCGATCTATCCTCGTTGCGTTAGGTGCGTGATCTTTCTCGTATTCATCATGTCGATTTTGATCGATGAACGGGAGATCTTCTTTCACGATTCTTTTCTTGGTGATCTTGACATGGCGATGCCGGCTTGTTTCTGGGATTGCAGGAAAACGGGATCCATGGCGAAGAGTTCCTTCAAGTTGGAACATCCTCTCGGTCCATGCCCTTCTTTTTATCCCCCTTCTTGATTATTCTTGTATTAAATATGATATGATGTTTGTATTATTTTTTCTGGGTGATTATTCTTGTGATATAGGGTTCTCTTGAATTCTTGTTGAAGTTGAACTGGTTACAGAGATCCTGGATTGGAAATTTCCTTTGAGAATTACATTTGGGAAAACGAATTTTCCATAAATTTATGAATAGAATGTTGACAGAAATTATTTTTGTGAATACAATGTTGGCCATGGTAGTTCTCTGGTCTTTGGAGATTGGTACTCTCTGTTGTCGTTGAATAACAGGTTTAGACAATTAAATTGGACGCATTTAGAGGATTCAGCTTTTCATTTTGAAATTTATGTAACAAAAAAATCCCCTCCTTTTATAATAATGTTGGCACAAATTATCATGTTTTATACAAAACTTATCACAGGATTTAAATTGCACAAGTTAAATATATGTGTTTTTCATGTCACTGGCTGACCACATTAGGACGAAGGGTAGAGGAAGACAGTGTGTACCTGAAGATTGATCTTTAACAGCCTATTTAAGTGCCTGTCGTAAGCGATTCACAATGACCTGTATTTTCTATTCTGAGGTTGAGGGTTCAAGTACGTCGATAACCTAAGAATTCTTGTCTCTTGTTCGATTAGTTCAACATTTTTTTCTCATTAGCTTCGTTTTAGCATTACAGTTCTTGGTCACAAATTATTTTGGCCATCAATTGTTTTGATTGCTTATTGTGTAAACATCTGTTATGCAAAGAATAAATTGTTTCTGGGGTAGTTCCTGAATTGTAGTGATTTCAATCTTTGTTCTTTTTTAGAACACAATTCATTTCTTGCATGCCATGCTTTTGATCTTTGTCCTAAATTTTAATTTTGAAACCATGGAAAAATGCTCTTTGATCAGTTTACCATTTGTGTAAGACTTCTATAGGATTATAATCCTTTCATTCAGTTTCCTATATATACTTTAATTTCTTGATCTTTTCAGTCTATCAATTCAAACGAAAACGGGGTTTTGGTTCTCCCCAACATGCAATCTCTTCATATTGTTAGAAGTTTTTATTTTTATGATTTCAGTTAGATGTTGGCAACCTTGGATACCTGAAGTAGGCATGAAAAGACAGTCCACTGCATTCTAGAAAAGTGTTACATGATAAGACTAATTTGAAATGATTATTTTAATTGTTCCTCGGGGCTATGTGGTACTGATGGTTTGGCTTCCTATCAATTGCAAATGCTATGCATCACATGATCAAACTTGTTTGTTGTGGCAACTGACTAGAGAAACTTTAACTGGTCTAGCATGTGGTTACATTTTAGAGAAGTAGAAGGTAATTGCATCTCAATAGATACTTGGGAATTATTTATTTTTCCGAAAGACACGTGCTTCATGTAACATCAAGTATGCTTGTGTTGCAATGCTTTTAAGTTTGATTGAAATGGCTTTCAAGATGATTTAATTTTATAATTCCTCTAAAGCATATATTGTGTTACAGAAAGGAGGCAAGCAGAGGCTGCTCGTATCAGGGAGAAGTATCCTGACAGGATTCCTGTAATTGACATCATGTTGATCATGCATGAAATAATTAACTGATGTTTTATTTTGTCTAACGCTTCATTTGATATAGGTGATTGTGGAGAAGGCTGAAAGAAGTGACATTCCAGACATTGACAAGAAGAAGTTAGTTTCTTAACATGTTTACATTACCTGTTGAATCATGTCTCATTCATAACTACTCACATATTATGAGGAACTTATAAAACCTTGCATGTTCGTAACAGTCTAATAGTTTGTTTTGAACTGACCAATTATATTAACTTGGATCACCGCTAGGTTCTCCTACATGCTAAAAGCTAAGCACAACTATCATGTTGTGTTACATGTCTTTGGCTATTATAGTCTTATTGGGTTGTCCTTTTTTAATGTTTTACTAATAGATCATCTACATGTTAGATACTGTCCTCGACCCTTAGGTGGTTCACTTTGCATAACATGGCATCTATTATTTCTTCCTTTATACGGAATATATTTTGTTATTCATCTGAAGTGAAGTTAAGAAAACATTGAGATACAATAAATTCCTAAATGGATTCATTGATGTGTGACATGTCATTTACAATGCTGTGTGCCACTTCTGTAGGCCATAATGCTGATGTGCCATGTAATGGCTACATTTTCACTATTTATAATATGTACTTTACATGTGTATTACTACATTTTACTTGTTGGGCTGTTGTGGCTCATTTATTGCAATTTATGTGACTCCACTATGGACACAAGCAGATGCTATTCTATGGTTTCTTGTTTTTGCTGTAGCACTAGGCAGTACATAAGCTGAGTCTTTTTTTTATGGGCGTTACCTACTTTATTTATTTTGTAGTTATATTCACCCTCTCCATGCGATTTTGAATTTATCTACCAAGGAATTTTCATTATGATATCATTTTTTATGTGATGTGGATAATGGAACTATATTTTACATGATTGAAGAAACTCCTGGTAGTTTAAGTGTTACATAGTGGCAAAATGAAATGAGATGATCCTGGGTAATTTATAATAAATTATGAATGTGTCAACTAACTTATTTGGTAAAGACTTTAACAGCTTATCGCCGGGTCTTGAGCTCGAATCCCGCTTTCACTCCTCATTGCAAAAAAAAAAAAAAAAGAACCTGATCTGATATCTAGCTGAGCTAGTTCCAGCAAATGTCAGAACACTTGAACTGGATTGTTCATTGTTGGGGAGCTGAATCCAAAGCCCCTGGAGTGTTCTCAGTTTGGATTGAATGATGTTACTCAAGTGAGCTGTAAGGGTCTTTATAGGAGCATAGCAGTTTGTCACCCTTAACCCTAATGGCATAGACACGTTGCTGGATAATAAATATGGACAATAATTCTGTACTTCTTGCTTATCAGAATGAGTGATGCTCGAATGTAGATAATTCTTTTGTGGTCTTGGTAGAGAACTAGTTCATCTAGCTGTGCAAGGTTTTTGTGCTAAGATATTGTCATACAATTATGATAACAACTTGATGCAGGTACCTGGTTCCCGCTGATCTCACAGTAGGACAATTTGTTTATGTGGTGCGGAAGAGGATTAAGCTCAGTGCTGAGAAGGCCATTTTCATCTTTGTGAAGAATACTCTTCCATCAACAGGTAAGCTCTACGAGTGTTAAATTAATTGTTTCACAGTGTAGTTTAACACTAATTTTCTTGCAGCTGCCATGATGTCCGCAATCTACGAGGAAAGTAAGGATGAGGATGGTTTCCTGTACATGACTTACAGCGGGGAGAACACATTTGGATCCATGTAGGCAAAGCAGAACATCTTCTGTAAATAAGAACTGATATTTATGTATATTCTTCTCACTCCCCCTGTGAGCTTCTCAGTACTGTTCCATTTTCATATGCACGAGTCTAATTCGGTATACTTTGAAGTTGGGTTTCTTATGTACATTCGTCTCTTTTAACTATTGTTTCTTGATTGCCTGCTGTGCTAGTGTGTTGTTATTGTATATGGAAATCCGGTATTGGGAATACTTCACATGAGTTACGTGCTTTATACCTGTGCACACGATATGAGAATTAGCTTCTAAAGTTGCAGCCAATGTAGGTACCTACGTCATTGAGATACTTGGGTATCTTTTACCCAGTTTTATTCTTTCATGATATAGCAAACCTTTATGAATTATTTTTTTTTGGAATATAGTCCTTCAAGATTGATAAGCTCTATGAATGCTATTTCTATTTGAAATTTTGTGGGCATATGTGAATTTCGGGTTTCAGCCACAATAACTGAATCATTTGCGTTTTATTAACTTAAATTATTGGTATGTGTGAATTCCTCTTTATTTATGGCTTCCACCTATCTGTTAATTGAAAATTTGGTGTCGATGTGGTGAATCCCCAAAGTAGGTTTGTCCTATCAAAGTGTAAAAGATTGTTTATTATTTTAAAATATTTTAAGGTAATTCGATCCAATTTTGAACCTAAGTATATGGCAAATCATAGTCGGGTTCGAATCATCACAAACATGTGGACCTGATTACGATGAGACCCATAGATCGGTCACGTGATAGACCAGGTGATCTCGTTCGGCTAAAACATCGCCATTGTTGATGTGACCAGACTGGGCTTCACTCGGATCCAGAAGCTTATCATACGACCCGTTATTAGTCACACTCCGAACATCGGAATTCTGGGTCATGGCCCATGAGATCATTACTCGAGTCCCGTGACACGCGGTGAGCGCACCGGTCTCATCGGCACCTCCCTCCTCACTTGTGACGAGTCACCCCCTTGTATTCTACTCCGCTTTAACGCTTTACAGTGAACAAACCGCCACTTTTCGTCCTCCCATTGGCTCCTCCACCGACCGTACTTACTCCCTCCACCCAGCCCTCCTTTTCTTCTCCTCCCTTTTCCGACTCTTGTTTTCTTTCCCCCTCTCTCCCTCTCTAGGGTTAGGGTTAGGTTCCTCTTCGTCTCTTCCTTCTCCCTTTGCCCTGGCGATCAAGAGCAGAAATCGAGGGTTTTGACTGAGATTGGGTCAGATCAGAGATGGGATCCGAGGCGGCCGCCGCCATTCCTAGCTCGCTGGTGCAGGAGAGCTTCGCGGAGCTGGAGAAGCAGCGGGAGCTCATCACCTGCTGCACGCTTCTGTGGAAGGAGCTGTCCGACCACTTCTCCACCCTCGAACGGGGGCTCGAGATCAAGTCCGAGGCCCTCCGGTCCAAGCGCCAGTCCCTCGACGCCTCCACCCGGCGCACTCTCGGCTCCCTCCGCCGCCGCGAGCTCTCCATCGACGCCGCCGTCGACCTCGCCCTATCCAAGCTCGACGAGCGCCGTGTCGCCGCCGTACAGGCCCTCGCTGCCGCCGCTGCCGACGGGGACGAGCTTGGTCTCCCCGAAAAGCTGCGATCTCTTTGCACTAAGATGGATTTCGACGGGTTCTTCGACCTCGTGGTGGCGAAGAGGAAGGATGTGGAGCTTCTCCGGTCGGAACTCCCTGTGGCCCTCGCGGACTGCATCGATCCGTCCAAGTTCGTGATGAACGCCATCTCTGGGGTCTTCCCTGTCGATAAGAGGCTGGTGAAGTCACCGAATGATCTCGGGTGGGCCTGCGTGCTGATTCTGGAGTCGCTGGTGCCTGTCCTGGCGGATCCAGAGCTGGGGACGGCAAGGCTGTTGGTAACTCGAACCACAAGGGAGCGGGCCAAGGAGATAGCGGAGGAGTGGAAGGAGGGGCTGGAGCAGCACGGTGGGGTCGAGAACACAAAGCCATCTGATGCGCACACGTTTCTCCAGCTCGTGGTAACTTTTGGGATCGTAGAGAAGGATGACAAGGCGTTATACCAGAGGCTTGTGGTTAGTTTTTCATGGAGGAAGCAGATGCCAAAGCTGGCTATATCATTAGGTCTTGAGGATAAAATGGAAGGTACTCCTTTCTTCTGTGGTTTCCTTTTCGGTAGTCTAATGCATCCTAGGGCTTCCTGATATTAGATCATCAAAGTAATACTATTACATTTGCACGGTTGTCTTCGCAGTAGTGTAAGAATGTTTCTTTAGCGAACTAGAATAATTATGAAATTGCTAGTCTTAGTAATGCTATGCGCTATAGTCTACGAATGTTCGAACTAGAACAATTATGAAATTGCTAGTCTTAGTACTGCTATGTGCAGCTATGAAGATGAGGAGAAATAAGGTTTTATCTCTTACAGTTATCTGGAGCTTGTTATCTTCATGCTTGCCATAAACTATCAAACAAATATAACCCTGTGGGATATATATGAAAGTTTGGGTAATGTTGATTGACTTAATGCTACATGCTGTTATCATAGTATCTTATCTCCCAATTCTTTAGTTCCAATAACCATGAGGGGGTATTTTGTCGGTATTAAATTTGTTATGCTTTATGCATGGCAGCAATTCTAAACAACATGAACCATCTTGAAGTGCCATGTGTCAGCTTGGCTAGGCATTTTTTGACTGTGGATGACTCATGTTCCGCAGCTGCTGCATCATTTTCAGGTGTAATATGGATCGATGGTTGTTGCATCAAAGTGCATACTCCACTTCTAGATGATAAATTACCTGTTTATTCTCATTGACTGTGGTATTTTGGTCATATTCAAAATGGCCTCGAGTTATATGGGCTACTTGGAACTAGGCTTCTGTAGTCAGAAGTTGGAATGTGCTCTGGTGGCTTTCAAGCACTCATCATGTGTTCTGTGGAAGCTCATGTTAACAAGTGATTCCTGTTGGAATGCATTTTCATGAGTTCAACATGCACAATTATATATATTTTCTGTTGAGGTACAACTGAAAAGAGATATGAATAACCTAACGCACTCCTGTGGAGTTCTAATTACGCTCCTTAGATGGTGTCAATGTCTCTATTTGAGCTGGGGAGGACTATCTGATAACTATTATGGCATATTACCTGAACTATAAAGTTTAGGTGCTATGTGATAACCATCGTTGCTAGACAGAATTCCTTGAGCTGATCGCTTAATATGTGATCCAAGAGTTGCATTAGTCCTTGAATACTTAAAAGCTTGTTGATATTCTTTGTAGTCCTTCCTTTTGGAACTGTACCTTAATGTATCGTGAATTCAGTCTGTACATTTTGGGATTTTGTAGGATTGTTATTTAAATGTCTGCAGGAAAAGAAAATGCAGTTTGTGAAGGATCAGTGCTACTGCCAATTATTCTATGGAAGATCCCATCACATTTAGTTGTTTTACTTGAGTTCTTCTTTTGCATCTGCAGATATTATTGAGGAACTGATCAGCAATGGGCATCAGCTGGATGCAATAAACTTTGCCTATGAGGCTGGTCTTCAGGACAAGTTCCCTCCTGTTCCACTGCTAAAATCCTTCCTCAAAGACTCTAAGAAAGCAACTTCAACATCTGATGATCGCAACAATTGTGGGCAAACTGCGGTATACCTACGCATTCATTCTAGAGGGTCTTGTCTTTAATCAATTGATGTGACTAATCATTAGCTTAATTCAATAATGTTAACTTTAGATACTTCCATATGGGCTGCTTCTTTTTGTCTCTCTGATAAATTTATGCTCATATTCTTGGATACCTAAGCTTAGTAATTATTTGAGATGCTTAATATGATTTTGTAGCTTGTCTAATGTTTCACATGGATGTAGAAGCCAGAGGGTGCTCATTCTGTTCTATTGCAGAATAACACATGCCGCAAGGAACAGTCAGTTATTCGGGCTGCTATTAAATGTATTCAAGAACACAAGCTCGAAGCTGAGTTTCCTTTAGAGGGGCTTCAGAAGCGACTCGAACAATTGGAGAAGGCCAAGGTTGAGAAGAAAAGACCTTCTGGTGGTGGTCCTGCCAACAAGCGAACCCGAGCCAGTAATGGGGGACCAATGCCTCCTGCCAAGGCTGGTCGTCTGACTAGCAATGCCTGTGTTTCCTCCTTCCCTGCTGCTCCCGCCTTTGTACGATCACCATCATCCCATGCGACATACCCTGCAGCTGCTCCTTATCCTTACGATAGTCCAGCAGGACTTGGGGTCTATGGTAGCAGGAGCCCACCAGCTCTCAGGGACTCCTATGGATACCCAGCTGAAGTTGGCTCTGCTGCACTTGGTGCATCATACCCCTCGCCACCTATGAGCTATCCAGTCTATGGGAATTACAACAATGGCTTGGGAGGTTACAACAATGCATTGACACCAGTCTACCAGCAGGCTTACTACAGGTAGGTTTGTATCGAGACTTTGACAAATTGACCTGGCTGGATGATATAACTAGTAATAAATTTCAGCCACTTGCTCGATGGCCTATTTTGTAGCAACTAACTAAAACTGTAGGATGTGTGCTGTGTGCTTACTAGATGGTTTGCTTTTAGTTTCTTGTTTAGATCAGCTGTATTCTGCTTTCCCCTACCGCATGTAAATTATATTGGATCAAAATTTCAAGATGCTTTAATCCTTAGTAGCCGAATACTTTTTCATATCAGATTACTTAATCCATCGTAGAGATGTATATGGTATCTTGGTTCAACACTTGCTGCTTTTCAGACAATCATGATTGTAAAACTCTTTTGTACTGGACATGAAGAATAGGTATTGCATGTTGCAAACTGATTCATGTATGAACCTGTCATTGGTCAGTGTCGATAGTTCCCTTGGGTAGTTGTATTGATGTTTGTAGGGGAACCTGCCATGTGCTCTTGGTTCTTTGAAACCCCTGTTGATAGTGCAAAGTTGACATGGTTTTGATCTCATATGTTGGCATAGTGTGTGCCTACTTCATCATCACTTTAATAGCATTTGGCTTTTTCTGGTGGTTGCTGCATGAATGCTGCACTTGTCACAGCCTGACCATCAACAAAAAGATGCCCTTCTTTGCCTTGCTTTTCCAATCCGTCGGTTGCTTAGGTGCACAAAATTCTCTGCTGGTTTGTCATCATATGTATCAGGGTTTTATCTGAAGAAGGTTGCAATGTCTCAAACGCATAATAAACTGATATTAATGCAGTGGTTGTGCTGTCTGAATTATTTGGATTAGGTACAGCAGGATCTACTTTTGTTGCTAGCTCTGCTATTCTTGCATGTTTATTGGGCATATCCCCTCTCATTGTATTCCCTCTCTATGTGACAAGCTTCACATCATGTTGATATAATTTGCATAATTCATCAACATATCTGATAATTCTCAAAATCTTTTGAGCTTTGTGAGCACAATGACATTTTATCATCTCTCTTTAATTCTCTTCATCGAGAGACTTACATTATTCTACGACGCACAACAACAGAATTTACTGTCTTCTCAAGCTAACAAGCAATACATGAAACGAGCCTACTTTAGCTGATATTTGTCGGAAGATACGAGCATGAGCAGTGCCAGAAATCACTCACAGACGAAGCCTTCTACTCCACCCATGCTGATCTCCATCATTGATTCCATGCCGACGTACTTGAGAGGAAGAAGAGCAGAACTATCAGAGACCGGCTCGATCTGCTGCCTGAATCTGTGTGGTGTCATCTCCTTTAGAAGACAAAAGAACCAACACCTTCTTCGTTATCTCGAGGCATCAAGTATTGTAGGACTCTACCTGCGCTTGACCGTGGCGTCGTCGACGGGATCTCCGACGCTGGGCTGGCGGGAACCAACGGCGTCGATGGGATCGCCGCGGCCGGTAGTGCAGCAGGTGAGGCCGCCGGTGCGCCGCTGACACCTGCTGCTGCACCTATGAAACGACTCGACGTCAACAATGCCGCCTCGGCGGGGGCCTTAGAAACACCGGCTACGTACCTTTGCACTGGCTAAGCGGCGGGGTGTTCACTTTGCAGGCGCCGGGCAGTGCCAAGGCCTGGGTCTTGTTGACGGCGAGCCCGAACGACGTCGCATCGCCGTTGAGCACCGCGCACAGGCACGTCGGCTGGGACCGCACCGCGCTGCCCAGCTGCGTGCAGCACGCGGCGGTGGGCGCCGCAGGTGGTCCAACGCCTCGTTCCCTTATGAAGCTCATGCACGGGGACAGGCTCATGATCACGGAGGTGCAACCCGGTTGCGCGGAGGCGGGGCCCGAGAGCGTCGCCGCGGCGATCAGTGCCGTGGCGAAGGCGGTCGCGGCGGTGGTCGTGGTCGTCATCTCCATCTCGTGGGGGGCTGCGGTGGTGATTGTGGCGAGGCGAGCAAGGGAGGAGCGGTTCATATGACAGTTTGAATGGCGTGGTTGACCTCCAAATGGGTGGTCAATTGTGCCTGTCCATGGATGCCTCAAAGGAAGAAGGAAGTAGGTGGCATAACTATATCTACTTACGTACATATAAAGATTTATTGGCCACAATTAACATCATCTTCAAATGTTTGGAGACAAAGATTTGATTGAAGCCGTATACAATGATAGTTAGCTTCGCTTATACGATTATATGGTCTAATTTAGATTGGATTTTACAAGTTGGACTTTATGGGTTCACACCACGAATAGCCCAACAAAGTCAAGTCAAAATTGCTATCTTACAAAACCCAACAATAGAATTGAATCAGATATAACCAATCGATTTCTATGATTCTGTTCTTTTATTCGTAGCTCATTAATAATAATGTAAATCTTTCTCGCATAGGAGTCTTCTTCTCGTGGCGGCTTCGAAGATGCGGATGAGTTAAGGCTGTCAAAGTCAAAAGACATCTCTCTTGGCATTACATAGCCGAATGCCATGGCCTTTCGATTCCATGGTGCTCACCAGCCTGGCATCCTTCAGGTCTTGACCAAGTCAAACAATAACCATATTGTATTTTCATTCCAAATCTTCTAATTATCTCATAAATTATTTATCGATTAGGATGAGGTTTCGAAGAAGAAGTGTTTTTAATTGATGTTTTTATCTCATACATGTCACTATCTGCAAGAAAACGAAAGATGAACTGCCCGTCTCCCACTACTCCACACAAATCCTTATTCTGAATGTAGTCTGTGTCCAGCAACCAATAGTCCACACTTCTGATCAATGATGTGCACCGATCACGGATCGATCTCAGTAATGATGATGTGGAGGCGGCGGCGAGGATGGCGGTGGAGGCGGCGGCGGTGGCCGTGCGATGCAGCCATTGGAGTCGCAGTATTTCGGCTTCGACAAGAAGGCCATGCACTGCTCCGGCGGCCGTTGGTCCGGCCGGTACGGGATGCAGTTCTTCCGGTCGTCGTGGCTTCGGATCTTCAAGCACTGCGGCGGCTCCCCGCAGAAGTAGTTGTAGGAGTAGGTGAAGTTCTTCAGCCTGGGCAGGTCGCAGATGCTGCATGGGATCTCCCCCGACAGCTTGTTGTGCGCCACGTCCAGCTGCTCCAGCTTCCTCATCCCCCCGATGCTCTCCGGCAGCGGCCCCACCAGGTGGTTGTAGCTCACGTCGAGCACCCGCAGCTTGTCCAGCCTCCCGATCTCCGGCGGTATGCATGCTCTGAGGCCGGTGTTCAGGATCACCAGCTCCCGCAGGGTCTCGTGCATGTTGGCTATGCTCTTGGGGAAGCACCCGGTGATCTGGTTGTTGGCCAGCACAAGGACCGACACCGGGGAGTTGCCGATGTTGTCCGGTATGGAGAAGGTGAGTTGGTTGTTGTTGATGAACAGAGCATCCAGCTTGAGGTCGAAGACGCAGGACGGGACGTCGCCGCAGAACCTGTTGTAGCGGATGTCGAGGAACTTGAGCGACGGCAGCTGGAAGACGACCGAGGGGAACGATCCCTCGAACTGGTTGTTGCTGACGTCCAGCTCGTAGAGCAGCTTCAAGCACTCGAGGGAGGAAGGCAGGGCGCCGTGGAACTTGTTGGAGTTGAGGTGGAAGACGGCGAGGTCGGCGAGGAGGCCGAGCTCTTCGGGGAGAGTCCCCTCGATGGCGCCGTGGTTGAGGTCGACGCCGGCGACGGTGAACTCGTGGGGGTTGTCGGGGGCGGGCGCGCAGTACACGCCGGTGTAGTTGCACACGTGCGGGCCGCACCAGTTCTCGGTGAAGCCCTTGGGATCAGAGGTGATGGAGTGCTTCCATGCTTGCAGAGCCACGTAGGCCTTCTCGAGCCTGGGGTTGGAAGGGCGATAGTATTCAGAGGCCGAAAGGAGGGGAAGACACAGGAAGAAGAGGCCTAACAAGGCTCTGTGTAGGCAGATAGAGGTGACCATGTTTCCACATGAAGTTTAATGTTTGTGTCGGAGACTGGCTTGGCTTTGGCTTCTATATAGACACAGACAATGAATGGGACCAAAGATGAGCAATGGCAGGATGCTTCCATCTCTTACGATGTGGCAAAATGGATCCAGGAAATGAAGGTTGACTGGGTAAGAGAAGCATGTGTTTCAAGTTAGTGTGCGGGCGAGTATGGTGGACAGCAACACAAGGAAGACGACTGTGGGACAATGCACTGTCCGGTTGCTGCAAATGGAGAATAAGATAATAATAGTCTCGTTGGGTGACTGCTATTGCCTGTTGCGACACCAAATACACGGTTTGGGGTTTCCACATGAGTTGTGTGACCAGCTTGCAATGGCCATGATGGACGCTGCAACAAGAAGAAGGCATGTGGAAGGAAAGAAAACCCATATCAATTAGGGTTTTGCTTGCATGTTGGGTTGCTAAATCCACCACTTTTGGTCTTGAGGAGTGGTTGTTTGTGGATGTCTTCTTCTTCTTCTTCTTCTTGCATTATCTATCTATCTTTGGAATAATTGTAGTAGCTTTTCCTTTCTTCTTAATTAGAAGTAACTCAATGTTTCTAATTTTTTGGAGAGACATTTCCATGATCTGAAAGCTTTGAAAAGATTTCTTTTGACAAGTCAAACTTATGGTCACCAATCATGCATGCTTTTGGAGAAAGAACAAGTCAAAACCACAGGCAGTGCCCATTTGCTTAAGCAGTAAGAACTCTTTCATCAGCTGACTATTATTCATTGATCAGACAATGAAAATAGAGATCAATGCATAAATATTTACACATGAGATAAAAAATAATAATTATTATTATGTAATCTTGTATTTGAATAAGCCTCATGAGTCATACACCATCACAATTTCATCTACAACCTCCTATATATTTGACTTGATGCTTACAAAAACACAAAAGAATGTTTTGTCATTAAATCAAAATGATGGTTAAGATCAAACCCACCAAATGATCTAAAAGGATTCAGATGAAGCCTTCAAACTTCTTTTTTCTTATTGGCTTCAACAAAAAAAACAAGAGTCACATACTTGTTGGAAAAGGTTTAATCTTGGGACCAATAAGTTGGGTCCTTGCAATAAGATTCTCCTTTGCCAGTCCTTTTAAGGTCTACTGCTGTGCTAAGGTCCACAAAGATGACCCTTCCTCTTGGCCTATGCTTTGTTTTCATGTATCTACTTGTAGTACATCCATTCCCTAAATATCTGTTGATATGATTGTCTCAACATAAAATAGCTGTCTTGGATTATCTCTTAAACATGTATGTACACAAGCATCCATTACCATTAATTAATCATATATAGGTGGGTAACCCAACCCAAGTCCAACTTTTTTATTAGATAATTTTGATTTAGTTATGATGTTCAGTGGCTATTATATTAGCAAAAACTATGGTTAGTACATGATTGATGATCTTTGGCCAAATCCAATTTAGTTAGGGTTGGAATTGAACTATTCCATTATATAGACCTAATCAGAATACATATCCAAGAAATTGAGCTTATGAAGAGTTCAACTCATTGTTTTCAGTTTTCTTTCTTAGACCATCTCACTTGCACTTACAAATATGAAAGGTATCATCTACCTACTCAAATGCTCAAATCAACCACCACTCAATGTGAATTGACAAGTACATGTTATCAATTTGCTTAGCAATCTTGCCTACAATGTATAATATATATATTACATTGCTTGATTGATGTGATCTTTGGGAGCCACTTGAAGCAAGTCTTTTTATGCAATACTTTTATGTGGTTGGATGTTGACTACTTGGCATCCTTCCTTTTGTTTGGGGGTGAGTGGTTATAGGTAGCCAATCCCTTTTGTAGAGACATTAGTTTATTACTTCTTGGATTTTATGTGGAATAACTATCAATCTTAAATGTCATATAATCGAACTCGAATACTCTATTATATTGTATGCATATAATACTAATTCTTCAGATACCTTCAATCATCTCATAAATGGTTATTCGAGCACAGAAAAAAAATATATACATATATATCTTGTAAAAATGATTGATTAACCATTATATATTTCAGGAAATTCTAGATTGACATGCTATCACACACACATGGTGACCATGTCACCTCCTCTTTTACCATGGTTTGACGTGAATTCCATAGTCCAATGGGTGTGCAGCAGCAATGTCCACATCATGCACACAGATGAATAGAGAGAGAGAGAGAGAGAGAGAGAGAGAGAGAGAGAGAGAGAGAGAGAGCACCCTCAAGAACAAGGCAGTGAGAAGAATCTTGTCTGAGTCATTGTGGTCACACGGTCCTATGAAAAGAAAGAGGATGGTGCCATAGAGCCTTCATTTCATGCCAGTAAAATGCATCACTTTAATACTTTGGATTCCTTCTTTGTGATGCTACTTCTTGCATCAAACAAGCTTTGTCATGGACTGTTCAACCATATATGCCTTTTTGACCATCTCCCTTATTATTATTATTATTTTTCCTTCTTTCTTTTTCTGATTTGGAGGGATGAGTGTTGGAGATTCAATTAAACTTTATCCAAATATCACATGCAAGATGTTAATTAATTAGTCTAGCTGATAAAGATCTTGATATTGATCGTAAGATTCTGAAATCGAGCAAGCAAAAAATATTGTTAGTTCTAAATTGATGTATCGAAATCCACTTTCCAAAAGATCTTTTGCTCTCATGTTTCTGATCAAGGAAGCATATAACCTTAATTTTGAAGAGTGCATCAATTATTTGTAAATATTCTAATATTGTTGTTTATTCCCTGATTGCTTCTTGTATATTCTATTTGTACAAATGAAATATTATTGCAGCTATTTTTCATAATCAAATTATCATTATCTCTTTCTATTCATTATCTCTTACTTATTTAGATGTGATGATCATTACTTTATGAGACAGTCTATAGTCTCTTTTTCTACTCATTCTTGTATATTAATTGAATCATCCTATCCTTATTTATTCGGCAATGACAATTCTTCATTTTTGTCTGTTGATTGATACTTGTGAATTAAGTTTGGAATGATCATGGAGTCTGGAACATATTATCTACCATATGTTTGACCTAATCCCAAATATGAAATTACCAGTATAAAAGTATAGTAATTATTCAAAATATAACAATAACTATTATTATTATTATTATTATATAATGCTTTCATCAGCCCATGGGCCTATGGATTTTGGCCCAACAATCGGCCTATGTTTGAACTTTGTTTGTGATAAGCTCAACACACACATCATGCATGATATGATGTGGATAACACATTGATCACAGACAGGGCATATATTTATTTACCTTGCATTTTGTGCCCAAACAATGGTGAAGGTGGGGAGTTGTCATCTTTGTTGTGTGCTTGTTGTGCTGCTCATCGCATCAGCATCTATGTTCTTTCTACCGTGTTGATGTCGAGCAATGACAATGCCACGCGTGTTGGTGATAGTACCACAAATGCCTCTCAAAAGATTCACAAGCCTTCTATCGAAACTCTACAACCTTATCCATCTGCAGGATGGTGCCAACCTTTACTACAAAACCTAGGCTTCCTTCATCCTTTGATCTCACCATCATCCGGCAGCTCTCATCTCGATTCCACCTTGTTTTACAGAATCATGCGTGGTTGCAAGCTTCATGTCTGCTTGCTAGAATCATGAATCCATCGGCAACCTTGTTTCTCGATTTACCCAGATGAGCCATGGCTGAGATCGAAGTCTCCACCCACTGCAACTGCTGCAGCGATGACATGCTTCTCTACGGATCATCTATAGCCTCACGTATCAGTTTGCGAGAGAACTAGACGGTGGTGCATCTGAGGCCACACTCAGCACTGCTTCTGATCTTTCAACTGGCCGGATTTGCCACCGTTTCCGCTGGCAGTCCAGTTCTGAATCTGTCCAGCAACGCACTGCGGTCGATCACGGTGGCCTTCTTGCATATCCATGTCTAGGAATTCACCTCCATCCAATTCAACTCCCATGAACACTGTGGAATTTTCATTCCTCGTCAAGCATTCTGCTTTAAGCAGCACAAGTGTGCCTTCTGCTATCTCGTTAGCTCTTTGGGTTAGCAATCGAGCTCTACTTTGTGCATGAGCTAATCATTCGACAACATGCAAACGATCTTGGACTTGGACTTCTCGTTCACGCGTAACATCGGATTTCACAATGGCATGTGCGAGCGATACAGAGCATAATTAGGCGTAATGTGATGATGGTCCCAATCCAATTTGCTCGATGACCTAATAATATGCAAAACGCAGTACACACTTGCTGCGATGCATCGGATATTTAATGGCCTGCTTGTGCTTGTTGGTGGTGGTGAGTATTATTGAATGGGGAAGAGAGGACAGGACCACAGCAATTCAATGGTGGTGACAAGGAAAAGAGAAAGAAAGGCTACTGCATGCATGGACCACAAAGCCATTGTTTCCGATTCTAGGGTTTTTCTTTTTTATCTAGGGTTTATTAGGACTCCGCAGGAAGTTGCTTCACCGTCTGCAAGCCCTGCACGGGGAGACTGGCATCCCCTTGGAATCAGCTCACAGATGCAATGGCAGGGACGGTGATGGGTGAACTGTTTGTTTTGTGGAGAATGGTACACGAGCATCTTTCCAATCTGTTCCTACTAACATACCACTTCCATGTATATCTCTTTCGCTTACACCATGGACCACTGCGTCGTGTTGCAGAGCTGAGTACAATCGCAGCTGCACCGTGAGGTGTTGATTCCTTGGAAGCTCAGAGATCATCGTTACATGGATGCTCAGATGGCCCACCGATCACATTATTGAGCTTTACACCATGAAATGAAAACTTGGTTGCAGATATTGCCACCGGTACTTTGATTCCCCTATCCAATAAACCTACTCATAAATGTTTGCTGCCGGTACGATAAAGAGATGTCGAGCCACAACTTTGTCCGAGTGGGGCACCAACAATTCCTATACTGGTAAGGTAGTGTAAGGTGAAAAGACGTGGATCCATGGAGGGGTGTGGATTCTCTCCTTTGGATACAATAATGTCGGAAGGAAATAAAAGATTACAGAATCAAACACAGGAAACAGAGAGTCATTCCCTGCTTGAGGTGAGCAAAGGTTTGTCGTAAAGATTTGAGATCACAAGTTCTTTTGGTTCATAATTAAGAACCAGCAGAAGATCATACATAGTACAGGTTGCATCAAGATCTTTATCTTGTTCACTTCTCTATGGCTGGGAGTCGTTTGCTTTCATGCTGTAAAGTGAGTACAACCCTAGATAAGATACAGGAGAACGAAAAGATGGGTGTGCACTACTTCATCATCTTTGCATAAGATCCATTGGGCAGGAACAAAATAGTTCTTGCAGATAATTAAGATCGTCTTTTGGATGCAATAACTTAACATAAAAGTGGACACAAATGGACGGCAGCAGCTTCTTCCCAAACTTCCATCCTCTCTCTCTCTCTCTCTCTCTCAAAGTTGAGACACTTGAAGAGAATGAAAGAACTGAAAGTGATCTTTTTTGTGTTCCCTCTTTGTGACCCAAACAAAGCAAGGGAAAGTAGTCCTCTCTCTCTTCTTTTCTCATCTCACACAGACACTTGTTCAGGGGAGCTGTATCCGATGGAAGGATTGTGGAGATCATGGTGACATTCCCTTCTTCCTCTTCTCTTTCTCTCTTAAATCATTATCCAAACACACACACTTGTTCAGGGGAGCTGTATCCGATAGAAGGATTGTGGAGATCATGGTGACATTCCCTTCCTTTCTGCAGTGGATCTAAATGTTGTGGAAGTGTGGTTGCCTTCCCAAAATATGCATGTTGCTTACCTAATAGAATCTGGCCCTTTGGGAAGGCTGAAAGCAAGACTTTGTATATGGTCGAGTACTACTGCTTCAAAAGAATATTGACAAGACCTTAATTAATAACACTATTAGATATATAACACCAGCCCTGGCAATATAGAAGAAACATAAATAGTTCAATGACATTACTACTGTCATTATAATTTCTGTTTTACACACAACATACACATTTTATCTTGGCATTAGGTGGCTGAATCAAGTACTTCTTTAACTAGTGCAGACTCAACTTTACAAGTACATGTAAAGGAGCACCCAAGAGGAACAAAAGCAAGCATTGGATGGAAAGAAGGCATGGAAAATAAACACTGGAGTCCTTGAGAGGTGATAAAAGAAAAGAAGAAGACTGTATGGGTAGCAAGCTTTGTCTGGTGAAAGGGGATAAAGTGTGAAAGAAAGCTATTATCTGAGGTAATTAAGTTGTTTGACATTATTAACAGGGAATTCACACTGTAAAGTGAGAAGAGCAACAAGAAATAAAGCCTCAATTCATTTTTGTCTCCATATTTATATTGGCATCTTCATCCATCTGACATGAGAGACATTGGATTAGCATCTGTTGTTACCATTTTGAATTTGAATGGGTTATTCACATCATATAATTGGGTTTTATGTTCATTGGAGATGGTATTTATTATATTGATTTATTAGGTTGATGATGAGTGGTACTAAGGGCCTGATCCTTATGAAAGTTGAAGATATAAATTCCTCCTTTGGATGATCAAGTACTTTTTTTCTCTCTCTACTCTCTCCATTGTTCTCATGTACTTTTGCAACAATGCAAACTCAATCAGAGAAGATTTTGATGTCCTTCTCAATATGAAGTAGCCTCATCATCCCAGTCTGGGAGTAGCAGCACTTCCTTCACAAGATGACATTTTTCAGTGACAACAGGGAACAACATGGATTGCAAATTCACACTTGAATTCATTAGTACTGCCTTTGATAGTTCCCACTGAACAACATGATGTCAAGCATAATTGCACATAAGAAAAGTAGTGAAAATAGATAAACGATTAAGTCAAGCCAACATCAAGTAATTTTCTCGATCACAAATTTATCTAACTAAATCTTGTTTATGACGATTTCGATGACCGATGATAATTGTGGGTCATTCAAGAACATAATCGAGCTGGTTGATGCAATAGACTTGTGTAGATTCAACTATGATCATGTCTTGCACAACAAACAATTGAATCAAGTTAGCTCATCACCATCTTTTAGCATCTGATTAGGTTAACTTAATCAGCCACAATCTTGCATCGCATTATCTCTACTCACCGATGCATGTTTTGGTTCCCGAATTATTCAAAGCACTGAATTAAATGAAACTGAATTTGGAAGAATTCTCAAATCCATTCTACTATTTTCCTTATTTTTCTTTCTACTCATGTTATTAATTATTATTATTATACTTCACAAATTTATCAGGAAAGAAACAATCATGAAAGAATTCACTTGGACAGCTAAATGTTCATCAAACCATCACAGAACTAAATGTATCATGAAGCTACAGATCATTCTACATCTTTGCTACGCTATTTCTCTTGTTGTGTGATTCAGAGGTCATAATTTGCATACCATCTCAGAGCTGGCTTCCACTGCTTCGGATATAGCAAGATGATCTCACATCTCAGACTCCTCCATCTTGTTTCATCCAACACTTCATGTGGCCATAACCTTACATGCATTTAATCTTGTTGATATCCATATAATATATATATATATATATATGTATATATAAAATTAATGCATGGCTACACCTGCAAATGTAATATGCATTTTATATGTGTAGAAACTACTACATCATAAGAATATATATGTGAGGGACTTTTGTCCTCGATATTGTAGCATGAAGCTTTAAGACCCAATAATCGATCTTCTGAATCCGCATGGAGTACGGCCTCTCATATATATATATATGACTGTCTCCAAACCTTTGGTGCTGCACTATGCCACCCTACAGCCTGCAACCCTAAAACCCTAGACATAATATAGCACTGTATGACTGTAACCCTGACCCAAACCCTAACACCTAAACACTCTCACTAGCCGCTGTCTCGACTTCCTTCTCTCTTTAACTCTTCACTTTATGTGTCTCAACTACCTTTGTCTTTGGCTTTGGCTTGAATATTTTATCTTGGGGGGGGATTGCTCGCACCACCAGCATAAAGACTTCATCCTTCCCTCTATAAATCCAGTTGTTGGGTCTTTTGAGTGTGACATATTCCCATCAACTTCCTCCACCATGCTTTACCTTTGTTTTCTTGCTTATTCTATTCCGGGCATACTCTCCTCCTTTTGGTAATGTTGCTTTACATGCTATAGTTTGACATTTTTCTGCCCCTTTTTTTTTCCTCTCCCTTTGATTCTCCTGTCTCTTCGTCTGGTCTGGAGCTGCTCCAGTTAAGTAGTTGCACCTATACAGCTTCTTTTTTTCTTCTCTGGATTTGAACTTTTTCATTGCATTAGTTTGATCTCTCTTTTCTCTTCTTGATCATTTTTTAGCTACTATTTTTCTTCTTCACACTGTTTGTTCTTTAGTTTTCTCTGATCTTTCCCTGATTTCTTGATCCAGGATTTTCTGTTTTTAGCTCCATAAAGCTACCAATTTGTTCTTATTATTTTCCCTTGGAGAAGCAACAGTTGATGTATTATATGCATCTATCTATGCGACTTTGATAACACTGTTTGCTTGAATGAACTTTGAGAACTTGTGTTGCTTGCTTGTTGGTTAAGGTTCACATTCCTCTGGATTTTGATATATAGTAGGGGTTGACCTACAGATATATGCTCATGCTAGCTCTCAATCATTTATTCTTTGGACTCCTCTTCTTTTCCTTTCTCAAACTGTTAACCTAGTTATCATGTCATATTCCCTTGTTCCCTCGCATTCTCTTTTATCTCTCTCTCTCTCTCTCATACTCTTACATCCACACGCTTCTTTTTCTTTCTGATGGAAGAAGAGCTCAGTCAAGGCTACTAAGAAATGCCCAGAGGAATGAGTGAAGCTGCCAGCATGATCTAGCTTTGGGTGACCAGAACACTCGTATGCGTGTTCATGAAGGTTGATCATCGCTAGGTCATGCTGTGCCAGCCTCACTTCTTCCCGTTGTTGGGCATCACGATCACCTCCGGAAACGAAGAACAAGAGGCAGCAGCAGCAGTACCTTCGAGTATGCTCCTTTTCCTTGTGGTGTTCCCTTCACATCATGCTGACTTTGTGTTTTCCTCGGTGTGGCATCCCCACATCTCTAGTCTCTGCAAAAGCCTGAGTGCGCAAAGAAGATGTGGCATCTAAATCTCCATTTTCTGCGCAAGTCAAGAATCTGCAGATAAGAGGAGACCCACTTCACCTGCTGTTTCTCTTGAGACCTTCGCGTTTTGCCTCTCGTACAGACAACATGTGTTCTTGCTCTTAATTTTCTTTGCTTTTTACAGTCATATAAAGCACTAACTGAAACAAAAAGGCATGAATGTGATGTGAATAGTAGTTTTTGACATCGTTCAGCACACACATTATTTTTGTGGCCATTTTCTTGTGATTCTGTTTTCCCTGATCTAAACAAGCATTCTCTGAATCCTCCAAGACTAATCTGTTTACACTCAGATGCTTTTTCTAGCCTCCGATGCAAGGATTCATTGGAAGCAAGAAAGTCCAAGACAATTGTGATGATAATTTCATGCTACGATCACTGGAAATAGGCATCAAGATAAGACTGCAGCCCCTGATGCATGGTGGCCACTTGGTAGCTGCCGAAGACAACTGACCTGGGAAGTCTTTGTTCCTCGCTCACAAATCTCACCTCCCATTTCTGGTGCTAAAACATCCCATTGCCGTCGTTTGAAGTGGTCGGGTTCACTAAGAGACAAGATTCACGTCTTCCTTCAGCTCTGTAAATTCTACCAGGTCACAGTCAAGATAAGCGACAAACATGTCCTCTTCACTCTCGCCTAACCTTCAGAATAAACTAATATATTCGGACAATAATATTGGAAATAACAGTGCAAGAAATATATTTCTAGCGTCAGTGGAGATTGACCAGAACACAATGATCAAACGACTACATTGTTGCTTGGAAGAAATAAAGTAATTGATGCCAGAATTGAAAGGTTCTGAAACAGATATGGAATGTTTCATTTTCAAGTTTCTGACTTGTCGACGACTCTGAAGATAGTAGTATGTGATAGATGTCACTCCAACAATTAACTATCTTCTTGCTTCATTTGGATCAGAAGAAGTTCAATTAGCACAATCCTTTTTGGTAGCAGGAAACTAATTCGTGACATACTTAAAAAGAAAGGTGAGACTTTAATGACATCTGAGAAAAGTTGAGTAGGTTGAGTTTGAGTCTCTTCTGAAGGGGCAAATTCTAACTCAGGCAAATGCCTTTTCATCACCTGCAGACAAACAAATTGCCCCATGAACTTTGTCCCAGGGATGAGTCCATCCAAGAAACCTTTTTTCTCAGATCATTCTGACATCACATGCTGTAACTCAATCAGATGATATTACAAATTTAGTCTCATTCTTCAGACATTTAACTTAATCCATTCTACAAAAACTGTAGAGAATCTAAAGGCATTCTTTTGACATTACCTCCCTAGCCTGTTTGCTAAGTGTTGCATATTTCAGTTCATGCAGACTAGATCTTCAAATATTAATCTCTAAGCATGAGAATTTATTGGGAAAATTAAACCCCTGATGTGATTGCTTCAGATCCTTCATGTGGGGATTTGTTCTTCTTGTATGGTATCAGATAGATAGAACAAAATGACTTGTTGACATGGCTTCTCTTAATATTGCTAAGAAACGATTCTTGTTCATGTGTGATGAGAACCAATGCTGTCATTTTAATCCTACTCAAAAGGAGTGTCCACTTGCTATTACTTTTGACTTGAGCTCAATATATACCACCTAACTTTACATACATTTTTAATTCATGAAAAGCAATTCATATTCTCCAAGTCTATGCATAACAAAGAATGCACAGTTGTTTGGCAATACGATTAAGGCCTTCGATTTCTTTATAAGAACAATGTTACAGTGATTAATTAGCAAGACCTGCAAATGCTCATTCTGCAGCAAACACAAGTTTGGACTTGACAGTGTAAAGGAAAAGTGTGGATTCCCAAAAGTTGAAGTTAGATATCAGTCTCTATTGAGCTCACATTTAGATCTAACAGAGGTATTTGGAATATCATCAAAGAAAAATTAAAGATCAGTGGAAAAGTGAATCTTCACATCAACTAATGGAAAAATAGAGAAGTCTGTGAAGTTTGCCATCAAAATTCATCTCATCTCTTACTCAACAAACTTGAGAGATTTAGATTGTGAAACGAGCATCGAGCAAAGAGAAAGGTTTTGGATTCTAAGAACGGGGAAGAAAATTTAGAAGAACAGAAACCAAAATATAGTCTTTGTCTGAACTGATAGCAACAAAACAAATCTCCTGCCGAAATCTCTTCTTATCTGTTGAATCCTTCCAACATTTGTTCTCATATTAGAATCCCCGATCCAAAAGCACATTTTTGCCAGACGTATCACTGTGTCGCTTCAGTCATGCAGTGGCTTGTGAATGCTGGTTTCACCATGCTGCCATATGAAGACAGCTACACCATACACCTCTTGCAAGCAACATGCCAGAGACACAGATGTGCATTCTCTTCGCGGACAGTGGATCCTCACTCGACAAAGAACGTTTGCAGAAGAAACAAGGGGATCAATCATCCTAGTGATGTTCTTCGACCTACAAAAATTGTTTTTTCAGCAAATAATATAATGATTCAGAATAAAAGGCAAATAAAATTAATCAAAATATAATTTAATGTCAAAGAAATGTTTGTGTGCCACCAAAACTGGGCCTCAACTGTAGTTGTGATAAACGTACAAGAGAGAGATCTGAGCTTATCCCTCCGACCCACACGCAAACAAACAGAGACACATAGGGAAGAGATATCACATGCACTTGTTGATATGCTCACCTCATCCTTGTGCGAGAACAGCGTACTTGTGGAAGCAAGGTGGTGTTGGTCCATCATGGCCTTCGTTATCCTGCGCCCCCTCACCTGTGCCGTCACTGTATGTAGTAGGGCATGCATTCCATGGAAAGGGACGTGCAGATGCATGAAAGGTTGTCACCAGCAGTCTTCGGTGTAGCTCACAATAAAGTTAGAAGCCCCCAACTGGCCCATGCATGTATGACAACATTCAATGTTGTCTTCTGATTCTGGACCACACTTTTAGGTTATTCTTAGCCTTCTTTTTTGCTCAGAATTAAGCCAGAAATCCCATGACAACCAAATTAGATAGCCTCTCTCTACCTTCCCCTTTCCTCCTTCCTTCTATATATTTCCTCTCCCCACCTCCTTCCCCCTCCACAGCCGCCACTCTCTCTCTCTCTCTCTCTCTCTCTCTCTCTCTCTCTCTCTCTCTCTCTTTGTGGTTGGCCATGGGTTTAACTGTGATGGGGGTGCACCATGAGAAGCTGAAGCTGCCAGCATGATCTGAGAATTCCTCCATCCTCTCTATCTTCTGGATCTTGGATGAAGTCATGCAGATCATGTTGCAGCTTCATCTACTGGTGGGAGCACCAAAAGAGCACAGAGAAAACTCAGCCTACTTTTTCTTTCTTTCTCCTTTTAACCTAATAATTAAGGTTTCATGGGAAGTAAATGGGATGGTTGCTGATCTTGACTCGCTTGGCATGACGAATCTGGGAAGTAAATGAGATGTTTGCTGATCTTGATTTCCTTACCATGTTGGATTCATGGGTATTGTGCTTGTTTCTATTCTGATACTGTTGATACCTTGTGACAACAAAGAAGACCCCTAATCATGTAAGAGGAATGGGATGGCTTGGCTCTCATTTTGTTGGTGCCTTTGAGATCTCGACCTTGGAAGAGAACCAAGGCATCCTACCCTGTGAGTACTTGTTTTGTTCTATGAATCGTTTCGGCTGCCATATTTTATGCAATGTTCTCTTGACAATGGGTCTCTATACCAATATCTAGGAAGATTTACAGGTTATTACATCATCTCTTGCACGCACAAATTTATGTATGTGCTCATGACTTGACTTCATGACTGCTACTAATTTTAATCCAACTTGCATGCATAAGATTCTTCTTATTTGCTCTCAGAATAATCTTGAAAGATCTGAACCATTTTGAGCACCAACATCTTTGCATGACCTAAAGTTTCAAAATTGGGAATTGTGTGATGAAAAGCATGGAATTAGCAGAGCTGCATTTTTTTTTGCATTAGAATGGAGATTTTTATTTTTGTGTAGTATTTATATGAATCTGAGTACCTAAAGAACTCAAGATTTGTCATAGATTTCAACTTCTTTTCATTTTGTTTTTGAAGCTTCCCATGGCCAGAAGATTAGGTAAGTAGGTAGGGTCTTCTCCTGTTGTTTTTGGCCCCTCTCTCTCTCTCTCTCTCTCTCTCTCTCTCTCTCTCTCTCTCTCTCTTTATATTCTTTTTAAGGTACATATATGTGGCTTTCTTTATAAAGAACAGCAATTTGAATTAACCTCTCACTTGAAAGATTATAATCAATGTTAATTTGTTGATTATTCAACGACACTCGTTCCTTTCCTTTCAACTCTTTTCTCTTGCTTGTTGCTTGCAGCAGTTCGACTTGCTTTCCTCTCCTTGGAAGCTACATGGGTGCCAAGGAAATCCAGCTATATTAGCATGATTTGTTTGGTGCCCTATTAGCTTTTAATGCCCGATTCACTGGTGGAGGACACATGTTGAACTGTTCCCATCCATGTAGCGTTTGTCTCATGCAGCCTCACCGTTTGGTTGCATGGAGTCCAGAACCTGTGGAGCCTCAGTTGAGCTTAGCACCAAAATGGTATGGCTATGTATGTTCATATATGACTGCAAAAGCTTCTCCCCATGGCTCTTGTTATGTTTAGTTCCATGGCAGTGGCTTGGGCATCTAAACACAAAAGGGATGCTGAAAGGGAGAGATGGCTGCAAGGAGTAAAAAGGAGTTGATGCAATTGAGGAAAGTGATCTGTCTCTGAGAATTGAAGTCCCATTGTAAGGTGAGAAAGTGATCTGTCTTTTTCTTTGCTGATGTTACAGACAGTAGTACTTAATTGGTTTCTCAAACTTTGTGGAACTGTTGATGGATTCCATCAACAACTTGCCCAACATCTAATTGACACTCCAGGAATTGCTGCCATGAGACATGCAGACCATGATCGGTTTGAAGTACACAGAGTTCAGAGACAAAACTTGCTGTATAGATTTATCACACAGGTGATGTCAGATTGGAAAATGATTCAACTTCAATTTTATTTTGATTGGATAATCTGTTCATTCATGGTAGCAAATTCCATTGATCCAAACAACAAAAGAGTTCCATGACTAGTGACAGTATTATACCAAAACATCATGCACTAATTTGAGAGATAATGAACAATCAATGCTGTTTCTGATAGTGACCAATTAAGATAAATAAGAATTTGCATAGTTAATTTGATGAGAAATCTGAAATGGTTACTATCTTTGATTATGAGAAAGGACTCTTATGATTGGGTAATCAAGTCTGCTTCACTTATTATGCATTTATGAGCACTGCAATCTGCAATGAGTTGGTAGCTCCATAAGATGTATTTTTCTTATTGTTAATAAGGATATACTTTCTTAATGGTAAATGAAAACAAAACATTAGATGTAGCATTAACAGTAAAATCAGTTGGATCATCAGAAATTTGCACTCACAAAAGGATAAGATGAACCAATTTGGGATCTTAAATTGATAGAGGAAATCCAAGAAAGACTGTTGATATAATATGTGGAAGAGATGATATAAAACAAAGATCTAAATTTTCAATGAGAATTAAGTTCAGACTTCCATGAACATCATATCAAAATTAAAAGATCTGCATGTTTTTGTTTGTTTGCTTGCTTTTAACTGAGTTTGTCGCGAAGTCAATCATGTGTATCAATCATTCTTTGTTAGTATAAGGTGTTGATCGAACACAAGTTCTTCATTCAACTCAGCAACATGCACAATGCTGTTTGTTCTTCAGATTCTCCGACTACACTCCTTTTAGCTTCTTGACTGAATTGAAATTGTTCTTCTTTTAGTCTTCATTGAGGTCTGGAATAATATGAAGAAAAAGCTTTTCTTTCTTTTTGTGTGAATGAGATTGGCTAGCTAGGATCCTATTCAATTATTGAATCGACCGTATTCTGATTAGGTTAGCATTATGGTCCACCCCATTGACAGAAAGCTTTGTTCTCATTTGAGATGAATGTTCATCATTGGAGCCCTGTGGTACTTATTGCTTGCAGATCAGGATCATCATCAGCCACAGTGGAAGCTTTTTGGATCAAAATTTCATGTTTTTTTGTAGCTTCATGAAATTGATAAGCCCACATATCATTGTGCCAATGAATGTATTGTGTTCTTGCAGCAGATGCAGCTTACACAAAACTATAGCAAGAAATGTTCTTGCAGCAGCAGATACATGTACTCTGAACCAGCAAAGAAGCAATCTTACCATTCTAATAGTTACTTCGATCCATGAACAGTGAGTGCAGTATTAGCATAACTTGATGAAACCAAAGCTACATTTCAGCAGAGGAGGAAGCCATGTCCAAACTGACGGACAAGAACTGCGACACAGATCGAGAGAGGTGCTGTAGCCATGGACCAACTTGTCATGGATTATAGTTCCAGGTTGGTTGGTTGATAGCAACTCCACAACCGAAAGATCTTACGGAGGTGATCCACAGGGACACGGAAAACTGTAGCTTGGATTTTGCTTCACAGTGCCAAGTTGTTCCACCGGCATCATCCAAAGGAATCAGAAACCATGTCTGGCATTCTTCCCTACCGTGGAAGGTGTAATGAGATCATGTACTGCTCTCAACCCAAACGCTTCTTTCTATACTTTGCACCGAGCATTATATTCTATACATCACAAACTTTATCTGTGCATAGATAGATTGGAACAAATCCTCTGAGTTGCATTCTATGAGCTTATGTTCAGTAAAAGCTGCAAATGCAAAACCTGCGAGCTCAGACATTCTCAGCATACTAATTATTTGCATCAAGTAAGTCTTCTTCTTCTTCTGCCAAGATATGTACAGCTACAGTGCATAGCCCGTCCATGGCCAAAAACTGATCAGCCTTCTTATTCCGATGATGAGAACAGAAAACCCTAAATGGAAGCAAAAATAATAATTATTTTTCTCTTTCTTTTCCCCCTTTCCTTTGCCTTCTATTTCGTCATGGAGTGCTATGCTAAAGCCTTCATTCAAAGAAAAAGGTTGCATTAAGTAAGACCAACTTTTGTGATCAGTGTCATTTGACAAAGGAGTTCCCATGCAAACGTTTGAGGACTGCAGATGACAAATGTTAGGAATGGTTGACCTGAGTCAGCACTCTACTTGACTTTCTTTCTTAGTTTGACTGGGTCAAAGTGAGACTTGCTCTCCATGTCAACATCTCTTCAATCCAACACATTGCAAACGCTGGAAATGGTTTAGCATTGTAGACAGATATTAGCATCCTGTAGTAGGATTATTGAAGGATAAATGTATATAGATCACACAAAAATCACATTCCTTCTCAAAAGACTATCCATTTTTAAGGCCAGAAAATATATTTCGATACAATAACAAATGATCATGCAAGATCATGAAGGACTTGGAATACAACGATCAGGATGTCACTGCATAGACTCTGTCATTTCATGTTGTGAGACATATATGAGAGCTTGGCATGCATGCGCAGAAAAGTAAACCTTGGTTTGGCAGATTAGAGAGGAAGAAATCGACTCGACTTTGCAAGTCATGTTTGATGTTTGATCTGCCGTGTCAACGAGGGAGTGTTCTCTGGATGTGTCCAAGATGGAGGAGAAAGAAACACTTCACCTCGTGTGTTAAGAGAGCAACATGAGGACTTGAAGTATCCACCAAGTAAGCTGGAAGATTTGTTGTTTCCTTGACTTGGTCTGAGATGTTTGATTGATGTCATCAGGGAAGCATGTCTCGAGACGATGTCTAATCTCTTGCGCTATGAATCATTATACTACATTGTGAATTTTCTAGCTTCATTTATTGGATGAACCCACAAACAATCTCAATGAATGCTTATAGTCTTTCGATTTGCAGCTTCAGTGATTCCAAGAAGAAGAAAGAAGAAAACTGAAGACCAGACTGCTGACAAAGTAATGCTCATTAGACAGAAACAAAGACTGTGATGAGAAGACAAATTCAATTTAGTATCAGAAGATGTGGTTTCTTGACACAGCTGATGGAAATCAGTGTGGATCAATCCATTGTGTGGTCTCTTCTTTGAAAACCAATCAGGTGGTCATCATCATCTGCACAAATTCTTCATAGTTCACTTGCCCATCTCCATCCAAGTCTGCCTCTCTAATCATCTGATCCACCTCTTCATCAGTCAACTTCTCCCCAAGATTCATCATCACATTCCTCAGCTGCAACAACAGGAAAGTTGGGTGTAAGCTTGAGACGTGTACACAGAATTCATGGTCATATGATCCATCTAATTGTTCTCAGTGATCATTTTAACTCATGAACAGGTGGTTTAACTAACAATTAATGTTCCAACAAAAGCATGAAAGATGAAGCTCAGTTTCACCTCGCTGGCCGAGATATAACCATTTTGATCATTGTCGAAGACCTTAAAAGCTTCCTTTAGTTCTTCCTCCTCGTCTGTCTCCTGCAAGGAGGCAAGTGTTGTGTGTCAACTCCCTTGTTTACAATGCAAACATCTTGCCAGAGTTCCAAGTCATTTACCTTCATTTTTCTAGCCATTAGGTTCAAGAATTCTCCAAAATCTATGGTTCCATTGCCATCCAAATCGACGTTTCGGATCATTTCTTGCAACTCTTCCTCACTTGGGTTCTGATCCAATGATTTGATGACTGTGGCAAGCTCTTCCAGTGTGATGCACCCTAAAAAACCAATCAAAGGCAAATAATTCATGTAGAAACAAGTCAAACAAAGTGAAGATTCAATTACACTTCCAACTAAATGCCACATAAAACAACAAAGCCATGTAAGTAATTAGTTCCATGAATCCACCAAAAACATATCTACCTTAAATTGCCATTATACTTACAGCTTTCGAGTTTAAGGATAAATAATCAAGTCCTAAAACTTTCCCTTGGAAACAATCAGTAAATATAGTAGGATTTAACCCATAAAAAATAAAAACTGAGAGAGAGAGAGAGAGAGAACCATCTCCATCTTTGTCAAAGAGGCAGAAGGCTTCCTTGAACTCCATGATTTGGTCCTCCGACAGAAGATCCATACCAGAACGAGCGGAGAAGTGGTCTAGAGGTTTGGATGGTGGAATGATATGAGGGGAAACCATAACCATGCCTTGACCTTTTATAGACCAGGGAGTGATGGTATGTGTTCTCGGAGACTATTTTGACGTCTGACTTCATCAAGGTTCATAAGAAATCTAGAAGGGAAAGAAATGACTTTTGAATCATCTAAGAGAACAAGATGAACAAATAAAAGTCTTCTCAAACCAGTTCTAAGTGGGATCGATTAGGTGTGTCAGTCACCTACCATTACACATTCAAGATAAAGTTTGATCATGAAATTATTAACACTGTATTTATTCAACCATAAAATATATTGCATTTGTTCAACCAATATTACAACCAGATTAAAATACAATGTTGTTTATTAAGTTTTGATGATTACTCTTTTGTATCGCACCATTTAGAGACGAAGCTGATGGGAAAATAACATGACCTTTTGAGAACATATGTACATAAAAAAAATCCCATATTTCCAAAATAATAATAATAATAATAAAACACAACACAACATTTTGAGCTATCTATCCATTTTGATATATGGTTGGGACCCCACAGATTTGTTTTTCATTTGGATACCTAAGGAGAACTGTATGAGAAAAAAAGATCAGAGAAGTTGTAAAATTATGGAACAAACACATTCTCCAACAGTGAAAAATTTACAACCACTATTAAATTTTAAGGCCTAATGATGGATAATAAAATAATTTTGCTACAAATCAGAACAAAGAAGAAATTTCCTGATGAGTATTTAAGTGTTTCTCGTAGGAGATGCATGCCTTAATTTCTGACTGATACAAGCTGTCCAAACTTAACAAAGAACAACTTAAAAGATCTAAAACAAAATATTACATGCAATGGATTATTATCTTGGACTGTGATGTTCGTCGCAGGATCAAGGCTACTGCTCTATATAGGCTGCCCTTTGGGGACAATCTGATCTTTAATCCACATGTAGATCGGCACCAAGACGTAATATGTCGCTGCGACCGTACCCAAAATGAAACGGAGGAGGAAGGCAAATGGATTCACAGGCTTCTTTACGTCCTCCACTTTCGGACCCAGCTGCAGAATGATCCAATAATTTCTTAGCCAGAGAATTGTAATATGTCTATAAAGCAACTGATTAAATGTTATCGCTATCTTTATATGATGTTGATGAACTGCACCTTATGGAAGTAGATTATAGTTCTTTCCCAACATTTTGTGGAAAGAGTTGTCTTATGTATGCCAAATCATGACAAGTTTGAAGTCAGTTCCGAGTCCTAAAAAATGCTGAAGAAACAAAGAACTCCTAACCTTATGAATCTTTTGCTATTATGAACCAAAACAAGCGATCTCAAGAGGTGTCGAATCCTCTTGTCACTATGAACCAGAATAAGTATGTGCAGGTCATGCACATGATTGCTCTTATGAAGTCAAAGTCTCTTCAACTGAGGAATTCTTTGCTCTCAGTGGCTAAAGTTGTCAATAAAAGTTTGGTACTAACAAACAATAATGGAAAAAAGAGAAATAAATACCTTTATATATAAACATAGCTAGAAAATAACTGAATAACAATAACCAATTCTGGCTCGGCCACATAAGTCAAGGATGGTAGGTATTCAAATTCCACCATGTTATCACTATTGTTATCAATATTTCACTTGTCATTCTCTCATTCTTAAGAAGCCTTGCTTGTAACAACTCATTTCCATGCTAAGTCAGTCATAAATCTTTTGCAAATATTTCAATCATTCCACACGAGTCAACAGTAGAATCCAAAATATATGAGGATCAAAGTAGGAATATAAACTTAACTAAATTTTAAGGCACTAACAAATCATTCCAAAAAAGGCATCCTCACAGTGCGGATTATGCTATATAAATATTTTCCGGCCATTGAAATTCATCGAGGCCCATATCAGTATTTCAACTGAGTCATCATGTATTTTTTTGTAGTATCTTAAAAAGCTTCCTTAAGTCTCCATTTTCCCTTTTTTTTTTTCACCACAAACATGTTTTATCATTTTAAATAGTTTCTCTCATTTTATTCTCGACTGTAGATATTTCAAACCGTTCACATTTTTAATTTCAGAAATAATTTATATTAATTTTTAAAAAAATAAAAAAGGACATAGGTGCATATATCAGATAACAACTTCAAATAATTATTAATGATGTGTATCTTCCAATATGCAACAACATCACATATGATAAGGTAAACAAAAAGGTCCATCACAATCTCACATGATGCTGAAAATTATTACCAAAAAATTCAATTAGCATCCAACTCATAGATGCATATCTAAGTATATGACTTGAAACATATGAATGCAACATGATCTATGGTAGTGGACATGATAGTCGAGGTTTTACTAAAACCAAGCAGTTGATGCCAAGAATGCTTAGAATAATGTCTGATGAAAGAAATAATTACCTGCAAAGGTGAATCACCAGATTCTCTTTTAACACCTGTGACAGAGCAGCCCATAATGAGACCATGACGACGGACACCACGGTACCATTTGGGGCCAATTCTTTTCAATTTGACATCTTTAAAACCAGCCTTCTTGAACCACTCAATATATTCCTCTTCCTTGGGGAACAGCATCCACATGTCAGCGAAGAAGCGTGACAACCAAAAGGTTGGGTATACAGGACCAATGATACAGGCCAACCCTCCAAGTTTCAACACTCTGTATGCTTCTTTGATTCCACGTTGAGGATCGGGCCAATACTCAATACTAGATGTTGATCATAAAGTAAGCATTAACAAACAAAGACCACGGTATATGATATAATAATATTACTTGCCATGATCTCCTTGAAATGAATAAGAAAGCTGCTAATAGTCAAGAGTTAGTGTAGAATCTTAGCTAGAACATATCTCTAAAAATGTTTATTTTTTTTATGCCTGAGTGTAAAGATTGTCCTGACAATTAAGGTTAAATATCCTATTTTTCTTTCTTTTGAATTGTTATTGACTTGTATAGAAAGACAATTGGAAGCAAGTTGAAACTGGATCTTCTGATAAGAAACAGAGGCTTCTGATAAGCTATCATAGTTTTGGAGCTTCACAAGAAGCTCATGAAGAATATCTATTAAATAAATAGCACTACAGAACTCTTTCAAGATTTGGCTTATGCTCATAATTAACTAATAAAAATGGCAAAATTGCATACACATATAACTTCAAAGTCATCTCCACTAAATTTATTTTAAAATATACATTTTCCAAAACCTAAAAATTTGCATATATGCTCTTGTAGTTAATCGTCATTAACAATCAACATGCCTTTGTTGATTGAAACTCTGATTCATGATAGGACCCTTTAGAAATTTGTAAGAACATCAGGGGTATTTCAGGTGCTTTAAGTTTTTACATACTTTTTTAAAAAACATGCTAACATTGACAATGGTTAGAGATGCTTAAATTCTAAATTTTTTATGGATGTTAAACCAAAAATACATGAGGATCTTAATATCTAGAGGGACATATATTCTATATTAAAATTTATAATGACAAATACACTATTCCCAAACTTTTCAAGGATAGATATGTAAAAACCTCCAGAAAAATAAAATTTCGATGAAATTTATCAGGTTTTCTACTCAATAAGATATTCACAAACAAGAATCAGAAGAACTTTTGTCATTCGATCATCATACTAAATCACAGCTCTATGTGGTCCTATGTGCTGAGGAATATAAACTCAGGAATCAAACTAGCAAGAAGCATCTTCAAAATAGACTATCACTGGATCACTAGAAATATGAGTTCCATTTCAAAAAAGGTTTTATCAAACGTATTGTAAACAAGTCATGGAAATCTTACCTTCCTGCAGAAATATATCGATCCACAGAGTCGGTTGGGAAGGGAAGTTCCTCGGCATCCCCTTCAATGATTGTGCACTCTTTCAGTTCCTCCTTCTGCCTTGCCTTCTCGAGTTGGTGCGGTGACTGGTCCAGGATGGTTACGTTCTTGGGGTATATGTGTTTAACAATGCCCAATGTGGTGAATCCAGTCCCACCGCCGACATCTACCACCTTCAACCTTGCATCATATAGATCTGCAGGCTCGAGCGCCTCATCCCTCATGTCCTCAGTCCAATGGCCAGGGTTTATGACGTGGTCATAGACTATGGAGAGGAACCTATAAAACCAAAACGCCTCCTTTTTGTGCTGAATGAACCTGGGTTGGGAAGCTGGCCTAGAAGAGGAAAGGCCACACGCTGGTACTAAAGATTTGGCCTTCATACTACCACCACCAACGGAGACCACACCCATCTTGGGAAGGCATATCCCATTGAGAGACGACCCCCTGAAGCCCAACCCAGTTGGAGTTCTTCCTTTGGGGAAAGTAAGCGCTTCAGCTCCATTGAGCATATAGGAAGTCATCTATGGTGACACAGACAGTAGTGCAGATTGGCCCTCCAACGTGCAAAGCTGCACCAGAAGAAACTACTCTGTTCATCAAATTTCAGAGAAAATACCAAATCTTTTACTAGAAAAAAGCGTTCTTTTAGAGATCTAAGAGAGGATCGGTGGGTCAGAGACAAAAGTTGCACTAAAGGCTAAGCCAAACAAATGAAAATATTAGCGCTCGTCAAAAGAACAGACGTCGTTTTTCTACACACACTCTGTCCTCCAAAGCTTGGATTGCTGTTCCAACGCCATAGAAAAGCTCTTAAAACAGTAATGTTCCATCACAATCAGAGACAATATCATATTTTCACTTGAAATAGACAAAAGAGAGAACCAAAATTAGCCAAAATCTTGGCAAAATTATCTATATTTTCTCCACCCTTTATTTCCTTCAAACCCTCATGGCTGTTCCCACGCTACTGCAAAGCTTTAAAAAAAAACCTACGTTTCATCGATAATCACAGACAATTCGAATTTTTCAGTCGAAAAAAGTATCCTTTAGGGGCTTGATGACGGATCGACGAAAGATAGAAAAAAGAAATCACTAAAAAACAGCCAAGAAAACGGGGATCTTTGCACTTCTCTGAAAAGGAGCAGTCTTGTCCTTACCAAGAACGGAAGCCTGAAGAGATGGAAACCAGCGGGATATGGCTTACCTGTTCGCCGATGGATTCACAGACACTGGAGAGAAGGGAAGAGGCGCAGTACTCCCACAGGCACCACAGGTCTCCGGAGGCGGAAGTGATGGGTGTGTGGTAGGGTGCCGGGTGTCTGATTGCGTATCCTTGATAGCCTGCGACTAATTTGTGACTCACACAATGGCTCGAGGATGAGGAGAGACATGTGATTGCCACGTGTGGCTCCTACCATCCAAGCCAAATGGAGGGCTAATCTTTCTCCATCCGTAACACACTATATTGTTTGGTTGCTATTTCTTGTTGATTCATGTAATGCGGTGGGACCCTTTCATAATTAGTCTCTTGGGAAAGAAATGGAATTGCTGAAGCCTATAAAAAAGTATGAAATAATTGATGAATTATTTAAAAAAAATGTTTAGTGATCCCCAAATCAAATCTACTCAAAATATTACTATGCAAAAATTGGTTGATAATTTAGTTGATTAGAATTAAGAAACATAACTATTTAACGATCCAGGGAATACATTCCTAATAATAAGATTCAACATAGCACTCTAAAACTTACTAAAAATTATCGTAATTTACATTACAGAAAAAAGCTTTATTTGAAGATTAAAGTCAATTCAACTACGTTAGAAATTTCTCTAAAGGTCATGCTGTGGTGAGAGTGATCCGACGAACATGAACCGGACATTGCGATTCCGTGGGTTCCACTTGCATTCTGTGATCTGAACAAATCGGAATGAAAGATTCAACACAATGAATACTTCTAATACGTCAATTGCAATTGATTTGATCGATTGTGCTTGCAGGTCATACATACCATCGGATGTAGATTCTATGAATCTCTCAAGGAAGGCAAAAGAGAGGGCTTCATCAACTCAGATCAGAGCAAGTGCAAATACTGGGCTGCGGTTGCTTACTGCCATCGTTGACGATGCAGGAATCACGTAAAACTGTTGGAAGCAATGCATCAAATTGGTAGCAAATGATTCCAAAGTTTCCCTAGCTGTAAAATCACTGCATATTTGCAATCGTAAGATCTCTTCGTTTGTCGACCAAATCTACCTCATGAACTACTAGACCATATAATAATGATTAGCAATCCATACATTTAATATAAACTTCATAGACTTGTACCAATAGTCATAACCAAAATTTTTCTTAAAGAAACGCAACGGGATGCAAAATTCCCTCTTAATACACATACCTTATGCTGAACACCAAACACTCACTGTCTGAGATCATAGTCTTGTACCTTGCCGGACCTGCAGCCTTGATTGCAGCAGCTTCTTCCTGGAGGAGTATAAAGATGGAAAAAAAATTCCAGTCACAAAACTAGAACAAGACAAATTGGCAAGTGTAGCCCTATTGACCATTAAAAGATGAGCATCTTGGTAATAAAATCCCAAAATTGCTGACTTATTAATGAATTCATAAATTCAGCCACTGCTTTGGCTATGACACCTCAACTAGCAAGCAACTATACTTTGAAACCCTTTTTCATCCTATTCAAGTAAATATACTCCTAGAGAAGGCATCCTTGAATGCATCAACATCATTACCAGAAAGCACCAGGTACACTACTACTATCAGTTATATATTACTTTATCCAGGCTAGTTGTTGCACTACCACTATCAAGAGGGACCGACCGAAGAAGTCTAGGACAACATTCAACCGCATTTACACTTAAAATTCAACAAAAAACACCAGGTGTTTATCAAATAAAATTTCAAAAGAGAGTGTGTTAAAGACAATTTCCTGCTTCAGTCAAAGCTGCTGCGATTCCAGTATGTCATGTATTAGGATATCTGTTCCATCTCATGTTCTCTCTTTCAATTTCATTCAGTAGAACAACAGCCTTTTAATCTTGAATAATTTTGTAGATGATGTCAATTTTTTTCAATGCTTTTGGTTCATTGTTGGATGCAATTAATAGACATATAGTACATATTTTTGTTCTTAAATTGAAAATTATTCATATTATAACTTTAGTCTTTAACATGTTCTACACTTTAGAATCTTAAATTTCTCAACTAGATAATGTGATCTCAATCCCATGGACCCAGGATTTCGATCTTAAAAACCTAGGCTGCATAAGATTACATGGAATAAGAAATGAATTAGACTAATTATTCGCAGAAGTTCACTAAGGGTATAATTTACACACTGTCACTCTTGACCAACCTAAAAATAGACTCCTAGAGCATGCTCACCTCTCATGTGGACATCATTGACTTGAAATTTTCCATAGCTAAAACATTTTTTATAAAGGATTCAGGATTATCAACACAGGACATTCTATATCCATTTTTGGTGCCAAAACATCATGTCTTAGTAAAAGTCTAATAGCATGTGAATATCCAACCATGTTATACAGTTACATGAAATTTTATCTTTAATAAAGGGAAGAAAATCATATGACCATAAACATGACAAACAACTAAAACCAAGCTAAAAATCGTTCCAAAGAAATCAATCATAAAAAATATATGTACCAAATTTCAAATGCTAACATAAATTATTTTCATCTTAGACATTAATGTCAAATATTAGTACAGATTTTGCAATCACATAACAAGAGTTTTTGACACTTACAAATCTAATTAAAAGCATCCTAGCAGATGGAGACATTTCATATTACCTCCATGTTTTCCTTAATTAAATCAAGAAATTTCAAGAACAGTGGAAGTAATAATAGAAGTCAGAGAAATGGACTAATTATAAGCTCCATACTAGCCTAGAAAAAAAACAACAGAAACAGTCAACCATGCAGCTTAAATTTCCACATATAGGTCAATCCACAAGATAACAATGATGAATTGCAATACCTTGGGAAGCTGGGTCCTCTTCTTGTCAAGCTACCCCTTCTTTGCCTTTAAGCGTTGTGCCTCCGCAAGCAAAGCCATCCTTCTCACTGTCTTGACATAGGGGTTAAGCTTCAGCAATGTGTAGAGATTCTTCAAAGGGTTCCTCTTCAATGTGTGCCTCTTCACATCCTTCTTGATCGGTTGCACCACCAACTGCACCTCGTCAGAGTTAATGATCATCGACAGATCCGCATTGTGCATCTTCGACCTCAACAGCACATAGCCCTTCTTTTTCTCAGATGACTTATCAAAGGTTCCAAACATAGAGTTCAACTTCGGGCTAATTATAGATTAGCCATTGTAATTAACTATCCTTGGTATTTTGATCTCTATGCTTTCAAAAATTGCATTGGTATTTCTATACTTACAAAAATGAAACATTTAATCTCGTTTTTTCTAACGTCATCAACTCTACTAACAGAAATACCGCATGTGCTATCGCGTGCGAAAAATAACATTAACACAAGGTTTAAAAGGTAATTTCACAGTGCTATTCTTATCGATATTAATTTTTCCTTTTTATAACTTCTGTAAAAACAACAGTCGAGAAATCAACAGTTCTGTAACAGTCAACGGATGAACAGATAGGATCACAAGAGAGAGATCCTTTCTATCGAATGCTTCACTTTCCAACAAAATATTCGAAGACAAAAATAAAATAAAACAATTGAATAGCACTATCCCATTTTGTTTCTCAACAAGACTCCTTTCTCTCTCTCTCTCTTTCTTTGGACGATAAAACAAATATTATAAAATTATCTTTTTAACTCTATTTTAATATTATTTTTTAGGGTATCAGCACATACAGCATTTCTATCAACAGAATCGACGACTTGAAAAAAAATTAGATTAAATATTTTATTTTTCTCAATATAACTTGAAACAAAATCGACGACGTAAAAAAAAAACGATATTAAATATTTTACTTTTCCCCATATAACTTGAGAGTATAAGGATGATATGTTAAGATGACTAGCCTGTCAATATGGTCTCCCGAAGCCAACTCTACAAGGTTGAGGGCGCTTGACATAGGAATATTGCCGTAAACGATCAGAGGACCCATGCGAAAGATGTAGCCGCGGTTGCGCATTTTTCTCATACCAGGGCGGATGCCCTGGCTGTCCCTAGCCTTCTCGGCGTCAGGGACGGCGCCAACCTGCTTAAGGATCTTGATCGCGGAGGCGGTCTTCTCTACGCCCTCGGCAGTGTCAGAAACCACGAGAAGGAACTCGGGAACGGACTCGATGCGGTGGCCGCGGGCGAGGACAAGCGAGGGGACGGCGGAGGCGGCGAGGGCGGAGGCAGTGGCGTAGCGCCGTATGTTGACGTTGACGTGGCGGTGCCAGCGGCGCCAGGTCTTGGTGGGGGGCGAACATACGGCCGCCGCGGCACATGTTGCCGAAGGCACCCTAGCCGGCGCGGTGTGTTCCGCCGCCGGGGACGCGGGGGATACGGGAGACGGCGCGGCCGGTACTCCACAAGACTCGGCGGAGGTCTGGTGGCCGGCGTGCTTAGAGACGGCGCACGGCTGGCGGCTGTTCCTTGAGAGGCTGGCGTGGACGAAGCGGACCACGTCGGGGCGCATCGGGGCCTTGAGGACGTCGGGTCGGGGGACACCGGCAAGAGCGTTAGTGGCCATGTGGCCCTCGAGGGGCTGCACGGTGACGAGGGGACGGACGGCGGCCATCGGACGAGGAGGCAAGTCCCCCCGACTTACGGTTACAGGAACGGGAGACGAGGCTAAAATAGTGAAGGGCAACAAACTTCTATAGAAGGGTAGGGTTTGATCATGACCGTCCGTTGTGTCTTGATCAGTGCGTTTCCACTGATGCGCCTGATGTCATAGTGGAGGCACAAATGGGAAGAAGGCCCAATATGTAATGGACCATCGTTATTGGGCCAATTTCAGTTAAGGCCCAATACGTGATCAGGGTCATTTGAGTAAATTTATAGCCTCTCCACAACCCCGCGTTTCGACCTGACGTGATCGCGCACATGACTGAAATGGCGCGAAATCATCTCTAATCTCCCGCCACTTTCCGACGACGCTTCCCTCCCATCGCCTCTATTTCACCCACCTCAACTCCGCCCTCCTCTCTCTCTCTCTCGCTCTCTGAGCGACCGAAGCTCCGATCTCCTTCCATTAACATGATCCACCATCCGCCCACCGCCGCAGCCCCCGCGAGGGTGGTGGCCCCCAAGAAGCGGGGCAGCTACAACTGCGGACGCTGCGGCCTCCCCAAGAAGGGCCACGTCTGCCCCTCTGCCGACGGCGGATCCGCCTCCCTCCACCTCCCTCGCTCCGGCAACCGCCTCCGCCGTGCGCTCTCCTTCGACGAGGACCGTCCCTCCTCGTCCCCCGCCCCGGCGCTGGAGGATGAGGATGAGAGGGTGATCGAGGCGGCGGCCCTGGTGACGATGGGGGAGCCAGAGGTGGTCGTCGAGGAGGGAGGAGAGGAGGAGGACGACGAGGAGGCGGGGTGGGATGGAGAAGGGTCTCTGCCGTCGTCGTGCATGGTGGAGATCCTAAGGCGGCTGTCGCCCAAGGAGCTGATGCGGGCGGTGGCGGTGTGCCGGGGATGGAGGGAGTGCGTGCGGAAGGTGTGGCGCTCCGCGGAGGAGCTCAGGCTTAGGGTTTCACCTCAATCGCAGATCGGGTTTGTCGGGTCGGTGCTCCACAAATGTGCCGGATTGACGCGGCTCACTCTGACGATGGAAAGGTAGGGTTTGGTCTCTCTGAGAAGGATGAGTGTGGTCGATTGGATCGGCTAAGGAAAACAACTTAATTAAGATTACATGACAGTGACAAAAAAACCAACCTTTAGTCAAATATTGGTAATAGATGAACACATGGGGCAGATCTAGGCTTAAACCTCGCGAAAGATTTATATGAAGCAGATTTAAGATAAGAATGAAAATTTGATATTTCGATCGTTGGTCAATTGACAATATCAGATCTGGTCATGGATCTATCAATTTTGGCTTTGATCTTATTGTAGATCCAAGTCAACCTGTGAAGGGAACCATGACATCTGTTGAAGTGAACTGTGAGGAAGAAACGATAAGGACATGTTCTACTCGTTGAATGAGTGGAGATCTTCCGTCCCCACTTCAAGATCTGTTTTTCTGTTATGCGATTATGTCTTCATATGTCCTAGATCTGAAGGGAAGAACTTGCATTGGCTACATGGATCACAGAGGCCCTACCAATATGCCTTTTGATGATCTATTTGATTTGGCTGAATAGTTAAATAATGATGCAGAATGCTCGGATCTGTCATTGATGAAAGGCTAGATCTTAATACTATCTGCATACTACATTTTGCATTTTATACTTTTTCTTTTTTTTTTTCTTGTACAAATATACTTCTCCTTTTGATTATGGTTTTTCACTTTTTGTTATTGTTTTCTTTGTGTCTGGCTTGGGTTCCGCAGATCAGAAGGTTTAATGATTGATGAAGACTCAGGTTAGATGGATTCATTTGTCTATTATTTCTCTTTGTTTTGAGTGAGATACATTTGTGACAATCTAGTATGAATCAACTCAGTTAGTGGCTTTTTAAACTAATAATATATTGATAAAACACGCCAGAAATAAAAGTTATGCCTTTTCAAGCATTTGAAGACTGGACTATGTAACAGATCTTATCATTTGGTTTGCTTCTTTTACCAGTGTTAGGTGAAAATCTGGTAGCATAATGTCTGATTAATCTCTCTTTTTGTTCATTTTCTGCAGTGATATTGATGCTACCATGTTAGCTTGTGTTGCATTCTCGCTGCCTAATTTAGAAGCTTTTGAGATAAACATGGCTGAAAATGTGGTCAACAGGATAACAGGGTATATGTCATTGGCTTTTAAACACTCACTCATTTTCTTTTCTTGGTTATGTTTTGCTTTTGATTCCTTGCATCATCCTGTGTAGCTTCAAGTATCTTAGGTCTAAGCTAACAGTTCACTCGTGCATTCTAAGTTTGGTTGATCCTCATCTATGTTAAGCTACTGCACTGAATTGTTGGCGCATGGATATAGAGCTCAATTTTTTACAGAATGACTTGTTTTGGTTTTAGTGTTGATTTCCTGTCTTAGGTCTGGTTTTGTGCAGACCATCTGCTTGACACACATTGTATTTTCTTATTAACTGCAATTGCAACTTAGTGTATTATATTTTTGCTGAAAGGCCTACTAATGTTTTCAAGGATGTTTGCCTGTACTATCTATTTCATTTTTTCTGGCACTTTTGACCACAAAATATTTACTTGATTTACTTAAGATTTGAATCATTCCAGACCAATTTACCTCTCATTAGATGTGTTTCTATCGTTGCATGTCAATTGTCAGACATATTTCCTCAAAGAAGGGTGAACTGTCACATCCTGAAGAGTGATTCACATGTACTTATCATTTCATGCATGATTTTAAGATAAATAATACATTGATTTTTGTGTAATTATTTCAATTCTTTTTGCCTTAGCTGCCAGGATTTTATATCTCTTCTGAAAATCTTTGATATATACCTCTTTTCAAAAGAATGCTGGTGATAAACTCTATAGTTGTGCTTTTAGTCTTGTAAATTCAGCCACATCCAAGGTCTATTAATAGAATTTGTTTTCCAAGGTCATTTACAAAATCAATGCAATTTTTCTTGTGCATAACCATATGTGTGCCATCTTTTTGTTTGTTTGTAGGGATGAATTGGGTCGTTTTGTTGCTGAGAAACGATGTCTCTCAACGCTTAAAGTTGAGGGTTGCACCAACATTGGATTTCTCAGTATCTCTTCATCAAGTCTTTCATCACTCTGGCTATCAAATCTTTACTGCATCTCAAAAATGGTATGTGACTGTCTTGCTTATAAAAATTCATTGTGATTTATTTATCTTTCCTTTTGTGCATGTAAGGACTTCTAATCATTTTGATAGGTATTTAAATGTCCTAATCTGAGAGAGCTGTCTCTTGATTTTACACGACAAGAAAATGATTCGACAGATCTTATCACGATGATGGAATGTTTGGGGCGTACCTGTCCAAGGCTAAGAAATATTCATGTTGCCTCAATTCATCTTTCTAATGAAGCTGTCCTCTCTCTTACAAGTGCAAATCTCAGGTAGGTATTATGCTTGATGTACATTCATGATGATGTTTAACAATTATGAACTGGGCACATGCATCCCATAAAGACTCTAATGCTAAAGTAGGCTTTGTGATGTATTTCTATCTATAGTGTAACAGATGTTAGGGCCCAATCATACTAGATGAAATTTATTAAAAAAGCATTATTTTTCTACCGCTGCTTAGTTTCCATTTCAGTAGATTGATGGTTAAATTTTGTTTTCTTAGGGATTTGCGTATGTTGTCATTGGTTCTGGGTTCAAGAATCACAGATGCTGCTGTAACTGCCATCGTTTCGTGTTGCACAAGTCTAGAATTGCTTGATTTGAGTGGGTATGTTTCATTCTGTGCTAAAGTAGTGGTTATATATAGTTATTATCTTCGAATCTCTGGATTTAGATTTCATTGTAGCATCAATTTTCTATGTGAATGCCAATCTGTTTCACATTGCCTTTAGAGTTCTAGTTGTACATGCTTTTCACTCTTTTTTTTATTATTTGAGTTCTCTGGATTCACACTTGCTTGATTTTTTAGGTCAAGCATCACTGACAGTGGAATCCGAATGATATGCAATGTATTTCCTGAAACTCTATCCAGACTCCTACTTGCTCTGTGCCCAAATATTACTTCGAGTAAGTATTTGTTTGTTTCCTCATCCTTGGGTTGCTTAATTCCTTTGTCCAGCAAAGGTTACCATACCTTGTAAATCGGGTGACTGCATGCATTGTTCCTCATTTCTCTGTCCATCTTTTTCAGATGGAGTCCAGTTTGCTGCAGTTCAATTGCCTCTTCTCCAGCTAATTGACTGTGGGATGAGCATATGTGATACTGATTACCAGAACGAAAGTGCTGAAGAAAATGTATATCCCAATAATGAAAGGAGTGGGGAATATACCAAGTGCCAGAAATCATCTACCATGAAGTCACAGAAGATCTACCAAAAGCTTATTATAAAACATGGAACTCTGAGGAAGCTCAGTTTATGGGGTTGCTCAGGTTTAGATGTAAGTGAAAATGCATAAGAATCAGCAGCAACTTCCGTGATTTCTTTCTCATCATGCCTTCTGAAATGACTTTGGCACTGCAGACCCTGTACTTGAACTGTCCGGAGCTCAATGATCTTAATCTTAACTCATGTACAAACTTACATCCGGGTAGAATACTGCCATTGAACTTTATGATGTTATAATGACACATCATGGTTTCTAACAAGGTATGCTAAAATCACACAGAAAGGTTGTTGCTCCAATGCCCTAATTTGAAGAATGTACATGCTTCCGGATGTCAAGACATGCTAATTGGAGCTATACGGAATCAGGTACCATTCTTATAAGCTACATTTAATTGCTTGTGTTTTGTGCATGACAAAGACACCTGTTTTTGTTTTGAATTAACAAAAATTTTACCAACCCTACACAATTTTTACGAAGATAAGAATGTAAACAGGGTGGGAAGATAAGAAGATAACAAAAATTTGTTTCCTTTTTAGTTGTATAAAAATGTAAACAGGGTGGGAAATTTGTCCCCTTTCTTTTATACAAATTTCATCTGAAAACTTGCTATGCTTCAGTGTGCTCCCTCCCCCGTCTAATACTGCCTTGTTTAATATTCCAAGTTGCTTTATGTCTGGCACTCAAATGAAAGAAGTTTTTCCGCTGTTTTTTCTCTTCTTCAACCAGTGGCCATACTTGTAGGTACTCAATGAGTTTGCTGCTGCTGTCAAAGACCATTTACCATGTAAGCGACTAGCTGATGGATCTAAAAGGGTCCAGGTTCCCCATTTTGTCCAGCAGGTGAGTACGAGCATCTTCAGAGCTACGCCTGCTTCTTCAATACCTTGGTGTTAAGTTTTGTTTCCTGAAAACATAGTCATATGCTTGCTGCTGCTTGCAGTTATCCGATGATGAGAAACAGAAGAGGAGAAGGATGACCCAATGCATTGTGCATCACGACTAATTAGCTCCAACAATGTCAAGTATCTTTCAACCTCTAATGTGACATACAAAGCACTTCAAAAGCGTTCAGGAATCAGGGACTTGTAGAAGAATAAGATTGTTCCCAACGTGTTATTGCTCACTTTGCCCAGAAATTTTTTAGCTTTGTATTATTAGTTGGATGGTTTTCAAGTCCTCATCCATAGATTTGAAACCATGGAATCTTAATCTTATTGTCCTTATGCGATTCAAATTCACTACAACAAATGTTGTGAATGAATCATTCGAGAGATATAAAGTAGCTGAACTCTGAACATGTATCAATCTATCTATCTATCTATTATAAACCTGCACAGCGCATGTTGCTTCATCTAAAATGCTCCCTCTTATTAGATTTGTTAATGGGAATCCAACTAGCAATGGACCACGATTTTGTACTAAAACTTCAAATTCAGCAACTTTGACAGAGTGGTCAGTCATGCTTTTCTCGTTGTTGAAAGATGTAAAGATTCTCACGACATGACACGTTCAAATACAAAGAAAAAAGAACTTGTCGTGAAATTGACTTTTGTCTCCCCCTCGTTTATAATAATCGATCTGTCTCTCACCTTTCGGTCGGTCAATAAACATCGTCCAACATATCGATCACTAATTGTTGTCGAACAGATCAATTTGCACGGTGCGATTATGCAGATATTACGATGATTAGATAAATTAGATGGTGTTAAGAGCCCTACCGACCAAACCCAAACACCTCATGTGCTCCTCCACTGTTGCGAGCTCCAAAGAAAGCTGTGTTGGTTCCCTCGACCACATGCCGCTGTCCTGGGCCAGACCGGAGGGGATGGTTCGACGGCCACGATCTTTGCTAAACCACCGATCAACGAATCCCAGCCGTCGGATCGGGTCGGCCCGAGGCCTAATCGGTCCGGCACGGTGGTCACCCCTGTCCGCCATCCGGGCGACCAGCGTCCTCCGTGCACTAAAGCCTTCGCACAGCGTGCGTTCTCCTACTACCGCTGCTGCTTTCATGTCAGCCACTATATATCTCTACCATCCTCGGAAGGCCTTCTTCCACCTCCACAGGCACGGTCTGCCGGCATCGCTTCCATTTGGCACACCATGGAAGCTGCGGTGAGCTACGTGAAGGACGGCGGCGACCTCAGGGACACGGAACTCAGGCTCGGGCTGCCGGGCACCGAAGCGCCCGAGAAACCGGCGGCACCCTCGACGAGGGGCAGCAAAAGAGCGCTGCAGGAAGATGGCGACATGGAAAGCCGTGCCAAGAGCAGGCCTTTGGCGGTGGACTGCGGCGAAGCACCAGCGGCAAAGTAAGAGTGCCTTGAATGATTTCTCGGTACCATGTGGTTTTTGTTTAGCTGATGGGTGGTTCCTTGACATGGCAGAACGCAGATTGTTGGGTGGCCGCCGATCCGATCGTACAGGAGGAACAGCTTCCCGCCGAGGAAGGTGGAGGCGGAGGCGGAGGCGGAGGCCGCCGGACTGTACGTGAAAGTGAGCATGGACGGGGCTCCTTACCTGAGGAAGATTGACCTCAAGGTTTACAAGGGTTACAAGGAGCTCAGGGAGGCCATCGACAACATGTTCAAGTGCTTCACTCAAGGTGAGGGAACTCATCCTCAACAAAAGCAACATCAAGAACAAGCATGGCCATGGGAATGATGCAGATCTCCCTTCATTTCTTGCAGGAGAGGTCTCAAGGAAAGAAGGCTGCAGCAGTGGATCTGAATCTGCCATCACCTATGAGGACAAAGATGGAGACTTGATGTTGGTCGGTGATGTTCCCTGGGAGTAAGCATCTGATCTGCTCCTGTTAGATCTCATCTCCTTCTCCTTTCACTTGGCTGACATGCTTTGTCTTCTTGATTTGGTGTCTGTAGGATGTTCATCTCCTCCTGCAGAAGATTGAGGATAATGAAAGGATGCGAAGTAAGATGCCTGAGAACAAGACAATATAGCTAGGGCACAGGCTTACAAAGAAGAAACGAAGATGGAGAGAAGAAGAAAGAGAAAGAAGAAGAAGGAAGCATGATGTCTGTGTCAAGAACAATCTTGTATTCCAACTTCACAAGATGCAGAGTTTGTTCTGCATGAGATGTTTTCTGTATAAAGGATCTCTTTTAAGGTTTTTTGAGTTCTGGTTACACTATATAATCAAAGGATTGCTTGACTTCCTATTTCATGTACCGCCATGATCTGAATTTGAAGAAGCAAACAGAACAAAAAAGAAGATAAACCATGTTTCAGAATCTCTCCTATTGTTCTGATATCTCTATCTTTCTACTTCTATTCCTTCTCAAGTTTTCTAGGTAAATGCATTGATACAGGAACTTGCCTTCTTTTGAAACCAGTGCCCAATTTGCATTGCAGACAAAGTGCACCACTTGGGCAGAGATTTACATGGTGGGAACACTTGGATCTCAAAGTCAAACAATGTTTTCTATATCAGAGTGATGGGGGTGTGCAAATAAAGCTAACAGTTGGTGGCTGACAAGATCCAAGAAGGCCAGTCCATATTCCTTGAATCCAAGACAGTGGGAATCAACATTTCTGACAACACATGTGATGCAGATGGATGAGAGTAGGATGGAAACTTCCAGTTTGGTTGCCATGGTTGGATCCCAGCTTATTACAGATCTGTGCCTGAAAGTGACTTGAACTATGTTTAAGAAATTAGGAGCCTACAAAAATGAATGGAAGAACAGATCTGTGACAAATAATACTACTCTCTTATCAGCTTAATTTGTCATATTTTTTGCATCTGAAACTTGAAAGTAATTTTCACTTACATGATAGCACAAAGATCAACCACCAATACCAACAAAAGCTAGAGAGAGATGTAAACTTGACCCAAGACTGGTATCAAATCAACCCCAAATTGGATGTCAATGGATGAAGATTAATCTTGAAGCCAAGTCAGGTGGAAGTGCATTACATGCCTGGATTGATCATCTTGAAGCTTAATCATGTCCAGCACAATCAATCAATTACCCCAACAATAGATGCTGCATATTGATTATAAAAACATCCTTGCTAAAGTATGCACATTGATTATCTTGTACTACAATAAAGAAAAAAAAAATCCCTGCCTGCAGGATAAAAGCACTCCTTCAATACATGAAAATGAGCAATTCCAGTGCTGAAAGGTTGTGGAGAAACAATCAATTGGTCATATCATTTCAACGATGTGTTATGACCAGGTCAATCAACTCTGACAGATCATAAGATTCATAAGATTAAAAGATTGAGCTTCAATCTAAGTTGATAGGCATTAAAACTAACAGCCACTTCATTCCTCCTTGCTAGAACTATTAGAACATAACTATAAGCAGCTACAGAAACTCCAAGAAAAGCCGTGGTAGCTTTAACTAATTCAGACTCTCATGTCTTTTGCATAATAGAAGGAAGAACTCATTTGCACCATACTAATAGTTTGGACCTTGTCAACAGTCAGATCATGAGCTGTCTGTTGTGCCTGATGTTTCAAGTTCCTTCTTTTCATCTTCACTGCTAACTGCTTTAGGGCTTTCAGCTGGAGCAGATTTACTTGAATCTTCTGGATCCTTCTTTAACTCAGTTTCAAATTCTTTTGCAGCCTGAACAATCAAAGACAAGCTGGCCAGTTAGACTCAGATTAAAGAAGTAAACTCTAGAATCAATATGGTAAAAGTAAAGAACCCTGGCAATCGAATAGTATGCAGTGCTCAATCAAAGTAACTACATAATATGAAAAAAGCTCAGGAAAGTAAAAAAGAACAAAGGTTTTCCTTACTGTACAAATCAGGTTAGCTGGGTTAATAAAGGGGCTAAAACACAAAAAGAGTGTATTGGACCCAACGCAACCCAACCTAGCTATGTATTTTTCACGATCCACCTAAATGGGATGATTATGAACCACTGTTCCACAATTCTTAAGCCAAAATTAATGGAAGGGGACTGATCTAGCCTTTACAAATTCGTTCAAGTCTTCTTTCACTACTGATATGGGAATAAGTTGACATCTTCGTCAAGAACCAATATGGTTAATAATCAAAACCTATCATGGTGAAGCTCAGCCTAGTTGTAGTTCCACGTCGTGATGTGTGCTTTAGTCTTGTTCACAGATAGTCTTTTCTACTCTGCCTCTTATCGCGCCTAATACTAGATCACCTTTGATATTATTTGTAATAATCCAACTAGATGGAACAATTGAACCATTAACACTTGTTGAGCCTAAACTAGTGGTCCAAAATGCTTAAGTGTAAACTCGTGTAGTCTCTATAAATCTATTCAAATCTTCTTCCGCTTTTGTTGTGATACTAAATCAGGTATTATAGTAGCACTTCTCAGTTGGATAATAGTGCAAAATTGACATAGTATTAGAATCTATTCTCAACCTTTCTCAGGGATAGAGCTCTGTTGCATGACAAATTTATCTCTAGTACATCACCCAGCAAACATTATATTCATCATACAATACCAGATGAGCACATATTATGCTGCTACTTATTACTCAGCCAGCAATTCTCAAATTTGGGTGTGATGCTGACAGAGGCACACTAGGTACCAATTGGAGATCAATCTGTTAATCAAATCATGATCAGATAAGATTGAGAGGGGAGAAACTCGTTCATCTACCGAAAGAAAATTTTGAGATGGCCCAGTTTTGGCTGAACACAGCCTGAGTTGCCCTGGCAAGTTGCATTTGTGATGACAAGTTATAAAGCATTCACAGGCAAAACAATTGAAAGCAGTAGCAGTATAGTCGATCAGATTATGCCAATTAATGGAATAACACAATCAAAATTCAATAGCATACTGATTGTGAAAATAGCTTGAGAATCGAGATGGAAGATTAGACCAACAGAGGGTGTTGCCTAGTTATTATTCATCGATAGATCCACTTGTTCTTAGGAGGAGGAGACAAACCATCAAAAGGAACAATTTTGAGTGCAGCAAACCTGTTGGAAGCTCTTGACTGTCTTGCCGATGCTCCGGCCAATCTCTGGGAGATTCTTCGGGCCAAAGACGAGCGCGGCGACCCCGGCGATCACGACGAGCTCCGGCACCCCGAGGCCGAACAAGCAGCGGCACCCGAGGCCGCCGCTCCTCCCGGGTCGCAGCCTCCTCTGGAGGGCGCGGGTGCGGTGGGCGGCGGCGACGAAGAGGGACTCGGATGATGCGAGAGAGGAGCGCTTCGACAGCAGTCGAGGCGAGGAGGACGTCGTCATTAGAGCGGCCGGCGAAGCAGCAAAGGCCATCGCCACCATCTCTCCGTCTGTCTCTCTCTCCCGCCACGCGCGATCGATTTTTTTCTTTTTTTCCTTTTATTTATTTCTCAATGATAATTATCAGAATGTGAGATTGGGAACAGCGAGCAAAGTCGGCGTAGCGACAAACAAATATCGCCACATGATTATTCGTTGAATTAAAATTATGTCGGATCATAATGTCACTATAAATATTTTTCGTGGCTGTTTTCATAATCTCCTAACTTATATATTTGATTATAGTAAATGTTTATTAATTGGAATAATAGTTATTAACATAAGTTGTCGGAAATACGAATATAATTAAAAAGATAAATACATAAAAGCCATCAAAAGAAGCAACAGAAGGGACGGAGGACGAGAAAAAGGTGGAAGAAAGCTTTCTTCTAGTTTTACCCAGAGAAGCTACCTGCCTTTTTATTGGAGGTAAAGGTGGCCCCTCTGGTGCTTGCTCTACGCAGCTAATTGGAAGTCAGGTAGGGGAGAGGAGAAGACGATCAGCGTGCCGTCTCCCCGCCTCCCCCACCTCACCGAAGAAGAAGAAAAAGGGTAGGAAGACCGGCAGCATCAAATCTCAACTCTGCTTCTGCTGCTTCTTCTTGATCGAGAGAGATGGAGAGGGTCTTCTCGGCGGATGAGATCGCCGACTCTTTCTGGGCCGCCTCTCCCGCCTCGGCAGGCCTGCCCTCGCCCACCGGAGCCGCGATGAGCCGGTGCCCCTCCGAGTGGTACTTAGAGAAGTTCCTCGAGGAGGCCGCCGCTTTCTCCGCCCCCAGCCCTAACCCTAGCCTCAACGCCAACCAAAATAACTGTAATACGGTCCCCTATCCTCCGAGCGCCGTCTCCTCGGCCTCTAGCCGCAACCCTAGCCCTAACCTGGCACCCAATCCCAGCGCTTCGTCCTCCACCGTGGGGTCCAACTTTTGTGGGGCCCCGAGGGCCTCTGGACGAGTCGGAAATGGCGAGGTGGTGGAGATCAAGGCCCCCTTCGGTCCGCCGGCTGCTGTCGATCCCGGGAACTACCAAGCGCTTCTGAAGCAAAAGCTGGACGTGATCTGTGCTGCAGTCGCCATGTCTCGAGTACACCTTGTTTCTAATTCTCTTGATGAAGTATTTAGCCTGTGGTGAAATTTTTTCTGCGCAATTGCAACATGCTTATCTTATATATGGAAATTAAACAAGTTTTATCTCTTCTAATCTCATAAAAGGAAAATATTTTGACATATTTCGGTTTGGGGATTTGGCGATTTTGCTTCTAAGATTGTGGATCAGCTTTTGACTGTTATCCATATATTTTGCATCTTGTCACCTATATTATACTGTCACTATTGGCCTAGATAATTGCTTGAACATTTTTTTAGAAGGATGAAATGTGTTGATTCAAAGTAGTTGGGATGTTTGAAGTCTATAGGAATTGCTTCTTACTGGCCAAATTATTCCTTCTGCCTAGTTTGCTGCTTATACGACCTGTTAGCACATCTTGAGTGGATGAAGGGGGTAAATTCCTTATTTTTCAAGCGCAAGTTTCACCATTAGTTACTTAAGCAAACATTTAAACCAAACTTGAGCAAGTTGTGACAGGAAACAGCTTGTCTAAATTGAGCTCAAGGTGGCTGATATAGTTAGGGACTAACACTGGACTATCTATGAATGACTTGTTTGAGATTCATGGCTCAATGGAGCTTGCAAAAGCTTTTCAGACATGTATACTTGAATTGAACCATGCTTTGAGAATTGAGATCCAAACCAAGAGACAAAAGGATTTCTGAATAGATAAATTAGAAAGTTGAGTCAGATGTAAAATTAACTTATTTAGTCACTGATACTATAAGCTAAATCAAGTGTGACCAAAATGAGTTGGCAAGTTTCAAATTTTATTTTGTATACTTATGGATACAAAATTTCAGTTAAATTTCAGGCAGAATGCATACTTCATTAACTCTGCGACCATTTAATAGTAAGTTGCTAAATATTAATAAGCATTCCAAGGACAGAACTCTCACGCCAAGAAACAATAGTTACATGGAAGTATGAAATTGTCTGTTTAATTGCTTACCACATTGAAAATTAGAAGGAATGCTTTCGTTTACTTCCTTCCTTAAGATTCGAGGTTAACGTCGGTGCTAAAGCAAATCAGTTATGTAGACCTATGCAAGGAACCATCTTGGTGGTTGGTTTGGCCCATGCGTCTTTTTTATTTTTTTTGGCGAAGGGTTAATGGTGAAGGTAGGATTTGAGCCCAAGACCTTACGATAAACTATCAAATTCTTTACTAGCTACGTTAATTGACACCTTCCTCATGCATAGTTTAGAGTTACTGTTATTCATTTTATCGTTAGCCTTAAGCTAGTAACCAAGCAAAAAAAAAAAGGGAGCAATTATCTGCAGTCAAACCATTCTGTAATTGTGGAATATGAGGTTTCACTCCTCTGAGACTGAAAATTTTAAGCAGGATGTTATCATGTTTTGTATTTGATGAATATCATCTACTTCATTTACATGTCTTTTATCTTACTAATCAACTGTTGCTGTATTTTAAAGCTATTTGTTGTATGCATTAAGTTCTAATCTTTAACTATCACTTACAAGCTTACCAGAAAATGTATAAAGAACAAAATGTTATGTATAACACTCATGTTTCTCTTATTACTGAAAGATATGATTGTATGTTGAGCTATTGAGATTTTCTTTTTTCTTTTTAATCTTTGGTTTCTCATTAAAAAGAAATTGACTTTATACATTCTTGGTGCCCTGGATAATTGCTCTTCAGTATAATCTTATATGGAGGACTTTTATTACATTTTAAATTCTATTAGTCAAAAAAGAAAGCATATGTGGATGTTTGGATTTGGTTTTTCAAATTATATATTTCTTCATTGCAGAGCTCTAGTGTGAATCCACAAAATTCTGCTTCTGTAGCTGACAGCAGGTCACCGATTTCAGATGCTTCACAGTTTGGTTCTCAAGTACCTGTGAAGGGTATAATTGCTAGTCCAATTTAGTGTTTGAAGACATGATTTAGGCAAATTTTATCCATTTCTGAATTTTCAATTTGTTCGGATGAAGAGGGTGTTTAAAGAGATATGCATCTTCATGGACTTGTGTGGCTTTTTGACTTTCTTTTTCCCTACTATGTTTGTCTCCTCGATTAATTAGGTAGAGTAGTATTCAGTTTAGTTTAAATTTCTTCTTTTTGGTATGTCTATTATAAATTTATTTGGGTTATGGAGCTACATTAGAGACTTATGTCGAAAAGAGAAGGGGCTAAATAACATTTTATATGCTTATATATAACCAGTTGTCCTTTTTTTATTTCATGTGAAAGTCAAAGAATCATTGAAGGGCTCGGATTTGTCCAAAAATGGTAGTTATGTTGAGTGAGGAATAAATATGGTTGATCTTATTCTTTTTTAGTGTCATGGATTAAATGGAACATGACCATTTCCTAGTAAAGATTAGACTGAGCTGAAGAGAAAAGGGATTGTGTACATGATCTCTTTTGAGAATATAATTTTTTTGTTATGTTTAGGCCACTCTTGTTATTCTTTCTTTTTAGTCTTGTTCCGCCCAGCATCCCTATGCATTTTATGTTTAGACTTATTTCTTCTATGTCTTTATATTAAACAAATAAAATATACTGAATTACCAGTCATCCTATTCTGAGATGATCTTTAGAGCCATCACTATTATAAATCCTCATTGTTCATGATTTGTTTATAGTTGTATACTAGATCGATGCATTGATATGCAGGATTTGATCATGAAAAGTTACGACCCCTGAAATCAATAAGAGCTACATCAAGATGCTAGAATAAAATAGTTATATTTGGAAAACGTCTTTGGTAATTTCAATAAGGATGTTAAACTCAATTACTTGGGGGAAGCTTTGGCTTATCTGTAGGGCTGGATGAACCACACGCAAGAAGAAGTAACCACAACCTTCCAGCAAGATGACCTTAATGAGCCTGTACTACCACCCATATCTCCAAATTGGAGCTGTCAAAATGGATCATAAAGAAATATAGTCATGGGGAGCATAAATTATTTAATGGAATATTCAAGGAACAAATTCTTACATCTGATTTCTGAAGTTTACCATGATAATTCTTTGGTCAATGACATTGTTGTCTAGAAATGCTGGACTTTATGAACATTCATTATTGATTGATCCACCAAACAAAATGAAGTTTATTCTAGGAAGTATTCGGGATGACATACTCATTGATAGTGATATGGTGAAAATTTTGTTACTGTATCTGTTCATGTGCAATCTTGAAATGACAGAATTTATCAATTTATATGGATTCAGAGAAGCTGGGTTATGGACAATATAACATCCCAAACATCTTAAGGACAATATTTTCATAGAGAAAAAGATTTTATATATCTAATTTTTATATTAGAGATAGGTAAGTTTCAGTCTCCATCTGTTGGAAATTTGGTAGGCTTTATAGAATTTGGTTCACTCTCTCTTTTCTTAAACTCCCTAATCAGTCACTATTGGTGATCACTGCTTTAATTTTGAGCACCTTTAATTTTGTCAGCAAAATTGCTGAATATATAGATTATGTTGTGCATTTGTAAGTTTAGGTGTAAAAGTTCTGATGTAGCCTGAATTGATCCCAAAAGCTGTATAACCTGCATCTTTCAGAATATGGTGTTGTATTTTGATTGCTAGCTTTTATACAGCCGTATCTTATTAAAATATCAACATGGTCTAAATTTAGAAAGGGTAGCTTTTGTTTATCACTTAATGTTGAATGCAGTGTGATAGCATACCTTTTGTTGTAGCACATATAAAAATTTTAGCATGCTAATTTGCATGGATAAAATTTGGTTGATGCATATTTATTGCAACTTGATATTTTTTCTTTCTTTTTCTTTCCTTTTCTGCGTTTATAACATTGCATAGTTAGGAAATGCTTCTAAGTTGTAACGTAAACAGGTGATGGACCTGGTGGAGTTCCAGCTCTATCCATTTTGCAGAACTCAGGTACCCAAGGGAAGCCAGCTACCAGTGGTTCATCAAGGGACCAGTCTGATGATGATGATGATGACGATGATGAACTTGAAGGAGAAGCAGAGACCAATGAAAATATGGACCCTGCTGAAAGAAGACGCATGAGGAGGTAAAAATATGATTGTGTGCTGATTTGAGTATAGCTTTCTTGAGATAGTAAGCCTTTGTTAACCTTTACTCCCACACATTATTAATCATGTGTTCATTGTGTTGTCTGATTAGAATGTTTTTTAGCACACCAATAATTTGCATGAACACCTGTACCTAGGTTTATCTTGGCTCATCAGTCTTTGATTATTCAAGCTTCAGAATGGTAAATGAAGGAACTGTCAATTTCAGATTTGCTTGGAAATCCGAGTTTTTGGAGCTGCAAAAATGCTGCTGTAGCTAGACTAATTTACTGAATATATTTCATGCCTTGCAAAGTGGATTTTTCTGATAGATCCGGGTAATTTTTGAAAAAATTTACTGAGAAATGAATAAATAAGGCAATGGCACCGAAAAGTATATTGGGTTTGGATTTCTGTTCCCATAATTAGTGTTGGTCAACAGAGTGGTTTGCTATTTTATGCGAAATAAACAAGAATGTGCTGCTAGTTTGTCGGCAATAGTGCATTAATTTTACAAGAACAAATACTTGTCATTTCTTTTTCTTGTGCTAAGTTTAGTGAATGGTAGTGGCTCCACTTGGACCAGTGGCAAGGCATTCTGCAACGGGCTAAATGAATTCCAGTCAGGGAAATGGCATCCCATCTTGTGGAGGCGATGCGGATGATATCTGAACTCCTTATATCCACATTGTCAGTTCTTTGTTGAGCTGTCTTCGCTTATTGGGCAGCCTATATCTAAGCTCTTGCTATCAGCTTATTCTTCTCTTGGTTTTCAGTGGCATAATCCGTTCCTTCTGTGTTTCATAACTGGAGAGACCTATACCAGGACTCCTGAATTTTCATGAGATCAATCACACTATGTCAGAAACAAATGAATTTCAGCTGGAATGGTTGATTTTGGCTGGGTTTTGACTAGTTCTTGTAGATTCTTGAATGGAACTTAGAAGATAGAGAAAATCTATAAAAGGATTTATAAGAATTTGTGAAGTTTGCTCTAGTTAGTGAGAATTTTATTCATCACCAATAAATTTTTTATTGTTGTGATTCTTCAGACATTAAAAAAGGATGGTTCACTGCACAAGTTTCTTTCCAATGTGAGCCCTAGGTAGGATCAATTGCCAACAAAGAACTCTAGAGCATTGTATTCTGTTAATAAAGGATTCCAGACTTAAAAGGTTCTGTTGGACATTATTTCAATAAAGCAAGGACATGCAATCCACTTAAATTGAAATTATTGTATTTCTGACTATATATATTTTCTCGTGAATTCATATTTTCACATAAAGGTCATTCATGAGATTTAGGACTCCAACAAACTCACCTGAAGGATAACCAGAAATTAAATTTTAAAATTAAATTAAATGAACCAAATAATCTGGAAGACCGTTTTAGACTTCCAGTCACATAAGTAAATCTGAAATTTTTTCTTTAAAATAATAGGCCAATTTCCCACCATTACACTAATGAGAAGTACATCTTCGATAGGATAATTTGCTGCAGAGAATGCATGAAGTGTTGGCTTTTAGCCTATAAGAAAGTCATTTGTAGAGCCATAGAAGAAAAGGAAGGAATAAGGTGTGCAATATAAGTGCTTCTGGCCACTTGAGATATTTGATTTAAAGTGCTTTCGGCCACTTGTATGGTACTTTTTGGGATCCAGGATGGCCCCTTTCACCAAAAGCTTAATCCAACATAAGCATGATACTTTGGTCTTTGGGTGACAAGAAGTATCTGCTATGTCTTTCATGTTAAATGATAAAAAAAGGCCAGTTCCTTCAACATAACCCTAATGACAAAGAGATCCGTTAAGTCTAATGGTGCACCAAGTTTAGTTCTAACTGTGACAAAAATGGCCTTGTACTAAGAACATAAGTGAGATGCATTTGACATGTCCTTGTGCTTCTTTCGGAGAAAGTTCTTGTTGCATTTTTTTCCATTTTCTGTTACATTGGTTGCATGACTGGTGTATTAATACAAAATGTTGGTTTTCTTGAACTTTTTTTCTGTTTTGTGGTACCATACTGTCACGCACTTAGCTTGTTTTGCCTAAGTCATGCGGCACCCTTGCGTGTCTGTTCGTAAAGGTCAACCTCCCCGAAACCTCCTGTGGTCCCTTAGGACCTACAAAAGGGAAAACGGGTTAGAGAAAGTGTCTCACTCGGGATCCACAAGCAATCATTTCAGTAAACACTTCATAGCCAATGCAAATTACAAAAATACTTTACAAGCTCTGCACGGTCGCACAACAAAGAGTCCAAAATGGTCCACTATAGTCCGAGATCCCCACAAGTGCCCATATGACACAACCTTTGTTTGCAAGCCTAGAACGGCCACCAAAACCAAAGAAAACTAATCCTAGTGCCAGCCCTTTATATGCAAAACCTAAAGACACAGACATACATAAGCATTACATCGAATATCCCATTTACAATTTTGTCCGTGAGAATACGTGATCTTGTATCTCGTCGTTTTTATGTGACATCATTCTTACAATTATTTAAAAGAATGGGCTTGTGTTTCTCTACGGTAAGACGTAAAATGTCATACATAGATAAATTCTAGATTTGTGAAATATATCCTGTGCAGGTATCTTTACTTTAATGCTTTTAATTCTGTGTAGTGAATCTGAATTCTTTCTGTTTGTGCCCAGAATGCTCTCAAACCGAGAATCTGCAAGACGTTCAAGAAGGAGAAAGCAAGCACATCTAAGTGAACTTGAGGGACAGGTTGCTTTCTGATATTGATTTTTTTTTTGTATCTTCAAAATTATTAGTGTTAAGATTTGTCATACTTTTTGATAGGTCTCCGAATTAAAAATTGAGAATTCAACACTGTTAAAGCGTCTAACTGATATTAATCAGAAGTACGGTGATGCTGCTGTTGGCAATAGGATACTAAAAGCAGATGTAGAGACATTAAGAGCAAAGGTAAGCTGTTCACTGGTTTATGTTTGTTTACGCTAGACGTGTGACTGAATCCATTCTGTTGTTCCTTGCAGAAAACTGGTAAATAATACTTATATCATTTCTTATATTGTTTGTGAATGTAGTAATAAACCTAAATCCTCTATTTCTTGTTGCTTAAGTTGTGAATCTTTCTAAGGATGCTCTTTTATCAATTGCATGGCTATTGTTCATGGAGATGATATCGAAGGTTTCAATGTCAGTACACTTTTCAAGAGCATAGAAGCAAATACAACATTTTGAGGGGTACAATCTGCAAACAAGAAAACATTATAATGACAAATGAAAGCATGCGAATGGCATGAAATCTACTGATTATATGACATAAAGTGATAACAATGCATTGAACAACTTCTATATTATTGATGCTATATCTGGCTTTAAAAACTTTTTGATTTTAGACATCCTATGAACAAATTGCTTAATTAAATGTTATTACAAAACAGACATGACTTACAAGCAATGCCAAGACTTGTGCATTGTCCATCTGCACCATCTCAATCATCTTTTAATGCCAATCATTGGACCACTATTCCCCCTGTGATTGTATGGTGATCATCAAGCTCCTATTATTCTTCACTTCATCTGAAGTGGTAGACAGCTAGTACTTTAAAGCACCTGTGGCTACGAGAACAGGTAAGTGGTAGTCTGTAGGTGTATTCTTGCAACTATAATCAGTTTGCTTAAGAACATTGTGATTAGTTCTGAAGTTCTACTAAGATGAGTTTGGTTTCGTCAAACGCATTGTAGTAGAAGGTTTTTTTTTTTACAGAACTTATTTGCTCAAGTCTAATATCTATGGCATTCAGGTGAAAATGGCAGAGGAGACTGTAAAGAGGGTAACTGGAGTGTGTCCTTTGTACCCGATCATCTCCGAAATGTCAAATATCAGTTTACCGTTTAACGGGAGTTCATCCGATGCAACCTCCAATGTTGTCATTCCTGTTCACGACGACACAAACCACTTCTTCCATGTGTCAGCATATGATCAGAGAAAGAACACCTGCCTTCCTGACATTGGGATCCCTCCTACGGTTGAGGATGCTGTCCATGGTGCTGTGGCTGCGGGGAAGACTGCAGGAGCTGCATCCATGCGGCAAGCAGATAGCCTGGAGCATCCTCATAAAAGAATCCTCGGAGGACCAAACTCATCCCCGGAATGGAACTCAGCAGCAGCATGGGATCCGAAGACCTCTGTCACTGGCAAAAAGAATCAGGGCTAACAAGTTTCTGGGACTGTGTCATATTTAGATGTCATAAGGACATTGTCCATTGTGAAGGCAACCTAACTACTATTTTGGATGCTACAAGTTATACTCTCATCTTTCTTGTTTGTCAAAACATTAGTCCCTGTTTGGAAGGGCAAAAAAGGCATCTCAGGTGATTTCTCCTCCTTTTTTTCTCCATAGAACAGTCCTGGTGAATCAAAATTGATTCAAATATGTGTTATCGACACCAGAAACAGGACAGTGTATTCACAGCTGAAGCGTTCTCTGTGGTTCCTCCTCCTGCCATGTGGTTCCAGCTTTCATAAACCATGACGGATGAAATGATACATCATTAAATGGATGTGATGGATTACACATTACTGAGTTCATGTAAATCACATGCAAATTGAAGTGTTGTTCTAATGTCTTCTTCTTCTGTGGACATGATATGAATTCTATGGATCTTTTATTGTCGCTGATGGCGATTCTATCACATGGAAATGGATTGTCATTCGAGGATAATTAGAAAAAGTCAAAATTACTTGGGAAGGAAGATCAGATTGACATCTGACGTAATTACTAGATGAAATCTAAGGACGGAAGGAAGATCTAAGCGTTTGAAGTTTTGGAACCTTACCGGTGGAACAGTGAGACATCTCTTCGAAATCAAGACAAAGAAGGTGGTCTCGATGAGGACGAGGGTCACCGGCCAAGTCCCGATTGGTCTACAGCCAACGTCAATCGACAGAGACTCGACAATTGTCGCTTACACAGCCTCCTTTGGATCTCACTGGTCGCTCGTCAAAGAAGGTCTAAAGGGAGAACAGACCATGGAAAGAGGCATCAATCATTAAGCTTGACTCATCTTTTACTTGGTGAAGCATACACCCTCTTGCGTCTCACTCAAAGCTAAAAGTGACTTGCAGATTATAGTAGTCCTACATGAACCATCATCTCTCTCTCTCTCTCTCTCTCTCTTCTTGGCACCTAGCTTGTGATAGGCTTTGATAACGATCAAGATTAGCAATCGCGATAACCTCAAACAATCAGAATGTATAATAATATCATCAATCTCAAATCTAATTTAGATCGATGAATATCTTATTCCAACTTAAGTATATCATAATTACCTTATCTATTTTCTTAGTAGAATTAGATAGATCGACAGACGTATATCAATATCCGAATCGTAGTAATTCTCATTAATTATCCAATTATTCCGATATGTATTTTCCTACTCCTATCCTAATCCCAAAAAGAAAAAGGAAAACAAAAAACAAAGAAATCAACGTGACACGCGATTCCCGTGATCCAGCAATTCGAGGTGTGTTGGTGACGGTCCGGTAGATGCGCCGATTGGTCCTCGTGGTGGGACCCGTGTTGAAGGAATGGTGGGTCACGTGGCGGAAGACCATTGCAAGTCTCGCGTCGGTATCTGTAGAAGGCGCCAACGTTTCAATTCAAAAGCCGCTGCAGAGCGGGTCGCTCGGTTCGCAGTCCGACCCATGAGGTGGCCGCTCGATCCACCACTCGGTACCGTGCGCCATTCTTCCATTTACATCCTCCGAGGATCTCTCGTTTACACCAACGCCCTCGTGAGGACGTGTGCGTAAAAGATCGCTTTACGTGCAATCCAAAATCATGTTATGCAGCTCGATTTAGTCAACTCATGGTCTCGAATGTGACCTAAAAGTCAAACATTTGTCCCACATTTCATTTCAATGACCTAAAAGCCAAGTATTAAGCCACAATTATTGTGCGCTAGGGAGGTACCCATCTACAAATAACACGTCGACAGGGGGTAAAACGCGAAAGTTACCTGCCGGGGGAGGGTATTTTCGTAAATTAGGGCGGCTAGTAAGTTCCGTCACGACGAACACGAGGGGGTGACGACGTGGGTTTAGTTCGTGTGGTGCGACCTGGGAATCCCGTCACCGGAAGGTGAACAGGTGACCGTTTTGCGCTACTAAAAGCCGTCGCTGAGCCCCGACAGGCTCGAGAGAACGACGACACCGGGAGGATCTCGAGACCCCCCCGTTAGTTGACGGCGTCAACTTCCGGGCGGCTATAATAGGAGTAACAGCAGCGGTCGTCGCCGTTCTCGAGGGCGTGAGCGGAGGAGAGCAAGGCCAGGGCACGCAAGGTAAAGGAAGCCGCCTCACGACGAGATCCTGATCTCTTGGACCGGTCTTCCGATTTGTAAGTAATCCGTCTCGTTCTCCTCCGTTTGGTTCTCCCATTCTTGGTTCTTGATCTCGAATGCGGGTAGGGGGTTCGATTGGGAGGGTCGGATCTGGGGTGGGCGTTTGAGATCTGGCGCATTCATCCGGATTTCGAGTTTTTCCTACCGTTTGAGTGGACATGAGCGAGGGTTTTTGGATAGAAATGACGCCTTTGAATAAAGATTTGCCCCTTGTCGATGCTGGTGGAATGTGCTTTCGGCTGCTAAGCTCATTCGTTCTGATCCAATCGTTTTCTATGTGGTTTGAAGGAAGTAAACTAATGTTTTAGTTCCATTCCACTTTCCCGTAGTCTTATATTGTATTGGTTTCTTGGGGGATTCCTTCCCTAAAATACTGATTCACGCAAAATAGGGTAATGAGTTTATTCCTGGTTCGGCAAAGGTTCAATTTTTACTGTTGGAATGTGAAGGCAGTCGATGGATTTCCTTGATTCGTTGTTGAATGTTGATGTGTTGGACATTTGATCTATTTCCCTTGCAAGATTTCATATGAGAAAACAAGATGTTGATTGTCGGAGAGTCAATATATGAAAGGGAAAGAAATAAAGCAAATAGAACTATAAAGGCCACATGAGTTACTTGTATCAGAATGTCGCACTTGTGTTGAATGCTTCAGAGGTGAGTTTCTGAATGCAATATGAGCGTCATCATGCATGGTAATCTTGTTTAACATACTTTGACAGTGATATCTAAGCTCTCTGCATGATGTTACAGAGACATACGTAAAGAAAAAATTCCTCTTAATTTCTTTAGCTTCAGAAAACAAATTATGATAAAGATGTTGTTGCATCTGCCATGTTATGCGCCACCCCACCCACCCACCCACCCCCCCTCTCTCTCTCTCTGTCTCTCTCTCATTTAGTTGCTAGTTATGCAGATAAGTAGTGCTAATTTTATTGGACAGATTTCTCTGAGCAAAAATTTTTTTAATTACTCTGGAGGCACTTGGAAATTTGCTTTTGCTGTTCCATCATACTTCGGAATATGGGAAGCTACCTTTCTCCTTTTGCTATTTTCTCTTTCTGCCATGCTAATGGAAGAAGCTCTCAATTTGTTCCTTTAGAATTGCGCAGATGCTACTTATATGAAAAGTTTCTTCTATAGTCTCATAACATTGAATGGAGAACTGCAAACAGAGAATTTATTTGCCTCCAAGGAAATGCATATAATGGACGTATTAGAGAAAGACCAAGCACTCTTATTAAAAAAATGTTCCTTCACTGGTTCTACATGCACATGTCATTCTTCAAGCATGTCTCATTTTTTTCATTGCTAGACATGACCAAGGAAGAATGCCTCAATTAAGTTAATGTTACAGATAATCCTACTATGGAAGTACTATTCTTGGGAGAATATGAACATGTTCGTGATGATAGGAACCAATAGACATTCCTTCAAATGGTAATATAATTACTGCATTTATGTGATAGGTAAATATCTGATTTATATTTTGCCATTATATTCATATACACACCATTTATTTTTGTGCTTTATCACTTGTCATACAAAGACATTTGATCTGTGTGGTTCACTTTTTGCAGCTCAATGGGTAAGGAAGTGACAGAATTATCAAGGGATGGGGAAAGAGATTGTGTTCTCATGCATGCACCCAACGGTAAAACTGATCAAAAGAGTCCCTGCAAACCTTCCACAGTTGCTGGGTCAGATGAAGCTATAGATAATAATCAGGATGATGCAAATTCTCAAGGGCATGCAGTACCTCATATTAAAAATTTGAGTATAGATCAGGACACAACAGAAAAGAACTTTGGTGATCCAAAATCTTCAAATCAGAAGTCAGCATCATCAAACTCTGATAATGCTACTGGATCTGACCACACTGTTCCTCAGCCATTTGCTCCCACAACTGAAAAGCATGTTTCTGGTGGAAATCGTGCTTTTGTTGCTAAACCTGCTATCAGTGGAGACAAACATCCTAATGTAGATATACAACGTGCCAATATCCATCAGAAGGCTCAGGTCTGTTTCCTATTGCTTCCTACTCCTGATCTTTATTTATTTATTTTATACACTTGCAATACCATGCTTCAGTGTAATGCATCATTCATACATTTTGCTTTGGATAATCTGAGAACTAGAATCATAACATTTTCTGATACATTTGAGTCTGTTATGTTTGGGTTAGAAGTCAATATATTGCAACATCTCTTGTTTTCTTTTTTATTCAAAATCAATTTACTTCTATAATATGCTTGTTCTAACTGACCTCCCTATGCTAATATGTAAGAGATTACACACTAAATTTTCTTGTCATGATTGGGCTTCATCTCCTAAAGCTCTCGTTAGCATTTAATATAAAGCATTAAAATTAGTTCTACAACTTCCTGATTTCTCTTGCACATCTTTAATAATTTTGAAGTTTAAACCTTTTTATATATAGTAGAAAAGATTGCTGTATTTGAGAGCATGTATTTTTGTGTGGTACTTCAACATATTGAAAAATTAGTTAGTGGGTTTATTCATTGTGGTAGTTCTACAAGGTGTTTGCAGAGTAACTTGATGCTCACGTCTAGGAAGCCGCTGCATCCCGATAATATCATGCACCCAGACGATGAGGATTCTTGCTCTGTTGCTTCTTCGTATCCTTTTTCTGATTTATATTTCTTGAAGTCCCTTTATTTGTAAACAAAATACAGTAATTTTTCCTGAATTATTCATGGTAGTACACTATCTATAAGGAATTTGAAAGCTAGAACAGTGGCAGTTGCCCCTACATTCAGATCCAGTGAACGTGCAGAGAGGCGGAAAGAGGTACGTTCTTTAAAGTTAAGGAATACTAGAATTTTGCAATCATCTCTGGATTTATAAAGAGGATTTTTAATGTCTTTTCCTACTTTATGTAGTTCTACTCGAAATTAGAAGAGAAACATCAAGCTCTAGAAGCTGAGAAGCTCCAATGTGAAGCTAGGACCAAGGTACGTCTTCTTCCATCTATCTGTTGCTGAGAGGAATGGTTCAAAAGGCATTAACATAGTTCCATGTGGAGTATCTAGAGCTCCAATGATATTTGGATTTTGACGTTATCATAGTTCCATGTGGAGTATCTAAGTGGGACATGAAATTTCTCTGCTGATGAAATCATTTCGAATTCTATTTAATGGCCTTGTACTGACCAAAATGATGATCAGTGCCTATGATTCATTTATTTGGACATCAATATTGTGTATCATGTTTAGTGGGTGGGCTGCTGCACATTATACATTCTCCAAGCAGACTCGTATTTTTTAAATTTATGACAGTCTAAATGTGAGCTTTTACTAATGATTTTGGCAGTCTAGCAGAATACTTGCATGAATGCTAATTGACCACTTAAATAAAATCTGCAACTCAGGCAGCAGACACTACATTTAGAAGAAACATTTATAATATTTATTTTTCCAAAGTCGCAAAACGCTTGTGTATTATCTCCTCTTCTTCAATTTTAATTTGCTCATCACTCTCTACCACACAAACTGCTTTTCTTTAGCAAATATGTATCTTGAATGTCTTTCTTGAAACCAGATACTTATATACCTAAATTGTTTCCTCTCTAGCATTGTAATGACCTTTAGTTTTCATCTGCCGTACAAGAGATATGAGCTACCTATATTAGATGCATCACATTAGATGTCATTGGTCCTCTTTTTTATGGCTATCTCAATACCATTATTGACAAACATATTTCAATAGGCCCAGATGCTGGGTTGAAAATTTCTCTCTCTCCATGTCATTTGACTCCAATTATGTTGTTAATGACAAAATATATTAGAGTAATATGAATATGAGGTCCCATTAAAAAATGTTAGACAGGAAATCTTGCAGGGTTGTTACTTTATTTTGTATGTGAAATAAAAGACTGAAGGATTATAAAGGACCAAGTTGTAATGCAGTGTGTTATTGGTGTCATTAATGTCATGACAGCTTGTGAGTCACTTTTGAGCTGAACAAGTTCTAGAAAGCATACTTTAGTGAGTATTGCTAATCTCAACTTGTAAATTTTCCCAGGAAGAACAAGAGGCAGCTCTAAAGCAACTAAGGAAGAGTTTAACTTTCAAAGCGACACCAATGCCCAGCTTCTACAATGAGGGTCCTCCGCCTAAGGTTGAACTAAAGAAGGTACTTGTCTTAGGCTTTCATTTGATAGGCTATTACTTAATTCAAATAAGTTACTATAATAATTAGCTATTTGCTGGATAAGTTGAATATAACATGAGCAGAGCAAACATGTTTGCTATTGTTGTAATCAGGCACACTTTGTAGTCCATTTAAATAAGTGCACATTTGAAGGAAAAAACCAATGTGTTTACAGAGAACTGATTCTTCAGTTTTTAAACATAGGCAACAAACTGTATTGCTCGGACTTGGAATATAGGTGTGGATATAGATACCTAAATGTTCTATGTTAGGTTGAGGGATGATTTAAATGGGTTGAAATCAATATGTGGATACAGAGGTTCTAAATATTTTTTACATATTCTAATTTATTTTTACATGTAGAAAAAATGTTCTTTTACTATTTTGAAGTTAAAATTTTAGTTTAAAATATATTTCTTTTATTCTCTTCTGTTTCTCATCTTTTCTTTTCTTTTCTTTTCTTCCTTTTATTATTTTATTTTCTCTTCACTAGACAACTAGGATGATGTATTTTGCAACATGTTCAAAAGTCAAACTTGAGGATGTTCAGGATCAAATCCACCAGAGTTTGAATTGGTTAAGATTAAAAAGGGCTATGAGATTTTGCTGTAGGCGTTGGCTATTTCCGATTTGGCCCTTCCCATTCTTTATACAGAAGCTGTAATGGTGTGTGCAGCAGCAGAATGTGACCAATGGGCGATTGTAGGTTGACCTCTTACTCTTCTCCTACCTCCTGTTTATTATCCTCCCCCTCTTCCTCGTCCCCTCCTCTTTCTTCTTCCCTGGTCAGGATTGGCTGGGATTGGCTGGAATTGGCTGGGATGAGTGAAATTTGCTACGATCTGCTGAGTCAACAGACTTCACAATAAATTCTGTGGATCGTACCTTCTACTGTCATGACATGCATACCATGCTGAGTGCAGGTTCCATAAACGAGTTTTCAGTTTTAATACTTTTGTTCATAATATACTATTATATTTCACTCAAAGCTTCTAGCATATGCCATCACTAGTGTTACTTCTATATATATAATATATATGTATTTTGCCTTATCTTGGGATTCTGACCTGTAAATTTTCATTACTGCAAATAACTATACATTTTCTTTGTCTGATATCCAGATTATGTGGTTGATATGTTAAATTGATTCATTTTTCGCAATGATGAGCAGAAGCTATTTTAATATTTGCGATTTCCTAACTGATAAATTTCAAGTGTCTTCTCACATGGAACTTCCTATGTTATCCTACCATGTTCGATCTTGCATATATGACATTACGCGATTTTCCTCTACCCATCCAGGCACATTGCAATTACCAAGATCCTCTATGCTGCATTCTTCTCACAACAAATTCTGATTTGCTATTTGCTATCTAGATTCTAGTGTTATATCTTATGAATCTTGGCTTATATTTATCATGATGATCTTTCGACATGTGCCTCCTGTAAATCTTTGGTTCAAATTTTAATGTTATTTTAGTGTACTGAAGATATTGTATGGCTTCGTATATCCATCCGGGCCACGTGCTTATTCGCAATCTAAGTCTGGTTGTTTATGAGATTTAGGATTTTTCTCCCATCAGATATTTGTTTCCTATCTACATCTGATTGTTGAGTTTATGAAATCTTGCCTTTGGTTTTGCATTTTCCTTGGACACAAAGGTACCTCCAACTCGTGCAAAATCACCAAAGTTTGGTCGAAGGAAGAGCTATGGTGACGCGAGCAATGTGGCCGAAGGAGAGAACCACAGCGGAGTACGAGTTCGGCTTCAGCGGCACAGTGTGGGTGCTTGCAAAGATGCCGCAAACAAGTTACACAGTAGTCCCAAGAACAGAAATGCAACCAAAGCCAAGGATGGGGCGAAACCCACTAGGGAGAACTCTACTCCCCATGCTGACAAGGCAGCAGCTCAAGCTGCCACCATCACCACCGAGCCGAGTCAGGCGGACACTCTGCAGCCCTAATGTCTGCTTTTCCATGCACTCTTGACCTTAAATTTTTCTTGCGTCGCAAAATTTACCCTATAATTTGCCTCGACATGGAAGTGACAATCATCAATGTGAGCAAGTTTGTCAGTGGACTTTAGATGTAAGTTGTAGAATTAGTATGTATGCAGTGATCCTGACGGTTGTGTATGTAAGCTGCTGGAGTTATTATTATTATTGTTCATGGAACCTGAAGTAGAAGAACATTTGGTGCCTGCTTGATATTTCTAAAATTTATTTGAATATTTCTCATACCATTAGAGTTGTTACACAATCACTCTTTTTTTTTTTTCCAAGTAGTAGGAAAAAAAAAATGTAAACAATGTTAAATAATATTTCACTTCAACTCAACTATATATTATGAAAACATCAGTTATCAAAAATATTATTTTTATTTTTTTGATCTGTTATGCCAGAGGTTATGGAAATAAAGAGTAAATGTACAAGAAAAAGATGGATCATATCATTATTTTTTTTCGGATAGAAGAAAATATTTACTTAAAATTGAACTTATAGTTCATTGTGGAAGACGTTTATGAGGAATTGAACATGAAATAATATTTGATCTATGCATAACATCATGGAAAATAGATACAAATTTGAGAGTACTACTTAGAACTTCTAGATATTTGCAATGTTTGGAAGATATTATATTTTAAGTTATTTAAAGATAAATTATTTTGGTTGAAAGGATCCGATGTGGTGTGAATGTATTCATTCTTTCCGGCCGTATGATAGATATATTTCTTAGAACATGGACTAGTGTTAATCAAACCCATATTTGAATTGAAACTAAGCACAAACCGTGTGGGCCTCACACGCTCACAATTAAGCTTGTGATGTCGACGAAACGCCAGTGATGAGAGCCCCAACCCATACGCCACGAACGAAAGCTGTGGAGCGAGCACCGGCCGCCCCAAGTAAACGGAAGCGGAGACGACGGTGCCTATATATGCGTGTGGGTATAGATGGAAGCGTTTGCAGGGGCCTACATACGAGGGATGAGCTGCGCCCGTGGAAGAAGAGTCGTCTTCTTCCTCCTCCTCCTCCTCGTCTCCCTCGTGCTATGGCTGTCGACCACGCGGTGCGCGCAGGCAGCGAGGCTTTTGGATGAAGCGGATGACGGCTCCAGCCCCGGCAGTCCCACGAAGCTGGCCAAGCGCGACCCCACGGATTGCTGGGTGGACGGCAATGGCGAGCAGCACTGCGAGCAACGCGTCCCGGTTCCCGAGGTTAATCCTCCGGGGAAGCCGACGCAGGAGCCGTATAGGTGCAGCATCGGAGGATGTCCTCCTTAGGGTTGTCCGTCACGGCAATGAAGTTGTTATGTTTAGGTGCAGCATCGGAGGAGGATGTCCTCCTTAGCGTTGTCCATCACAGCAACATATTATGGTACGAGGCTGTGGAATTATGCAATAAAAATGACGTCGCATTTCTAATTTTGCTATGTTATGTTCACCAAAACGATAAGTGGTCTTTAGATATGCAACTCTTTTTGCAGTTCTTTATTAAAAGGTGTCGAGTGATTGATTATTGGATTTGCATCTGTCTTGAGAATAACAGATAAAATAATCATCCAGATGACTGATGTATATAAAGTCATTATAATTGTTAGATTTTTAATCTAACAAAGGTGAGGAAAATTGCTAACGCAATATGCAAAGATTCTAATGAGTAAATACAGGTTGATTCAACCACAGCGGATGCGAGTTAGTTGACTTGACCCCCAAGCTGTTGTAAGGCATGGGGTCGACCCAACCCCACGAAACTCACCTTCGGCGTCAACAAATTTCGTCGTCCATCCATCCCGACGAAAATTCGTCGTCCTCCCACGCACCGATCCAACCTCGAGAGGACACAACCCCATCTCTCACCCTCACTTTCTCCTTTCCTCTCTCTCCTACTCGTCTCTTAGGATCAAAATGTTAAGATCGACATCATGAGATTCATACCGATAGCGGACGGCCTGTGTGTCGATAGGCTGATGGACCGATATGTACCATCCGATACGTCCGAAATTAAAAACATTATGAACATGTCCGATAGATGTTTATGGCTGAGAATAACTGCATGTTCTGTGCCAAACATTAACATCGTGAATATAAAAATAAAGGTTTGGAAAAGCATGATGAATCAAAAGTTGGAATTCATAAATAAATAATCAACATTCTTGACAGTAAATAATAATTGCCTGGAACATCATGAGAAGAGAGAAAAATTGAACAAGATTGTTGCATTTGAGCTTTTCCAAAGCTTACACTGTTGTAACGATCAATGCCAATATTAAGTCCCAACTTATTCTGATTCTTTCACGGAAGCAACAGCTCCAACACATGCAATTAATAACCTAACCTAAGAGTTTCCCTTTTCCACGACTCAAAAGGTTACAGGATGAACTTCAAACATGGATGCTCACAATAAACCTTTCTCCAAGTCGATATTCCGTAATGTCATCAGAAAGAATATAAAACATAAGAGAAAGTAATCTTAATAAAGCAAACAGGGAAAGGTAAATTTACTATGGGTGGCGTTGAAAAATCACATGAATCAGCTTCAGAATTCGGAAATTTGCTTGTAGGGGGGAATACTAAATGTTCGTATGGCTTCCTATTTAAACATGAAAGACACATGCCAGTAAATAAGTAGAATTAGCACCTCACCTCCGCACTCGAGGCAAGCAGACAAATTCAGGTTCCGCTTCCGCCGGCAAGAAAAACTCGAGAAACATTCAAGAGCAGATGGCGCTATGAAAGGAAATGCAAAATCACTCTCTACGAAATGCCTTTCTTTAAGTGGAAAAAACAAGGAAAGAATTACATCTCACCGGAAAGCTCAGAAGAACAGATAACCTGGATTATAATCATTGTTATGACCAAATGGTCAATCCTATTACGTGCTCTCAAGGCCCATTAGCAGGATGATACAAGTATCTGTTTCCACCTCTTGCCCGATAGACTCGGAACTGGTAAGGGTACGTATTAGCATCCCCGTCCCCCAATCTGAGCATGGATGGATCAGTGTTCCCATAAGGCCAATGGTTCCGCATCAATCCATCAAGCTGGCTATGGTTATTAGAATATGATGAAAGATCCATCTGCTGGAGAGCTCCATCCCTCAGCCCTTGAAGGGGGTTAGCGGAAGTGCCGTAGCCCCCAAGGAAACCCTCTTCATAGTACTGATCTGAATGGTCAAACCGGCCAGAGCCACCTAATGATCCAAACTCAGCAGCAAACAAATTACTTGGCAAAGAATACTGCCTATTGAAGCCATGTTGTGGACCTCTAGCTGCCCGTTCAATGTTTTGTTCATCATCGAGCAAGTCATTGATAATGTCGAGGTGAGGAAACTCCTCTGCCACCGTACCTTGGACCTGATACGGAGTAATCCTGGAAGCAATCTCAGCTGGATATTGTTCTTTCCACAAATTATTATCAATGTCAAGCTTCTGCATGTTATCCACAAGAGATGAACCAATCCTCTGACTGCTGCTGCTGGATTCATGGTAGCTGTCATCTATCCGCGGATGATGGCTATGGACTACTTCCGGCTTGAGGCAACCAAAGGTCAAGCCAGGTCGAACTGATGTCTGGTCCTTCCTTACAGGGGCCTGAGGCGGAAGCATAGAGGCAGATGATAGGCATACCGATGGAGACTGTGAGCATGAAACACTTTGGCCTGAGGAAGTAGTCTCATCAATAAAATCAGACCTCCTTGCACGCATAGTTTTACCGATTATCGCATTCCTGTATGACTGCGGAATATAACTTGGGGCAGATGGTGATGGATCAGTTCCCAATCGACCAGCTGCACTAACAGAGCGTGAAAGGAGAGGTACTGCTTGAACTGTGGAAGCGATGGAAGCAGGTGGCCTTGGTGCCGGGACAAGAGGAGCACTGGAAGGCCGTGATATTGCATTGTCTTGATGAGAAGTATTAATCTTTAATGGCATGTTCTGCTTCTGAGCTTCAGACTGGGAACTGGACGAAACTGGTGCTGATCCTGATGCAAGAACAAGAATCTTTTCGGTTTGAGATGTGCTACTCGATGGTGCCTCTTTAGAAGAAGCTGGCTCCACTGTGGTGATAGCAGCGGTGATGGCAGCGGTGGAGGTGGTGACAACTGAGGAATGCTTTGGCTGCTGAATAGTGCTGAGTGGCTTTTTACCGAGGCCAGATGAAGAGGATTGACTCTCCGCATCAACCTGATCTTTGGATGTTGATTTCTTTTGTAGAGAAGAAACTTCCTCCTGGGAGAAAGAAAAAGTCATGAAATTAAGTTGCTTGCTGAGTAACTTCAATAACATTATCGAACACCAAGTAAAATGTTCAAGGTTTGACAAGATCAGCACAAAGAGATTATACACTCCTAGTAGATAGATACAGGGATATGAAAGAAACTCGAATAAGGGAATTATGCAGATGACACAATCATGTCAATCCTAAAATGAAACAGCAGGCAATGACCTTATTCAAGCTTAATAGCTTCGGCAAGACTCACCAAAAAGACTATGTGCTAAAGTATTACTTTCAATCAAGAGAAAGCTAATAGTTCAGATGTACTCAGGCGAATCCAGAACAATGCAACAAAGACAATTAATTGACATTAAACCAGCACTAGGCAATGGGAACTTCAAGATAACATTTCATTTCAGGGAACAAATAAGAAATTCAGAGCTCTCAAAAACACAAATAATAAGCATAGCTGCATTTTCAAAAAAGTCAAGGAAACAATAGAACAGACGAGAATTAGTGTATACATAACTGGACACATCAATTGGCGCTACATTTGAGGCCAATGCCAAGCTGTCCCCAAAATATTTACAGTACAAGTTGTAATAGCAGCAAGCATGTCAGAACAAGCCACAATAACCATACAATGTCATTCATAAAGCTGCACAATGGTCAGACATGCATGTCTCTAGAAATTTATAGTAAACTACACCAAGTAGGCATTACTGCATAGTCAAGTATAGAACAAACAAAGAAGCAACATCTACATATGGAACATATATAAGTTTGGAATGATCATAAAACCCCCAATGCAAAAATAAAACGTCAATGTATCAATAAACTCCACCTTCCTGGCTAAATTTTTGCCAAGATGCTGTATCTCATTCTTGAAGGAGAATCCAGTGGCCTCCAATTCAGGTTGGGAAGCCTTGCTGCCAGTAGCATCATGTGAATGGCCATCAACGGAAGTAGTTTCAGGTGGAATTTGCCCACCATGAGTTAAACTTATGCGGTTGTTTGTTTCTCTACTCCAATGATTTTTTCTTCTGCAGATACAGTTTGTCACTCGTTAAAAACTCCAGGTGTTACAGCCACCACAACATAATATGCTCATATCTATATTTACCTGTTTGGAGAAGACTGTGCACCATTGTTGTTTGGTAAAATGTTTCCTTTATAAGGTCCACTCATGAAAGCAGAAGGAACTGAGTCGGTTGAGCACGTTGAGGAGCTATCATCCATAACAGATTGACTCCTCTTTTCAGTTTGTCCATTTTGCACATCGCTGCCACTAGCTTCAGTGATCAGATGAATTTCTGATGTATCTGTGTCCCAATTAGTAGGACTGGTATCTCTGTCATCTAAATCAGGTTGAAGCACCTCAGCAACATCATCTCCAGTCTCAGACACATCTTCTCGTGCATCAATCTTTTCAATAATCAATTCTACCTGCCCAGAGGAGAAGCTATCTGAAGTTCGCTCTTCCAAAGGAGTTTCTTGTTGGAGCCTCTCCTGTCCTTGATTACACCTCACGTCCTTTACTTTGTCTTTACCCTTGCGACTATTACGCTTCTGTTTAGCCTGGAACAAGAGTAAAGAACAAGATTAAGCAGACTACAAACTCATCAACTTCTATTCTTGAATTATGAAACTGAAGTTAATCAAACACCAAAGCTAAAAAATAAAGGGGAAAAGCTACTGTATATCTTTTCAATTGCAAAAATGATGTAAAAGCTCAAAAAGAACAAAGAGACACGATGCCTGTAGGAGTTTGCAAAGAAAGCAACTACAATAAAACTCATAAAGTCTAATGCAGCATAGGATAAGTTATATTGGACTTAGAGATGGTTTCATGTGAACATCAACAAGTTTTAAGTTTTGTCACCTCCTCTAAAATCAAAATGCAATTGACTTACCAAGAATAAACACAATCTGACAATCTAGAAGGATCAGCAATAGATTCCATCGGTGAATAAGTCAAGCATGAATGGATCCCTGCTTGTGTTTGCTTCAAATGAACATATGGGTTTTTATGATTGACTTGAGCTCAGAAGGTTCATATCAAGGTTTAAAATTTCAGTCCGGAACCTGTACTTGTCCCTGGGTGGACCGGTAAGGTATCAGGAGGGTTGGACATACAATGCATCTTTATGCTCCTGTGCCGACAGATGGGTCTGGCAAGGGGAGGAGGAGGAGAGGGGGGCACAGAGAAGGAGAAAGAGAAGAAGAATTAAGGAGGAAAACGTGGAAGAGGAAGAAGTGGTGACCTAGTGAGAGAATAGGTGAAGGCAGCAGCAACATGGGGGTGGAGGAGACAAAGGCAGCATGGCAGTGATGAGGTGGCAGCAGTGTTGGTTGGAGGAGGCAGCGGCAAAGGAAAAGAGAGAGAAAGAGAGGAATAGTCAGGGACATAAAGAGATGGAAAGGCGGAGGGAAAGAAGAAAAAAGAAAGATTGACAACGGTGACAACTGTCATAAATTTAAAAAGAAAATAATATAGGTACAAACATTAGGCTTACCACCAGATACTTAGTATACAGTAAGCATACTAGGCCATACAACTTATCCCAAACAAAATCAAGCAAAATCACCTAGTCCGCATGTTGACCCCTACCAAAGTGGTGAAAGCTGAACCATCCTGAGAGAAACTGTCGGTCTTTATAACCATGGTGCATATGTTCAGAAATAAAATGAACCTGAGATAAAACCAAGCTCAAGTTCCAGCTGCTCATGAATATATTTCGAGTCTCTCAAGAGCAGAACAGGAAAAATGAAGAGAGGGTCTAGAGGGAGGTGATCAATTAAAGGGATGGGTGAGGCTAAGGCTTTCACAGACAGAATGTGGGAGAATAAGTAAAGCACATAAGAAAGAATTTAGGATTTCTATACACTCTTATACACCATTATTCATAGAAAATTTTGTCTTAAACAAAGGCCAGGTAATTTGGTCATATTTGTCATAATTCATATGTGTCATATTCTGAGGGTTCAAAAAGTGTTCACATAAACTTCCAACCTAAACAGTGCCCATGATGCTAACATATAGGTCTCCAATGCACAATTCCCAAAATATAGACAGAATCAAAATCCCACCTGTTTTTTCTTTGCACGTTTTTCCTTTTCAGCAGCACCACGCTTTGACTTAAGCTCATGTTCAACCTGGCCAGCAGCTTCCTCCTCCCGAATAAGCTCCTCTTGCCTCTTTAGAGCAACAGCCTCCTGGTAGGAAACTTCAATTCTACTGCTGCCCGCAACATAAAAGAACATAGACATTAAGGACAAAAAAGATCCCATAGATTAGTCCACGGACAATTTGAATAAATAAGAAACAAATACTAATGACAACATCAAACTGTAACATATATAAAAAAAGGTAGTTCATAAAATTTAAATTTCACTACTTTAATTAAAAGAGCATTAGGACCACATTTACTTGCACACATGAAACACTCAACCTGAATGGCTTGTGAAATGCTTAAAGGTATATGGTTAGACATTTTAGAAAGATATATCTAGAACATTACTGTTCATAAACTGATCTAAAAGGATTAAGCATGGCCTGGTCAATAATTAATTGCACAAAGAATCTTCATAGTGTACTGACGTAACAGGGTAATGTAAAACTTGGTTACAAATGCAACCAATAACGTCAGAGATAAGTTAGTTACCTGAATATGTGAGCTAGGACAAAAATTTCAATTGTCCTACGACCCAGCTCCATAAGTCGCTTTTCATCACGCTCAATGGAGTCCTTATTAAACTCATCCCCAGAGCTTCCATCCTACATATGTAACTTGGTTAGTGTATATTAGGGACTAGAGGTCTGAAAGATGGGAGTTTGATGCCCGAGATTTATATTATGTGAAACTTTATCAAAACAACAGACTGTGGGGAAAGCCAGCAATGTCTATTGTATGGCAAACTATGTACACATTAACGAGATTTCCTAAATAAAAAATCAATGTTTATGTTTTTCCAAAACCAGAGATAAGAGAGATAGTGATGTCAATTCTATTAAATGAAGACGTTCATAATCAACACTGAACAGCACAAAATTTTAAACTAGACAGGATGCATAAACATCAAGAAACATGAGCATGCATCTACTGAATATTTACAACACAAACAAAATGGAAAAGTGGTAGGTACTGTGCACCAAAGCATCAACTAGACTATAAGGTCATGGACACAATACAAATTGGTGAATTTCATTCACTAAAGAAACAAAAGTTGCCAAATTTAGTTGCCTTAGAACCAAATTCTAAATCCTAACAAACATGACTAAATTTTGGATTAGACTACCAAGTCAATGTCAAGGGTTCCCATGAATACAATTTGGAAGAAAAAAATTTATTGTATGCACTATGAAGATATTTGACCATCTAGATTGAGCCAATGAGTACTACGTAAACCCAAAAGGATTTTATGGGACAGTGGAAGTACCTTTTCTCCCACATCTTAAAAAGTACGAGTACCAAGTGAGTGCAAGAGGAAAGGCATGAGTTTATATCTCCTATAAAGTAAATAGCTTATCATAGTATTGGTTTAGCCTCTCAGTTGTTGGTTGGAAGTTCTTATGTTTCCACAAAGTTGATAAGCATTAATTAAGAGGAGTTGTTCCTTACAGAACCACACATTACAATATACATATAAGGAAATTGAGCATCCATACCTCAGTATTATCTTCTTAGCAGTCATCGTTAATTAGGGTCGGCTACACTTATAAATAATTAAAGCTAAACAAATGGCCTAGAGATATCTCAATCCTTAGCCATTAACAGTAGGAATAACACCCATCTTAAAAGCAAAAATAATAATCCCCTAAACTAACTATAGGTTCCCAAATTATGTAACTATCGGGAAGATTACAGATTGCAAACCACCACATTTCATCAAACTTGCAAATTGTGGTCATAACAGAAAATTGAACCCAACAGCACTTACACAATAGTCCTTAAATATATAATGATGCATACTAAATAATACAAGAAATTTCCATAAGCCAAAAGCTAAGTACATCTGCTAAAATGGGAAACCTCACAAAAGAACCTAGATATTTCTCATAGAATTTTATGGAAAAAAAATTGTCACTTCCATTGACAAACAAAATTCATCCAGATTAAGGCATACAACATATCTACCTAGATAGCAGACTAAAAAGTGTTCTTTACCTACCTTGGTACGATTCTGTGGACACTTGTCATCTTTCGAAGGCAAAGGCTGATGAGGCAAGGAGTCTGATACCACTCTTTCAATCAGAAGAATTACATCATCAGCCAATACAAACAAATCTTTATCAACTAGGATCATAGGAGATGGTAATTCTTCCAAATCCACTAATCTAGCTCTTCCTTTCATGTTCTTGCTCTGAAATTCAAGAGCCTTTAGCCCACTGTATAGAGAATCCATAACCAAAGTAGATGTGACTTCTTTCTCTATGAAAAAATGTTTAACAACTGCTTTCAGTATAGCATCTGTTCTGTCTCTTGACATGCGCCACCTAGAATTTAGATCCATTCCGAACCAAAAGGCACGAAAACTGCAACATCCAAACAATATTTGGTCACAAACTTGCATACGCCAAAAGGGAATCTTAATGCCATCAGGAGGTAGAAAACCAGATGCAGCAACTTTTGATAAAATTAAAAGGTAAGAGTAATACAAGGGCTCATTTTAAACTATTAACTCAGAAAAATGTTTACCCAGACCACCTCACTTTATCCTCAACAAACTTGCTAAGCTTGCCTATTCTCTCTTCTAGAAAATGCCGGCAAACCTTCTCTACATTTGACAAATATACTCGGACCAGTTCCCTCCTGTATTGGCAATCAAGACAACGAAAAGGGCGGTCTGCCTTCTCCCTGAAGTTTCAGTTGCACAAATGAAGAAACATATGTAAAGATCAACAAAACATCCTCACGCAAAATAAAATAATAAACTATCATAGTAAGTACAATAGAGATTTCCAAGCAAAATGGACCTTAGAAAAAACCTGAGAATTTATAATAGGTATCCGTATATAAACAAAACAACGATGAGAATATGCAGCCCAAGTTAAATATGTAAAAACTAAGTACTGCTCTCAATAGAAACAAGATTAAGGTCAAGTATCCATATCTGCACACATATCAAAAAAATAAGTATTGGAACACCACTGCATTCAAGGTCAACATTGAACTAAGAGATCTTCAGTCATTATGTCTTTCATCTCATTTACCAAGTTATAATCCAAAGTACGAAGTCAACAGAACACCATGCAGAAAAGATTGAAAAACTTGGTTACACATGCTTCTTTAATAAGCCAGATGGGTCTAAACCTCTAGACAAAGATTACATATACCAGTCCAATTAAGGTTTCAGAAATTGGTGTACCAGATTGCCTTTATAGTTCCAAGATATAGAGTGATATAACGACTTGTGTGTCTAGAAAATGATAGAAAACTTTATAATGATCAGTACCAATCTTATAGTTTCATTTTTAATGTTTGGTTGGACCTGTAAATTTCGGTCAGTACATACTAATTTGACTAGTATTTTAAACCATGTTTCAAACATACCACTTCCCCACATTTTTACTGAAATCAACATAACATAATGCACAAGGCAAACTATGAACTGTGACCACATTAACATGTGCATCTATGTCAACTACAGATTCTAATTTTTTGTTCCTGTCAAGAGTTGTTTAACTAACCAATCAAGTTATAAACAGATATTAATATTATGGACTAGGAACTAGAAACAGATATATGTAATGTTTACCTGATAACTTGGACTTGGGCTTTAATAACAAGAGTGTCAGCAACAATAAAGCCATCATACACTTTAGATAACTCCATGAACTTTTTCCAACCCCAATCATGCTCCTTTTTCCAAAACCTATGTAATGTATCTGCAAATTTCTTTACAAGCATAAGCTTTAATGCAGCTTAGTGAAGGCTAAGTTGACTTTCTGTAAGGTTAGATCATCTGATGATTGACTGACCAGAGTACTTTGATTTCTTTGGGTCTTTGTTGACTACAGCTATTGTAAACTGCGCAAAATGACTCCATCCTTCCAACATCATGAATTACAAAGGAATTATAAGGTTTGCTATTGAAATTTAGAAATCAGGCTCTACTTAGCCAAAAAGAACAGAAAAAAGCCATGCTGCAAACCTGGGAGAAGTTTGTCATGATTAGCAACACAAAGAAATAATGAAAGATGATTGCAGACATCACAACCCTGTGGGTAGATCAAAATGTACCTGCAAAATTAATTAACAAACTGTTACGTCTTAAGCCAAAGTTACACAACAGACATAAGATTGAGATATATCTGAATAAGTAAGCATGTCTATTAGTACATAACAATTATTCAAGATCCTAGATGCAATAATAAACATGTCATTTCAGCTACTACCAATGCAACCTAAATTCATTTGACCAGAATGTCTCTGTGGTATAACCAAAAAATAAAGAAAGTCACTTGTCTTGTACTTGTACTAAACTGTAGTGACAAGCAATCACATACGGCAACCTACTCTAGTACAAGGTATTCCAACAATACAAGGCAGACCTCATCTAGCCGTTCCATCGGACAATGTAATCATCCATGCTGAACAGTATGGAACAGCATGTCAATCCATGTTCTAGCATACAAAATATTATTAATTTGTAAAAGGAACAAGGAATTGGTAAAGGTAATTCTCAATCAGGGTTTTGGTACCAGTCCGAGCGGTGCATTCCATAGACCATGTAGATCGGCACCAATCTATACTTATCAATGATACTAGGCTGTACAAGCCAGTAAACCATCAAGCAAGCTAGTATCACAGCAATCCGATGAGGTGTTGGAACTGGTATTAGACCAGAAATTTAAAACTTATTTGCAATAATCAAGATAAACAAATGCAATATAAAGCAGTGACAAGCACCTTTGAGCTTAAGTGCTGTCCTGCTGCAATAAAGATTAGAAACTACTTTAGGAAGCATGACAAGCTGTAGATGGGTACTGCATCACCTCCCTTTTTTTTTTCCCTTTTGGTTCCATCGCTGTTATATAAATTTGAAGTAAGAAAGAAAAGTCTGATGCTTCATATACAGCTACACAGAAATGGAAATAAGGTCACTTTGCAACTAGCTGAAAACTAAAAAGTAGGACAAGTTATGTTTTGGGAATGGGTTGGAAGTACGGAATAGTATTTAATGGTGATGCTGGTCCTACGAAACAATCATTGTGGAATATCAAAGCTTTTTCTCACCATGGGAAAAATAATCTGCCAGATCTACAGAATTATAATGGTAACAAAAGTAAGCAGCCACTAACTTTTTTTCCATATAGACATCTCTTTAAGAGCATTTCAAGAGAGTCAAAGAGTGAAGTTTGACCAAGCATATGTGCCTGCTCCAGGAAATCCTACACTTGGAGATATATATATATATATATATATATATATATATATATATATATATATATATATATATATATATATATATATCTCCAGAGGTTTGATTCAGTAATGTGGCTGTGTCAGAATTATATGATGACGTCATGTATATATTTCTCTTTAATCCATTACAACAAAAGAAGCACATAATGTGCTCATGTATGTTCAACATATTCAACATGTTCAAGTATGTGCTCAAGTATATAAATTACCATCTTTTTATAGACATAAACAACATATTCAACACAACAGCATACAGCAACATGACAAACATTATATGTTCATATGTGCCTGAGTGTATTAAATTAAAACCTGTTTTGATTGTTCACACATTTATCTCCAGCTTGCAAAATAAACAAGATATTATGTTGTAGCAATTCTCTTTTGTTAAAGCATAGTATACCAAATTAAACATTGTTCTCAAGTAAAGTAGCTAGATAAATTTTTTCAAATACCAAAATTTAAGAGGTGGCTAGGCAAAACTAGTATAATACAAGTTACTAAACAAATCAAGGAACAGAAGTGAGCTTATCCAGAGCTGCAGCAAGGCACCAAAAACAACTATTTGCCTTAATATAAATCATAGTATTGACAGTAGAAACTTAATTATAAAAAATATGACTGATGATAGAATTTTTCATTATTTGATTTTGGGTTTGATTAGTTAACTCATTTGTCTATTTGTTCCTTTCAGGTGAACATTGATACCCTTACAAAAAGTTGTATCCCCCTACTAGACTTTTCATTGGTCTAGGGTGATTTTGAATTTCAAACAAATCCCTATTTTGCCTAAAGGTGCATATGAACTCAGCATTATCTTTTGGATGGTTGAAATTAGGTCGACCATTATGAAACTTTCTCATATCTCCCATGAAACCATCCCAATTCGAGTGTTTGTAAAGACCAACCCACACTCTCAACGAAATGCTTGCTAAATGAATACATTAATTTGTTTTTTTTGTTCTCAAGTAAATTACACAAATGTTCCCAAGTAACAAGTAGATTGAACTACACTCAATTGTGTCTGCAAGTAAAGCACAAACAATAACAATATAAAAATTGACTACAACAACAATAAAACAGTAAGTCTCATCTATTTGGGTCGACTACATGGATCTTTTGCTGCCATTAAGATCTGTAAAAAGTCATATGTTTAATTAAATTCAGAATACTTAAATCTTTATTTATAGCTTCTATTAAAGTCCTTTTAGATTTTTCTTTATCTCTCTCCGTACCACTAACATTAATTATTTCATCTATTCTGACTATCGCATCCAAATGTCTCCAAAGTATATGCTCGTACTATTTTAAACGATTTTCTCTTATCTTATCTTCTATCGAAATGATACCTAGTTATTCACGAATAAAAATATTTCTTTTCCTATCTTTTTTGGTAACTCCACACATCCATATCAACATTCTTATCTCGGCACAAACTTTTTGTATATGTTTTTTTCTTAACTGTCCAACACTTAGATCCATAAAACATTGTTAGTCTCACAATTATCTTATAAATTTTTTTTCAATCTCAAAAGTATCCGATGATCACACAAGACTTCTAACGTCCTTCGTCATTTTAATCATCCTGCTTTTACTCTATGAATGCTATCATCATTAATCTCTCCATCTTGTTGAATAACTGATCCAAGATACCTAAAACTTTTACTTAAAAGGACTTATAGTCCATCCAATTTAACTATATCCTCTTGTCTATTTCTAAAATCACTAAAATTATATTTTATATATTCAGTTTTAATCCTACTTAATCTGAAACCTTTAGTTTCTAAAACTTACCTCCATAGCTGAAGTTTATAATTAACTTCACTAAGGCTCTTATTAACTAAGACAACATCATCAGCAAATAACATACACCAGCGAGGTCTATCATGTAAGTGACCAGTAAGTTCATCCATTATTAATGTGAAAAGATAGGGACTTAATGACCAAGTAAACAAAATAATGAAGTATTGGCACAAAAATTTTATATAAGGTTTATACCACTTGTAGCCTCCAACTTCAAATGCATTACTTCGCAATTCTCTTTTGTTGATTGTTGAAAATTTTTCAATCTTCCACGTAAATCTTCCATAGAGCTCGAAAGTCTTTGATCCTAAAAGAATGTTGCATCATAGGTTCAATCTCAAGAAAAATGATAATGCTACGAAAAGCAAAATTTAAAAAGAACAAACATCTCAAGAGGATAACAATACAACCCTGAAAGCAAGTTCTCAGGGCTGTAAGCTGGATCTGTTCAAAGACCATTTGTATAATCATACACCAATACAAGCACTCAAAGAGAGAAGATCACATAAATTAACTATCCAGCAATATGGTATGTCCCATTACAAAAGTAAGGAAGCTATTTCAGGAAGGAATTAGACATAGAAAATGACTACAATACAGGTCTTATCTGTGTTTATATCAAAAAATTAAAATTATTAGTTGCAGAGTTCCACCTAAGTAGCCTGAATTATATATTGAATACAAGCATTGAAAGAAAGAAGATGGCATAAATCGACTATCCAACAATATGGCAAGTCCCATTACAACAATAAGAGAGCCGTTCTAGGAAGGAATCAGACAGAAAATGACTGGAATCCAAGTCCCATCTGTGTTGATGTTTAAGTACCAAAATTATCGGTTGCAGAGTTCCACCTCAATAGCCTCAATTATATATTGAGCACAACAGTACAGAGAAGCCCATACACGACTTCCATCTGCAGGGTGTGAGGTGTATACACTGTCTTAAACCTGCATGTGGAGAAGCTACTTCTACTGCTCAAAACATGATACCCATGTCAGAGTGAAGCAACCTTACGTAAATACAAAGGCTCACCTTCAAGAACAAGAAGCACTATACTGAAGTTATCTATCGGATGAAATCCAGGAATATGAACACAAATGTGTGTATACTGAATGTTATGATTATGCAACACCTCACTTTCAATAGTTTCTAATATTATAAAAACTTGCATATCAATAAAAATGTATTATTGTTGGATACCAAGGTGATAACCCAAAGAAAAATGGTACAGCATCTCACATTCAAAATTTTGATTAGCAGGAAAAAAGGAGGAAGACAGATATTGATCATTCCATCAAGGAACCTATTAGACAATAAAAGCATACAACTTTAAACAGTTACACAAAGGACTACTTTTCAGAAACTTGTTTAAAGAACAATGATTTTTTCTAAACAACTTCATCCAGTGTACATCAGACCCACAAACGAACACCAGTGTGTGTTTGTCAGACCAACAAACATCTCCTCAGGTAAAGTTACTCAATGGAATTGACATAAGAGGAAATCATGACTATCAAATTTCTTGAACAACGCATACTACAAAGTAAATGGTCTATAGAAAGACCACTTCACTTCATACATAACCTATTTTACTATCCATCATGGTATTAAATTTGAAGGGTTTGGAACTTCTTTTTGTATATTTTCTCATTTGCTTCTAACAGCACAGCAACTTCCCACTATTTCATCGTGTTACTAACTTGTTTGCAGTTCATATACAATTTCCGAATTGTCAAAGCTGACATACTGCAAAAAAAGCAAATTGAACTCAAAACTATTACACAGACAAATTGAGTTGTTATATATGCATCTTTCCTCAGAATTCTAAGGTACATTTTGTAGTTGGTTTCTTAACATGTTAATGTTTCAATTCAGAAATATAGTTCAGAAGCTAGCTGAAAAAATATATCAGTTATAGTTTTTATGTGGAGAACCCTTAAATTTCACATGTAGCAAGCAACTGGCACCATATTTTTCAGGAGCTCTACTTAGCTGATTGTTTGATAGGACTTCAGATTTAAAATTTATGGCCAATGAAAGATGCAATGTCAACTGGGACTGCAGAATCACAGAGGAAATTCTTAAGAAAGAATAGCAAACATGTTTCTATACATTATGTAAACTATGTGAGACCTGCATTCAAATCAATATATTAATAGAAACACAAACAAAGAGATCACTTTAATTACCCGTCTGATAACATGTGAACATCATAGTCAGTTTTATCAACTACATAGATGCTCGTTCCATTTCATGTGTGAATGTGGCACAAAAGAAATAGATTTTTAGTTTCAAGTGACTAGCTTAATTTAAATATAAAGCCATGTAAATCAGCTTTTAGAATGCAGCATAAATCTTTTGATGCATGGAGATTAAAGTCCATCAATGAGTACACTTATGTTTAAGCAAACAAATCTAAAATGACAAAATAAACAACTACTGATTATACCCAAAAGAGAACCAAAACCACATGATCTGATTGCAAGGAAGATACTTCACAAGAACAGAAAAACAACAAACTGAGGGGAAGATAGCTCACTGCCATCATCGTCATCATCAGTATCCCAGTATGGGGGTGAAGTGGAAGGTGTCCCATTCTCAACCTGCTCGCAGGACCGCCATTCCGTGATTGAATCACTGGACGGGCAGCGCTGCTCGCTTAACGTTCCCTCTGTAGCTGAAGACCTAAGGCTCATTCCGTAATCCTCTGTTATAGTTCCGGTCATTGCCCAAACAAATCCCTTCTCTTCTTCACCTGACAAACTTATCAAACACGAACATGCATGAGGAGGAAGAAAAAAAGACATAAGAAGAGATGTTGCCATTTTTGTTCGCCGGAATGACCCATACCGAACTGCTAAACAGAGTCTTGAAACAAAGTATGGCAAAAACTACAGCTCTAGAATTCATAAAAACGAAATAGGTCAACAAAAAAAGAAATCCACAAGCTCCAAATCCAAGCCCATAAGAAAAGGCTCCATGAAAGCCACAAATCAAGCCCTAAAAATCCTATTAGAAACCTGAGCCATTCACCAATCTCAGTTTTCCCTCATGTTCCCGCAACCATAAACCTCGAAAACCAAATCAAGACCAAAACGCCCAATTGAATCTAACATCTCCAACCGCACCGCAGGGCCACAAATCAAAGAAGAAATCCCACATGGGAATCGAGCTAGAATCTCCAGCGATTCCAAAAATTAACCTCCAATAGACACGCCGAGGACCAATCGACTGCCCACACGAAAGAACCCGCGCCAAGCCCGAGCTAAGAAACAGATCTAAATCGAGTACCTTGCGTTAGCGCCGCGCAGCTCAAGGAGCTGGAGATAGCGAGTTGAAAACTCCTTCTTCCCACTCGCCTTCGACGGTGAGCGAAGGACGAGCTGACGATGAGGCGAGAGAGAGGCGAGAGAGATGGGGAAGAGATTGGGAAGCAGCAGAAAGGAAGGAAAAAAAAGGGAGAAGAATTTGGTGCAAAATAAGCGCAAATTTGCAAATAGATCCCTCCAAAGGACCAATTTGAATTTGTAGCCTCTCTATTTAAATTTATCATATTCAACCCAGAAAACCTAAAACGTATATGTACGTAAACCGTTACAGTAGCAGCTCCCATTGGTTGACTGTCAAAATGACAGTTAGTTGAAATTTAATTGACATTAATATTCTTTAATATTTTTTAGGTAATTTTAATCTCTTTACCGATTAAATTATCGACATTTTTTATATTTAATAATCCATTGATGTAGCTAAGAATATTTTAATTGTATTATATTTTTATTTCAATTTCTTGAATAAATAATAAAACTGGGGAAAAGTAGGTGACACGTGGCAAGTATGTAAAACTAATTTCTCGTTGTTGTAATTTTTCATATAAAAAATTAAATTCAAAGGTATTGTCAGTATAACGCGTACAGAAAGCGGTCTTTGTACTGCAACATGCTAAAAAGATAAAATAAATGTGATTTTATATATGGAAAAGAGAGAGGATTAGGGTTCTATTGGATTCGGATTCGGATCGAGTTTGAAAGGTAAGATTTGGGTCCGTATTTGTTGAGCACGTGGTAAAATAAACGCTAAGAAAAAAAAACAATAAAATATAATTTGCGACGTAAAATAGATAATTACACACGTGTCTCTCGTCAACGCCACGCTCCAGCGGATCGATCGCTTCAGCTCGCAGAGCTCGGGAGTGCGATGCTAAGAGGAATGGCGATGGAAACGAAGAAGACCACATCGATCGGAGAGGAGATGAGACTTGCTCCCACGTAGAAGAAGAGAGATCTGTTGGGGACAGCACAAAGCGGTCGAGGAGGGGCGAGAGAAGAACCAGCGATACGCCTGCGGTGAGAGAGCCTTCATCTTGCCTTGACCTTTCCATGGAAGAGGAAGCAGCATCAGCGACAGATGCTCGTGGCGGATTCCTGCGCAGCGCAGCTCTTCGCTGCACTCCACGTATTGATACAGCCCTTTTCAAACTCAGATGTTGCAGACGTTGGAGACTCGCCGTCTTCTTGGGAGCTGGGCAGCTGCTGATCTCAAGCCTTTTAACTGCAGGAAGGCTGGAGAACAAAGGAAGCTACTCAATCTTTGTCAGGGAATCAGCGCCATTCATCTGCAGGAGGCTCCAGCGGACATGGTCGCTCCAAACATCATCCAGCACCTGGAAGCTCCTCTTCGCCGTGTTCTCGAGTTGCTATTTTTGTTCGAGCTTCGCAATGGCTGCCTCCTGCACCAGTTGTCGGTGAATTGTTGGGAGACACAAACCCATACCCTGAGCAGGAGTCAGGTTTCAGCCGCTCACCGTGTGGATCCTTCGACCTTAAGTAGTCTTGCCTATTCCTCGAGCTTGCACTGATCGATTATAACGTCGACATCATATATGATTTCTTTTAGATTGTTGACCAATGGTGGTTTGAGTTCCAAAGGCTGATACGCATCTATCCATCTCCACGCCAAAAAAGGAGGAAGAAGAAGAGCCATTAATTTCCTCTGGTTTGAGTTCCACTGTATCGTCATATCAAAGTCAAAATAGGCACCAGCGTGGACAATTTCCATCACTCTAAAACCTCTCTGGCTTTTTCTAATAGATAACCACTTCGATCTCTTCATCCTCCATCCTTTGTCGGGTGGTATCACGGCACAAGTAGGACGATATATGGACGGCGGCACGCAATTGAGACTCCTTGTTGACCTTGAAACCAGCATCAAGTGGCAATAGGTCGAGTCAGGTCGGATCGGGTCAGATTGAAATCGATGCTCGTGCATCGGGTTTGATTCGACCCACCCCGAACTCTTGTGATGTGGATTCCTCGATCGACTCGAATCCATAGAGCAAGTTGGTCTGGTTGGATCATCAACTGGCCGGATGAAGGCCCAAAGTTGCTTCATCTATCGAATCGTGTGGGCCAAATGGATCGGGTCGATCGATGATCCAACCTGAAAATGACAGCTCCGCAGCAGACGTCAAGTCAAAGTTGAAGTGTGGGTCCCAGGAACGCGAAGACAGCTCGGCAGCAGACGTCAAGTCAACGACGTCTCATTCGAAGCGACCTTATCCGACGGTGGAGAGGAGCCCTGCTCAACCAGGCCCTTGGAGGATCCTATCCAACGACATAGATGATTGCAAGCTTTTCGTGCTCACGTGAACCGTTCAAATCTCGGAGTTCACAATAGATTCGAAAATTAACCGTCCAATTTTACACGGATGAGAGAACGCTTGGAGGGGATCCCATCCGTTCTCCACCGGGGCAGGGGCAAATTCGCAATATCGATCATAGTCTCCCCCCTTCTTCGTTACTCCGCACCAATTACTTGTATGTTGCAAGTCTCAGTGGTTTCCCGTGGTGGTCTGGATCCGCTTACCGACTTCGCCGCTCCCGCTCCGCGGCTCCTCCTCCTCGATTCGAGACGCTCCTGCGAGCCCTAATCTCCAGTGCCGATCCCCAACAAGAACCGATCCTTTCGGCTGGATTTCGTCGGAGTTAGTTTGATGCTATAAAGAGTATGGTAATGCCTCATCTCTTGCCGCCTCGTGTTCGAAAGGCATTTTCTTTCCTAAATTTTTTATATGACCATTTCCTCTCGATCCAGCTTGGTTGGTAGTGAGCTGGTGTATGGTTGTAGGTCTTTGAGATCTTGATTTCTTTGTAGCGATCAATTTGGGTCTGTTTGTTTCATTTACTATGTTGTTGAAAATCCTGGATTAGCTGCATTCATATGGATTTAAGTGGGATCGAGGATATATTAAATGTTCATCGAACCCCCAGGAACTGCAAAATAAGGAAATCTCTGTATTAGATGCTTAGACTCATTATGAAGCCAACCATTTAACTTTCAACTCATATCGAGTTTCTTTTTTGATAACTAGTTTCTTCAAATTAGTTTTATGGTGTTTCTAAATGTTCAGGTTGAACAAAGTCTTTGTTTCTATACATAATGTAGGAAAAGAGAAAAAAAAAATTTTGGTCATTTTTTTTCTATACAATCCATTCACACTTTATGTAAATCCTTAGGTAAGGTTTCAGATATCAGCCAGAGAACTGGTAATCATTGTCTCCCAAGAATAAAAAGAAAACAAACAAACAAACAACAAACTACAAAGCCTTAAGTCCTGGGAAGAACAAAAATAAAACAACTAAAGAAATAGCGAAAATGAATTTAAGCGAAACCTACCCCATGAGCCAGCTGTTTGAATCTCTTAGGAGAAAATGTACTTCTAAAATTGTCTAATATATAATCTATTCTTTCTATGTAAATCCTGAAAGACAGTAATTTCTTTCTTTGGGTATATAAATTAAATAACGCAACTTCCATATACAACTTATTACATCTGCAACTTCAACCCTTTGTTCAACAGTTGACACTGAAACCTAATGTTCTTTAAAAATGTTGACTATTTTGGCGATGAAACTAAGGAACCATTGTCCCCTGTCTTGCTTCTATGCATGAAATGGTAGGTTAATCTATGCCTCCTTTGATCCGGTAACAAATGCTAGCATGTAGAAAATTAATTTTCTCTATATATTAACTATTTATTTTGTACCATCCCTGATATGATTATAAAAAACAATCCGAAATACTCATGCAGTTAGAGTATGGCTTTTTAGTTAGCAGCTGCATCATTTATTCAGAGTTAAGAGGTAAATTTATGTGTCATATAAGGAACTAGAGATTCTACAGTCAAATTCAATCAGTCTATCTACCAAAGCACAGTTTTGAAAAACATTTACACTCTACTATTAACTTCCTAAATAACTTCGACAAGTGAAGCAACAATCACCAGAGATAAAATTACCCATGATGATACAAAGATGTCAAAAGAAGCCATGTAAAGCCATAAAGTAAAGAGTTGTGTTTCATTCTTGCGAAATGTCAAAAGCTTGTAACAAGATTTACAGTTAGCATCAAATGAGTATAAAACTTGCTGTTGTTTTGCCATTTGCTGTTCAACCTTTTTCTTTGTGTATTAACGAATTCAGGTTTATTATTTTGTGATGTTGTTTTATCGCTAAAATGCCATCTGCAGGAAAGGGAAGCAAAAAAGGAAGCTTTCAGGAAGTATCTGGAATCAAGTGGGGTGCTTGATGCTCTCACTAAAGGTTTGTCTGTCTTGTTGGCTCTTTTCATTATGTTTTTTGGCTAGATGTTTTGGTAAACCAATGAATACCCACCTCATTACGTAATGCAGTTCTTGTTGCACTATATGAAGAAAATGACAGGCCTTCATCTGCTGTCGAGTAAGCTTTCTGACTGTGTTCCTAATATTCAGAATATAACTTGATGCAAAGTGCCAATCAAGTTTAAAATTTTGGATTTTTTTTAAATGGTAGATCTATTGAAACCATTTTGAAGGAACTTGATGTTTTACTTGCCTTGTGTATTTTGGGCTACATTGACCAGGGCACTAATTACCAAGCCCCAAATTTTAGTTTTATGATATTGCATAAGCTCTTTCATCACAGATTAACCAACAGTTTTTTTATGCCGTTATTTAATTTTGTCCATCTAATATATAGATAGCTGCAACGATTTTAACTTCTTTGCAAACAGGCTGGTGTTATTTCACTTCTCCGGTTTTTATACACCTGTTCTTTATTTTCAGTAAAAGACTGCTTCTATTGAAAGAAAGAACTTAAATTCTAGTGTCTGTGTTTGTTTAGATATTTTTTGATACAAAGTTACTCGAATGACTTGATCAGGTTCGTCCAACAAAAGTTAGGTGGACCATCAATTTCTCAATATGAAAAGCTACTAGCTGAAAAGTCGGATTTGCAATTGAAGTATGATGAGCTCTTAGCAGCTCACAGAGAAAAGTGCAGAGAGGTTAGTTGCAACTTGCCACATCAATATCCTCCGGCATATTTTCTGAACCTCTTAATTTAACTTTGGGGCTACACCAGAAATCTTAACTTTTTCTTTAATTAAATTATCATTTGTGTACTTGCAGTTTATGAGTTTGCTGTTTTTTTTTAATGCTGTAAAAGTTAACCACTTATGTGATTTGGTCATATAAGAGAAAAGCTGTAATAATCCCTAGATTTTTTTATAAGGTGACCCTAAATAGTAATATGGATGAATTGCTGGAAAGAATCCATGTAGTTAAAACTAAATAGTTAAGTGTAGAGGCTTGCTATGCTGTTTGCTCCACTGCACAAGTGCACTTGGTTCCAAAATAGAACTTGCTGGTCCTCAGCTGCTCCAGAATGAACACTACTAGGCATGGCATGAATTTATTTGCCCTTATATGCTTGTCTGGTAAGAAGATGTTAGAGGACTGTTGATAGGTAAGTAATGAAGGCAGTGATAATGGTCCTAGCACCAGGCATGGTAATGGTGATAAGTGGAGAAACATGGTTAGGTGGTCCTAGCATGTATGTCCTTTTGCATATATGCTTACATATGAATTGCCCTAGCACCAGCGATAATGAAGGCAGCGATAATGGTCCTAGTACCAGTGATAATTGCCCTTCTATGCTTATATATGAATTTTTTTTTTCTTGTACATCCTTTTGTCAAGATACACCAAGAATTTATTTCTATGTATTTCCCATTTTGTAATTGCTGTATTTTAAGTTGTGATTGTTGTTACAACTTTGACTTTTGTGGTTGTTAAATATGTTAGAGGTCCATTCACTTCCAGTTGTATGATCTCTCACCTTATATGAAAATTCCCTATTCTTCATATTGCAATTTGCAGGACACTTCAGTTTTGTGTACCTTTCTGACTCCTAGTTAAATTGTTCATGACATTTTATGAATTAACTTTACATTGTGGCTCAAATGAAATTTGGGCCTTGGTTGTGCTGCTCCAGTGCTCAAGTGCTGTGACATTTTTTTTTACAGTCCCTGCATGCATGGAATTGATATAACCTGAAACGTACAAAATTATAATACCTTCTCTTTTGTTGCTTGCCTAATCTTAAAATACATCAACATCTTCAGACTCTATTTATAGCTTTATGTGAGGAAAATCACCAAAATAAGAGCTGAGTTTGCAGTTTTTTAATCTTCATTTTTTTTTGGATTATAATATTTCATTATCATTTGGTTAATTGCAGCTCGAGGAACTACGAAACTTGAAATTGACCACAACATTAAAGGAGAATACAAATGGAGATAAATTGAAAGACGGATTGTGAAGAACTCCCCAGAAATGATTATACATGTTGGTTTTAACAAATTCCAAGATTTGTTTGTCAGATTATCTTTTGTGCAATATATCACAGAAAAAAAGGATGATTTGTCTGCTGAAGTATATATCTAGTGTACTACTGTTCACCACTGATGTATCACACATGAATTCCCAGATATTATCTCTTGTGAATTGCTATTTAATATTACAAGGAATGGACATGGACATCTCTCTCATTTATTTCCTGGTTTATTCCTTTTGGGGCACTGCTTCCTTGTATACAAACTTCTAACTTTTAATGCAAATTGACTCTTTTCATGATGTGATGATAAGAGATGGCCTTGATAGGTTAGCTATTGCTTAGAACTACCAATAATTACATACTGTTATATCTTTGAATATTGTATACCAGTTGAGCCAATCTTCATGTAATTTCCAATAATTTACATACTGTCATGTTAATAACTGATTTATTTATAACTATTGTTCTTGTAGCAGCACATGCTTAGCTTGTTCATGACAAAACAAACAAATGACTTTTGACACCTGGTATGAAAACTAGCAAATGAATCCAAAAATTTTAGCTATATTGATATTGAAATCAATGCTTGCAGAAACAAAACCCACAAGTCATCAATCTTCCAGTTCTAAAGGCAACAACACTAATGTACTCTATGCACCTTAGTCTATGGCACATAATATTATTTTGCCTAAAAGACAAGGTGCAACTATAACTATGTTAAGAGAAGCTACAGATGTACAGCCACCAATGTGATCAATGCTGCAACAGAACAAATCAAAGCCTGCAAAGCATTGACAAGGTCAGTAACAGTGTGAAGCTAGAACACTAGAATTCAGATGCTTTAATTTCACTTACTGCAATTGCAGATGCTGCAAGCCCTGCTCTTTCCCTTGGATCCTTGAGGTGGTACTTCCCAAAGTAAAGAGCAGTAGCAATGTACCAGAGCAGAGGGAAGCCAAACCCCAAGATGAAACTGGCAAGGTGAAGAAACACCAAGCACAGAATGATCAAAGAACAGAGCCAAAACAGATGGTAATCCCATGAAAAGTTCAGACAACAAGAGGATCATCACCAGGCCCATCCTATGCCGCAGCCGAAGCACGCGAGCGGCCGGTCGTAGATTCCGTCAAACTCATCGAGATATCGATGCTGTAGGAGAGAGCATCCACCTTTATCAGATTGCTGTTCTAACTGCTGCTTGTTCTGTTGAGCTCCACCTACACTTGGAGCAATGACAAGCTTCTTAGTGATGCAAGAACAGGTAAGATATCTTCACACATATAAATATATATGATGTCTTAATCTATGTTATCATGCAATCTCAGTGCATGTATTACAATTAGAACTTACCTCCTTCCATAGAAAGAACCACTCCAACAAAACCATCTGATTTGAGTTCCATATGCTTCACTACAAAGAGATCTTTTATTAGCTTTGCACCTGAAAGATTACATGACTGCTGTCTGAAAGCTATACAATTGTCACAGGAATTGCATGTTAGATTTGGCTCATCAAATCAGCATCTATGTGCATCAAACACATGCTGTATGTATGCTTCATTACTGTGTCCCAATACATTGGGCCCTCACAACGAAGATTGTGAAGCATGAGTAGTGTCTTCAATGTATGTGAAATCTATAAGACCACAGAGAAATGTCTCTGTTTGTTGTTCTTAAAATTATCAGCCTACTAAATTGTGCTGAAAATAATGATGTGAGGGTGAGATACATAAATAAAAGAACAATCTATTTCCAACTAGAATTTGCACGAGAATTTGGAGGCATGATATAATAAAAATACTTTATAAAAATGTAAAAGAAAAAAAAATATGCTATCTGTACATAATTAGAACCCTATAAAAATAGAAGAATGTTTCGATTAGAGATCAAATCAGTGACTCTTTTTCTGTGAGAAGCAGTTTGTAGAACCTTATGAGGATACCCTTCTCTTCTTCCTCGAGAAACCAAGAAACTAAACATCTTTGGTCAATTAGTAGGAGTGGACTGAATTGTCAGACACCCAATACAAGTCTTTTGACCATTACATTGCAAAGAAAACAAGATGTCTTCTCTACCCATAACAATCCATCACCCCATGTCTTCATGACGTGACAAAAAGAATGAATGAATGAATGAAAGAAATACTTGTGTCTTAGGAGACATGGATATCAGAAAGGAAATAAGTCATAATTGCTTCTAAATGGGGAAAAAAAAGGTAATTCACATAGTAATGGAAGAAAAGGAGGAGATGCATCACCTGTGAGGAGTGAAGAAGAAAGGAAGACAGGAGTGCGGTGACTGAAACAACTGCTTCTCTCTCTCTCTCTCTCTCTCTCTCTCTCTACAGTACGGCAATCACTGTGGCAACTGCCTTCATGGGTGGCAACTTATAACCATTACCAATCATCAAACGAATGCGCAACTTATAACCATTACCAATCATCAAACGAATGCAAAGCCAATCAAAACACGATGAATTGATGATGATGACAGATTCTTGAGTTCAAACCATCCCTTTCTTTTTCGACATCCGTTTGACTCAGGTTGAACCCGACCCGATCGAATAGATCTGTTCGGGTTTCTATGTTGACTCAAACTCGATCCATTTTAGGGTTGACTCGAAACTCAAATCCTAATCAATACTTACATAATCTTATTCCTAATATGAATTCTGATGATGATCCACATCATGAAGAAGTTAATTTTATTGCATAAAGAGCTGTTTGATGTTTTTTAACCAAAGCAACAAACACAAAGAAAAAAATAAAAAACAAAAACAAAAGTAGAATATAACTTCCATCATCGACCAATTTTCCTAATATTCTTGGCATATGTGGTTTAAAGGACATGTGTTCTTCTTTGTCTTTTAATTCCAACAGCATTTGTCCATAATCTAAAGCCAACTACTTTTCTTTATTTTGGTTATTTAAAATATACTATTAGTAATAAATAAATAAATAAAATAAATATTTAAAAACATTATCCATGTTATAGTATTCATCGATTTGAAATCTTATTCGATAAATTTTTTAAAATATATCAACCAAGAATTTTGATTTAAAATCTTATTCGATAAATTTTTAGATATATCAACTTGCTTAGTTGATAAGAATTCTGAGTCTCGATGACAAAATCTCGAATCAAATCTCATTTTCATCTTTTTTTTTATTTTTTGTTAAGAAAAAAACTAATGAAGCATTAAAAAAAAAAGGAAAAAGAAGGCTATATGTATATATAGAAGAAAACAAACTGTCTTCTCTCTTATCACACCTTTTTCCACCTCGACAGCGAATCTTATCATATGCATATGTCTTTTTTGTGCGTATGCTTAGAACATAACGAAATGTAATCTACGTTTGGTATCTATCACCACAAATGAGGACGGCTTCCACCTCTCTCTCTCTCTCTCTCTCTCTCTCTCTCTATCTTTACGTTTGGTATCTGTCACCACAAATGAGGACGGCTTCCAAATCTCATCTTCAGTTTCTTCTCTCCCCTAGTCTAAGCTTCCTACAAATCCACCCATAAAAGGTTTGTCACCTCCACTTGCATGGCAATCAACTTAATACTTGTTCTTTTTGTTCTTAGACTACTTTGATTGCCTTATTGTAACAGTAATAATCATACATAACTTCTTAAAGGATCATTCATTTTATCTCACAATTCAAAGGTTTTAGTATTTCATTATATATGTTTCTAAACTATTCATAAGCTGGAATAGCTCAGTTGGTTAGAGCGTGTGGCTGTTAACCACAAGGTCGGAGGTTCAAGCCCTCCTTCTAGCGAATTAATTTATATTCAATTTTAATACACAAATATATTATTATTGACTTATTTTTAATACATGTAAACATACAAAAATTTTAATCCATATAGCCAAAGACAAACAAACATGACCTATTTTAATCCATTTAGACATATAGTGGCTTTCTATTTGACATAAAAAGATTTTAATCGATGTAGAAGAAGATAAACATTTAGACATTAATTTATATTCAATTTTAATACACATATATTATTATTGACTTATTTTTAATAAATGTAAACATACAAAAATTTTAATCCATATAGCCAAAGATAAACAAACATGACTTATTTTAATTCATTTAGACATATAGTGGCTTTTTATTTGACATAAAAAGATTTTAAACGATGTAGAAGAAGATAAACATTTAGACATGTATCCAAAGTGAAATAAAGACTCTATTATTTAACTTATTACATATAAAGATTTTTTTTTTTACTTATAAAGATTTTAATGCATGTAACCCAAGACAAACAAAGGCTTTATTATTCGACTTATTTTTAATCCATGGAGACATATATAAAAATGACATGTCAAGAGTTTAATCTATGTAATCAAAGATAAACATTTAGGCATACAAAGACTTTTTTATTTACATGGAAAGATTTTTATGTATGTTGACAAAGACAAACAATGATTTTATTATTTGACTTATTTTTAGCCATGTAGACAAATAAGTGTTTTTTTTTTACCTACATAGATTTTAATACTTTATTATTTGGCTTAGGTTTAATCCATCTAGACATATAAAAACTTATTTTATATACATAAATATTTTAATTCATAGAGTGGACTTCCCAATAGTTAAGATTTTATGGGTTTACTGTTATTTTTCTATAAGAAAATCAAAACTAAGATAGACTAAGTGTAGTCAGGCTAAGTAGGATATTGTTCAAATTTAAGGATATAACAATTGAAAGATACAATAATCTGACAGTAATCTACTGAGGATTGACATGACACATCTGCCCTGTTCTTTCTGGGCCACTATGTAACATGCCCATGTCATATGTTCCTATCTATGCCTGCATCCAGTAGCATGGGATGGCAGCATGCCAGTGTGGACAATCATTGCATGTCACATTTTCACAGTTCAGCTTGTCAAACTTGTAATGGTGTGAGATATTATGAAAGGGATTTGAGAAATAACAGCTGCTTGAGAGTGCAGTGTAATACGATACAAACATCAGCATGTTAAAGATGCATCATCACAGATACAAACAGAACTTCTAATTAATATGAGCTAACACTGACATAGAGATCAAATATGCTTTGACACAGAAAATATACAGCCTTGTTTGTAGTTATTTGAAGTATGATTCTTCTCTAATCGATAGTCCAAAGATTAAAATAAGGGGAGGCAGCAAATATCCACCAAAGAACAACATATGAAAGCAATAATTTCTGATTCGAACCATCATATAAAATCTCTACTCATTTTCGACTCAGGCAAACGAGAGACCGAGGCATAGGATGCAGATATATGACTTGAACAAAACCCAACAATAGATCACAATCCGATCGACCTAAATTTACATAAAGAAGAGGAAAAAAAGAAGAAGATAATTCTACCAAAAACAATCCCAAAATTCCCTTACTTGGGGAGCTTCCTGAGGATATTGCTCCGGGAAATCGAGTTGCAACTGGTACTCGTCGTTTTCATATAGCGTCCTGAGCGTCCCAATCACTTCAATTGTCTACCTTTAGAATGGATCGAATAGAGAGACAATCAAGTGGGGATAAAAAAAATTGAACGAGTGAGATGAAGACAAAGGCTTAACCTTTGGGGACAATCATTAGATATGCCGAGTCACATGAGAATTCAAATAATAGAAGGAATTGGGAGACGACGACCGGAAGACAAAATCGATGGAGTAAAACGGAAAAAGAGAAATGGAGAAGAGGGTTCAACCTTGAGGGAGGGTGCGGAAGAGCTGGCAATGCTTCGGCGGAGAGCGGAGATGAGGAACAAAGGCGTGCTTATATAGTTTTCGTTGCTTCCCTTATTTCCTTCAATGGGTATAATTGACATTTTAATTCCTACAAATTAAACCCTCTTCCAATTAAATCCTTAAGCTTGTCGAATCGTAAACTGAGTCCTTGTTGTCTTGGAATAATTATCACTGCTCGAAGTTTGACATATTTCTTTGGGACTGCCACAAGTAGCTTGCTTCACTGAATTCAAGTTCTCTGTCAGACAACTTTCCGTAGAAGACATGTTCGAAGCACCCAAACAGGAGAATGAGTTAGCTACACAAACTAAGAACAAAGCATCAACTTCAATAAAACAAAACGATTAAGATAACGACAAAATCTACTCGACTAAGGGTAAGAGGTAAAATAACAATTATAGCTCCAGAAAATTGGTAAATTATACAAATGAATTCTTTGCAAACATAACAATTCAATACAACTATCTAACATTTGATCAAGTTAGTATGATAACCATACCCTATAACTAATATGAT